CAAATCAACATTTGAAATTCTTTTTGGAAATCATGGACACTCCAAGCTAAAGACCACTCAGCTTGTTATAAGTGCACAGTTCAAAAGCCAGTGATGGTATAGTGGTTTATTAGTGCACATGGCATGGGTGATGTGCACATCTGTGAAGGCACCATTAATGCTGAATGATATATACATGTTTTGGCAACATATGCTGCCACCCAGACAACGTCTTTTTGAGGGAAAGCCTTGATTATTTCAGCAAGACAATGTCAAACCACATTCTGCATGTATTACAACAGCATGGCCCTGTATTAAAAGAATCCTGGTGTTAAACTGGCCTGCCTGCAGTCCAGACTTGTCACCCACTGATAACATTTGGCACATTATGAAACTGATGAGCAGCTGAAGTCCTATGTTAAGCAAGAATGGGAAAACATTTTACTTTCAAAAATACAGCAACTGGACTTCTCAGTTTCCAAACGCTTGCAGTTTTTTGGAACGTGTTGTTGGCATCAAATTCAAAATGGGCATATATTTTTCAAAAAACAGTAAAATTTCTCACTTTCAACACTTGATATGTTGTCTTTGTAGTATTTACCTTTAAAAAATATGTTTTACATGATTTGCGTATTGTTTCATTCTATTTTTATTTACATTCTGCACAGTGTTCCAACTTTTTTGGAAATGGGGTTATAATTAAAAATTTCTTATTTTATGTTCTTCACAGAAAATGGGCAAAGGCCCAACAGTAGGAACCTGTTTCTCTGAAATAATCAAGTAAATACACTAACAAACTTCACAAATTTCTTTTTCTCTTTCTGTTGCTGTATGGGGCTTTTTCTGCTTCCTTTTCTGTTAGTTTCAGCTCTGCTATATCAAGAAAAGCCACCAAAGCTACTATGTGAACATCAGTTCATTATAGTCTTTGAAAGTGATACTGACATTTTAGATAAACACTTCTCTTTTCTAGCAGAATGTAGAGGAATTGGGTCAGTTCTGCAATCTGAATTTACATGAGCAGACAACTGATTAAATCATATGTAAGGTTTGTTATCTATTCACTGTCAGTCTGTTGAGCTTTTGACTGCAGAGCAGATGTTATTAATTATTTAGTAGATATAGTTAATTATATTATTTGGTGATTGTATTATATTTTTTTCTACTATGTTGAACTCAGTAAATACATAGAAATGTTGCATTAAAATTTGCAAAGTAATGCCATATTTGAGTTTGTTCCCTGGAAAGAAGTTATTTTCTCTGAGAAAGTCAACAAAACATCATTTGACCAGGGGTAATCAAACTTTTGCATTTGGCCATATAGGTCATTCAGTCAGTTTGACCTAGGTTGAACTTCAGTGACTGTAACTGTACAAATAGATTTGAAATTGTCCAGTGTAATAGAAATGGAATAGTGTAGCTGTTATTTAGTGTAACATGAAGACATACATTAGAATTTTAGAGATTTTGTGATTGCTTTTTAGTGATTTTATTTAATTAGTTTTCATTTGAGTTTCAAGAGTTTTCATTTGCTTCATTCGATACAAAGATTGTATCTAATTTTGCAGGGTTGTAACGTGTCATCATTGTATGCATGATGGTATACATAATTGTAGCTCATTTTCTCTGACTACAGAAGTGAAATTACGTGTATGTAATTTAGTGTCACTTTTCTGACCAGCAAATCTGAAGCGTGTGCAGTAAAATCGACCAGAGATAGAAGACAAAACCTTTCTTACTTATGCAAATAAGATCACATATCATTTCAGAAGTGTATTTCCTGCATTCTCTGCAAGGTGTGAAAACATCTTAACATATTGGTGAATGGTAAAACTAAATGTTGGTGAACCAGCATGTATAGATAAACAGTGGTCACAGCCTGTAAAAACCTCACAGTCAGTAGCAGATAACAATGACACATTATACCTGTAATAAAGCATGATTGAATAGGTGGTCTATCAACATGAATACAAAGATACATTTGAATTAATAGGTGATATGGAACAATTACAGTCTAATTCCTCATGGCCAGTTTTTGTAATAAAAAGCCCTTTCTGTCCAGTCAGTGTTTTGTATTGTCTAATGTTCATTTCTGTGTCCAGGACGATTTCTGGGGGAGGCGGTGGGGGCCTGACCTGGACTGTTTTGCACTAGCCCCTCTGACCTCTTGCCCTCTGATGGAGCGCCTCCGTTGGATCAGGCACCAATGGCAGCAGGTGAGTGCCACAGATTCAAGGCAGGACTGGACCTCTCCTGCTAACTTGCTGCCCTCAAAAAATGACTTGGATCCCCAGGACCACACGGGGCACCGACTTTCTGGGAAACGGAGGACAGTAGTAGCACGATATGGCCCACACCAGGCGGAATACCACAACATCTCTAAGGGGTGTCAAGGCAATGGTATCCGTACCACCAAGTACACCCTTCTCAGCTTCATACCCATGAATCTGTTTCAACAGTTTCACAGGTAAGATATCATGTTCAGGCAAGTTCAGAGCTGTATTAGAGCAAGTGGAGTGAATGTAGTTGTGATAGGTGTTAGGGCCTGACCAACATGAAAGTTTTGTTTTGACTGATTTTAAGGTGCTAATAATGTCAGGCAACATAAACAGACTTTTAAACAGTTTTAGTTTAAAAATGTTTTGCTCATATTTGTCCTTATTTTTCGTTCTCTTCATAGAAAGTTTTGTGGTCTGTACTGAAGTCTACAAGTTCAGTCTGTAGCACAGAATTAGAAGTGAGTAAGTGGTAACTGTCAGCTGTAAGGAAACTCAACAAAGTCATTGATTTTGCTCACATCAGAGATGTATGTTAGTTAAATGGTTATACAGTAAAAAAGAAATCACTTAGTATCATCCATAACATGCATGATTTTCATGCAGAAGTTTTGCCAATAGTAAAAATTCCATGGGACGTGATATTATTGGCCAACTGGTGTAACAGTCTGTCCAAAGGTCCGAAGCATGTAATCTTAGATAATGTGCACAGGAAAACTACATATAAAGGGGAATTTAGGACACGTTTAGCTGAAGTGTGAACAAATTTGGAAAGACCCTTATTAACATGAGTGTTTCTGTAGGGCGGCAAACCTGTACTTCTTGTTCCTGGTGTTGCTGAATTGGGTTCCTGTGGTGGAGGCGTTTCAGAAGGAAATCACCATGATCCCTCTGGCTGTGGTGCTCACTGTCATTGCGTTCAAAGATGCCATGGAGGACTACAGGCGGTACCGCTACGACCAGAAAATAAACAACACCATAACACATGTTTACAGCGGGTCAGTGTGTGGGTGATTTGATATTTTGGTATTTTGATTTGTTTATGTGTGTGTGTGCATGTGTGTTATTATCGTAAATGCTCAGTACCTTGTAGGATCTCTTGTAGAATTGTAGGAGTGGGCTTCTTGGATTTTTTTTTTATGTATTCCCTTTTGTTTTTGGCTTTTTGACAGTTGGCCTCACGTTAGGGCTGAAAGCTAAATTCTTTTTATTTTGAAATCGCAATTGAAAGACTACAGTTTTCAAATCGCAACAGCTGCCATATTAATTATGTCCTATATTATCAACAACATTGTTCTAAGTTTTAAATGGGAAAAATGTGGTGTGTTGCTAACAACACAATAACATCGGGCAGCCCTGCAAACTAAATTTAGCGTTCAAGCCTCAAGCTAGAAAATGTTGATGTGTTAGTGTTTATAGCCAAAAAACACAATTAAAATCGCAATTACAATATTGGTCACAAAAATCACAAACACATATTTATCCCAAATTGTTCAGCCTTACCTCACACTGTGCTGAAGTGTTCTGTGCTGAATGCTGTAACCACGCTCCTTATATTTTGTATGAGACTCTGCAGTTTTGGGCCCTGGCACTTTCATTGATCTCCATGAAGGGCATGAATAGCTTGTTTCTGAAAGTTTATTCATATTCATTGACGTTTCTTATGGCAAACAATACCTTTAGGACTAATACCTGATACTTTCGTGTGGGCATGGGCCGATAACTGAATATATCAAATAAATATAATTTAAATAATCACCAATTATTATGCAATCAATCATTATTTTGTTATGTTTCTCATGCCACATGCTTTTTTTCTTCGTGTCTGGATCTCAATGATACTGTTTATCATGATGGTTCTACAGACAATAATCGTTTGTCTAAATGTACATTATCATCCAAGCTTATTGTGGTGATCCGTAGCCTGAGTTTATATCAAGTTTGTGACTGTACCGTAATATTGCTTTGGAAGAATAACTAAAGAAAGTGAATAGGATAAAAAAAGTGTTTTGATGGCATGATATGTCTATTTATCTTCCATATATAATTCTTTAAATACACACAAAGAAAGCACAACATGATGATATTCCAGTTCACTTGGTAATAAACTATAATAAACTTGCACAATTGCCATGTGAGGAAAATGAAACAGATATTTAAGAAGTACACATGGTGCATGTTTATGTACTAATTTTATTTTCCTTTTTTTATAATTTAATTTAAATTAATTTCTGATTTAAAATGTAGTTCAACAAAGAGAAAATACATAAGTTGCAGACAGTGAAAGTTTTGCTTTATATTTATTTTGAAAATACTTGGAAAAGTGAAGTAAAAACTAAAAATTAAATACGTTAATAAATTTTTCTTATGACAGAACATTTGTCTTAAACTGCTGGTAGACAGAACAAAATTGTTAACCCGTTACAGGAAATACAAAAAATATTGCAAAAGCCTGTTATGGGCTTTGATGTGTGGAAGTCCCTCCCCAGCTCTCAACCTGAACAGGTGGGCTAGTTCCAGAATCTACAAATAAGGTGGGAGTGTTTTTCAGGAAAAGCAGTAAAAGTTATAGGTTGCTGTAAGTGACTGTGACTTCAATGAAGAGTCTCTCCCTCCCTCCCCTGTGCCTTTCTACCCTTGTGTTATATTAACTCACTGATTAATGAGTCTTTTAAATTGGCTGTAGTAGATTACTTACCGCTGTCATTTCGGACAGACAGAGCACACCCTGTTCAGCGTCACTTTTTCGAAGTAATGCTTGTGACTATTGTTCTATGTGTATCATAGCTACTAGTGTTGGGCCTCTGAGCAAGCAACAGACAGCATTCTAAAGAGCGTTAGCTGGGCATTCATTTACCAACCACTTTGTCTTTCTGTCCTATATTTCGAAAGCACCTTCACTCTGATTTTTTATGACTTCTGGGATTGTTTCCTGGATGAGGAGCGGCCCTGTGTGTGTGCTTTAGATTGCCAGGCTTGGCGTCAGATACACCTGCAACATGCGTATGTACACACTGTGCTCTCTCCGCGAGAAGATCCTCGAAAAACACCAAACGCACTGAAGAAGTGGATTCCACCCCAGGGAAGTGCGGGACATTGCTAGGAAGGATGAAGACACTGAAAGCTAATGAGATGCGGATTTAAGACACAGTCAAATTTGTGAAAGCGGCTGGACATGTTGGAGATAAAGGTGTTGTCTGATTTGGACGTCAGGGACGTTTTCAGCCGACATTTCTTACTGAAGTTGAAGGCTCGGTGCCTGTAGGGCTTTTTCGTGGCTTCACCAGCAGATATGCAGGGACCTGGGTTGGGGAGAGACCCCCAGGCAAAGAAGAGGAGAGTGGTGATCCCAAGCTGGACTTATGATGAGGAAGCTGAGAGATTACAGAAGAAGTACAGTGGGAATAAGATCAGGACCACCAAGTACACCTTCCTCTCTTTCATCCCCAAGAACCTGTTTGAGCAGCTTCACCGCTTCTCCAACTTCTATTTTCTTTTTTTAGCTGCGTTAAATTTCGTGCCCATTGTGAACGCGTTTCAGCCAGAGATTGCAGTCATACCCATTGTTCTGGTAATGTCCGTCACAGCTGTAAAAGACCTGTGGGAAGATCAGCGAAGGAGAAAATCTGACCGGCAGGTCAACAACCTGCTTTGTGACACGTATGACAGGTGAACATGCGTTAAACATGAAAACAGATGTACAGAAGTATCATTCAAAGATGTAAAGAGGTGTTTCAGAAGAATTCTACGCAGTCTTTGGGTTTAGAGTCCCTTAGTTCACTTAGCTGCCAGCTGATTAACTGGCATGCTGTTGTAATACAGCTACAGAGGTGACTAATTACAGATCAAAGCAGATGGGAAAGCCCTAAAGCCAAACATGATGCTTAGCTCATATCCATTTGCTGTGTATGATTTGGTCATGCAAGTCTGAAAATCAAACTTTTAGCAGTACAAACACAAAATCTGACACTGTACTGAAAAAGTACACTGAATAGTATTCACATTACATTATATTACAGAATACTATGGAAAAGTGGGAAACTTGCTGTATCCGAAATTCTATATCAGTCTGTAGAACCCTTTCACGATGCAAAGAACACTATAATCATGCAAAGGGTTCTTTGAATGTTCATGGTTCTAGATGGAACCATTTTCTTTAGTGAAGAACCCTTGAAAAAAACATCTTTTTAAAGAGTGTATCATTTCTTATATGCAGCATGTCCAAACTTGTAATCATCACGGCTACGACAGTGGCAAGAAAAAACTCTCTAAGACTTTCCTAAACATTTTCTTTAGTTTTCGTCTTTCTCAGATCTGTGACGTTTAATGAAAAACTGAAACGTGCTCTTTTTGAGCTGTTGCATTACTGTTCTTGTATACTTTTAGTCATTAGTTCAATCCTTTCTTGAAGCTGTTTCTTCAGCCAGCTCTGTTTTTCAGTCGTGCTCAGAACAGCGGAGTAGCTAGTAGCAATTGCCTGTGAGCTGATTACACAGCTCTCAGGGCAGGTGCTGGGGGAAGGGGTGTGTGTTTGTGTGTGTTATGAAGATACTGCAGCTCTTAAGGCCTCCTGACATTACTGTAATGGGAATACACTAAACTTCAGTGCTCACAAAGGCCGGTCTCTCTGGTCTCTTTCTTCCACTCTCTCACCCAGTCCGAGCTGATACATCTCGTTCTCTGTGATGTATGGCAGTGCCAGTGTAAATCTTTGGACAGTCACGTGCTCTGTTTGACCGTAACTGTTTTTCTTTCATCCTTTTGTTAACCTTGCACACTTGTATATCTAAAAGGGGAATTCCACTGATTTTTCAAAATTTCTGAATTGTTGTTGAAATGTAAACAAAGTCATTCAGAGTGGTCTAAAGTGAAATGGTTAATTACAGAGAAGCTTACTGATTTGGATTTTCTTTACAGTGGTTGTGGTAGGAACAAGGGTTTATGATGTTTGCAACACAAATATAGCTATTGTGTTTACTATCTAAAACCATCAGTAAACCTACACATGTCTTCTGAGTTTTATATGTAATGTTGATGATGGTAAAATAGTGGAAATCTGAAAAGAAAAGCTTTATTTGGGTGCTGTTTGGCCTTACAGTGCCATGCATATACCGCTCTGTCACTTTAGTCCAAAACATCTCAAAACTAATAACTTCCTGTAATGTAGCTTTTAGAGGCATTAAACTCATTTACATTCAGTGTCACCACAGCTCTGACTCAATAAGTTTCCCTGCGACTGAGCGTTTCACATCAAACCACTCTCAAAGAAGTTTTTAAAAAAATGGTCAATTCCCCTTTTAATAACAACTTGTTTTCATGTAGTTTCTTAGGATGTGGACACTCAAAGAAGCTTAAGGGGTTAAAGCTGTGCCTAATGTACATTGATAGTAAAGTTCTAAGGTTACCCTTGTAAATAATTAGGCATGTGCTGTTATTTTTCTTAACGCGTCCACTAATTTAACTACACAGAGTTCAGCAGTGCCGTCACTGTAGCGACAACAGATCAAGTAGTCAGACTTTTTCTATAATGTCTACTGAATAAACACCTAAAGCTTGTACTGTGAACTCCTCAGGCTTTTGTCGTTTTACGTAAGGCAGTTTGTTATTTTGCACATTGATAAAGCTACTTATACAGATAAATAGTACAGAAGTTCCTGATAAGTGAAACTACTGGGCTTGAATTAATGGTTAACTTGCACCACACTTATGGTATTGATGATTGTTTTATTAGTACGCATATTTCTGGGTCAGAGGTGCACTAAACAATGGATTACACCCTGCTTGTGTGTGTGTCTGTGTGTGTGTGATTGCTTGTGTACCCATGAGGAATGTCCCACCATATTATCAGTTGCTTTGTGTGCCCAAACTCACTCCAGTCCCTCTAGCAACACATTTGACATATGAAGGCAAGTCTTACAGGTGATTAAAGTGCAGTGTGTCATAAAACCTATAAGGCAGGCTGTATCATATCACAAACTTGCTCAAGATAGACAGCGCATGTACGTTACCAATGTTTCATATTGTAGACTACATAAACTCCGGAGGTTAACCTCTAAAACTTCACAGAACTGCCAGCAGTTCCATTCCTTACTCTTATTAAGCATAACTTGTTTTTCATGTAATTACTGAATAATAATCCTCAGGGTGTTAAAGCAGTTAAATCATTAATAGCATTTGAATTAGGGATTCACCAATACCTCTTTTTCCTTCCGATACCTGTCCATATGTGTTACAGTTAAAACACACTCAGCTTGAAGGAATAGCATTCACTGGTTGGATAACTTCACATTTGAATGGTTTTCAAGCCACTAAACTTTGCTTTTTTCCACTGTTTCTGCACAATGAAGGGGTTCAGGTTTAAACAAAGTGATTGAAAGTGGTTTGATTTGAATGCTCTGTTTTAAAGAGTGAGAATTCTTCACAGTGGTGGTGATGGGAACCAGACATCTGAAGTGTTAAATGCCTCTAAAAGCTGCATCACATAAGGTTTTCACATTTTACCATTATCAACGTTACAATTATAATCTTAGATTTGCATTGTAGATATTGTGACTTCTGGTTCCTGTCACCACCACTGTAAAGAAGATGTGGGTCAGTAAGTTTCTCTACAATGCACCATTTCACATCAAAACCTGAATAACTTTGTTTACATCTCAACCATTTAATTCTGGAGTCATTTCAAAGAAGTGGTCCTACTGGTGTGCATGCAAGCAATGTCTTCATGTTATCGGTATCCTTTTGTTTACAACACTGTCTCTGTTTTTAAGTGCCAGTATGAAGGCCAGTACTGATACTGAGTGTTGGTGCGATACTGATTGAGACTCACAGCATTCTCAGGCTGGTGAAGTTGTTTAGCCTAGTTCAGTATGAATCCCATGTGGTCTTGACATAAAGGGAAGGATTATTGTTACATTTTGTGCTCCTGTGGCCGAGTTTCCGTTTTTTTTCGTTTGTTGTTGACGTCAAAGCAGCGTACATAAAGTAGTGCTTAGTTTTTGTGCGAGTTGCAGTTTTGTGTGTCTGTGGGTGTTGTGTGAGAAGGAAGGAAATACATGGAATAATTGTAGCAATGTTTAAATTGTTTAAACTATTATGCATGCTGCCATAATACAAATCTGACCTAAAAAATGTTTGATATTTTTGTGTATGTGTGTTGTAGGAGGCAGAGGCGATATGTGGAGCGGCGCTGGGCTGAAGTTTGTGTGGGTGATGTAGTGCGTCTGTGCTGTAATGAGATCATTCCTGCTGACATGGTGCTGCTCCACTCATCTGACCCAAATGGAATATGTTACATTGAAACTGCCAATCTGGATGGGGAAACAAACCTCAAACAGAGACAGGTGGTCCGAGACCTTCCTCAACAAGTGAGCTAAAACTATTATCATTAGCTCCTTCTTTTAACTCTAATGACTTAAATCAGGCATACAAATTATTTAAATCATTTAAATCAAGGGATTATACACTGTTGTTACACTTTGTACTGTTAGAGACTATAGCTCTTCTTTGTCCAAAAACCCATTTATATACTCCAAGCAACACCCCCTACTATACCACTACTAAGTTAGTATCACTGCTGTGCTGAGAATGTTCAACCACCTAATTAATATCTGGTCAGTGGTCCCTCTGCATTGATTAATGAGGTAGAGGGGACTGATAAATTGTAAAGCAACAGAGGAGCTACAGTCTGTAACTAGAAACAATAAAGTGGACCTAAATGGAACAAACCTCAATTCCAGAAACATTGTGACAATATGTGAAATGCAAATAAATAGAGAGAGCGCTGATTTGTAAATCCACTTTGACCTGTATTTGAACAAACACAGTATGTGTGTATTACATTTTGAACGTCATTGTTTTTTATAAATATATGCTCATTCTGAAATTGATGCCTGTCATGTTCAGAAAATTCAGGACAGGGGCAATTTAAGAGTAGGAACTATGTGAGGTTTTAAAGAAATATCTTAAAAAGGAGAGACAACAAGACTTATAAGGTATATAAGGAGCATTCAGGAAAGGCCAAGTCCTTTATGAGCAAGGATGGGTAAAGGCCCGCTACTTTGCCAAAAAATGCATCAGTGAATAATCCAGCTGTTTTAGAACAATGTCCCTCCATGAGTGATTGCAAGAATTTTAGGTATTTCACCCTCTTTGGTGCATATTTTCATTAAAAGATTCAGGGAATCTGAAGAAATCTCTGTGCATACAGGCCAAAAACGCAGCTGAATGCCTGTGACCTTCGATCCCTCAGATGGCACCGTGTTAAAAATGGCATGCTTCTGTGATGCATACATATCTCCACATAGGCTCGGGAATGCTTTGACAAACCATTGCCAGAGAACACTGTTTGTCTCTTCATCCACAAATGCAAGTTACGATTGTACTATGCACAGCGAAAGCCATATGACAACAACGTTCAGAAACTCTCCCGACTTCTCTGGGTTTCAGCTTCTCTGAAGTTGACTGATGTGCAGTGGAAACATGGACTGTGATCCCAACTTTTTTGGAATTGAGATTTTTAGATAAACCTCCAAAAATGGATTATGAGTAGCTGCAAGAGTGTTCCTAATAAACTGGCATCTCACTTTATTATCTGTATGCCCTTTGTCTTAGGGATCAGAATTTACTCCAGAAAACTTCAACAGTCGCATCGAGTGTGAAAACCCCAATAATGATCTGAGGCGCTTTAGGGGCTACATGTGAGTCTATATGAGTGAACTGTTGATATTTCAGATTTTTAATTTTTATGCTAATGGTGATGTTGGTTTGTTATGTAAATATATAGAGACAAAGCTTACTTGCTTACTCTATAACATTTGTCTCTGTATGTGTGTGTGTTCAGGGAGCACCCTAATAAAGTAAGAGTGGGATTACATAGTGAAAACCTCCTGTTGAGAAGCTGTACAGTGAGGAACACAGAGACTGTGACTGGCATTGTGGTCTATGCAGGTAACACCAGTTAAAAGTTAAAAGTGTGCATGTATGTGTGTGTGTGTGTGCATGTATGTATACAAATTATTCCAACTAAATACCTGCTTGCACTTTGGTACCTGTCCACTGATTTACCTTTTTATCTGCTGCACGAATGCTCAACATCTGGAGTCAGTAGCATGTGTTCTTAATGGCCACAGCTCCCTGAAAGGTCTGTACATTGCAAGATGTTACAGTCTTGTGGACTTGATAGTTGCACAGGTCCTACACTTACAGGATGAGAAAATCTAAAAGCACTTCAGAGCTAGACCCGACTGGTTTAATACTACAGTTGAAGCTTTCTCAGAAATTACAGATGCACCAGATATTTTTTTTTTTCATTTCCTGGAGTTGCAAGAATGTCACCTTTTTTTTCAAAATATCACATGCTTTTGATTTATTTTAGAAGAGGCATATACTAGAGCTGCACAATAAACCATTTTTGTATTATTATCACTGAATGAGTTTCTGCAATAAATACATCACAAAGAGCTGCTATGACAAAACAGATCAAATTACTTCACACACAGTGCCAAGGTGGTGTTAATAGACTGGCAGGAACAAATAGTTAGGAGAACAATGAGTGGTTGCTGGGGTTAAACAGTGCGCAGTGCAAAACTACTCTGTCCTGAACTACTAGCCTGTACTTAAATTGTGATGACTGTTGTCACTCCCAGTGTTTTGTTTTGTAAAATGTGTCATTCAATAATGGTTGTCACAACAAACCTGCATCACTATAAGGAAGTTATTAAGGAATTAAATGTTTGTTTATTCATTTTTGTAATCCTTTGTAAAATTAAAAAAAATATATAGAGACTTTGTCCTCTTTCATGAAATGCTGACTGATTCTCAGCCTCTGAGTGTATAAAATATGTTTGCAGTTTTCATGTAAATAGCTATCAGTATTTTTTTTATTTTAGCTATTTGCCTGAAGGAGATGCTAGTTCTATTTCTGTTTACACCCTAGAGTCAGAGGCACAGTACTTTAATCATAATTTACTGCTTCTCATATTGTCATTGTGATATCCAACAGCTTTTTATATCCATACTGTGCAGCCCTACTGTATACTATACAAGAGTGAAGAAGTACTCATTTCTTATTACTGCTGTTGAAAACATAGCATTTAAAAGTCTTGGACTTTTGCACAGGCTTGCAGTGCATGGACCTTACATTGGAGAATTAAATAAGACAAAAGCCAAACAGTTGATATATTGTTATATTTCAGCTGTTATATTTGGAAAAGCTATTTCCGCTGCTTTCTTGTTCCTTGACATCCGTATGAACTAATGAGCTGTATTCCATGTTGGATATATTAAGAACATTTGTTTCTTGCTGATACTTTATTTTGTATATGGGAACAAATGAAGTGTCTGAAATTTTAACAGGTCATGAGACAAAAGCAATGCAGAATAACAGCGGGCCGCGCTATAAGCGCAGTAAACTGGAGCGCAGGCTTAATGTAGATGTCCTGTGGAGTGTAGTCCTACTGCTGCTCATGTGCCTTACTGCTGCTGTGGGTATGTATCACTCACTCCTACATGCCATATGCTACTCAGTGCATCCACACCAACAGATCATTGTCAGATTGTGGATATTCTTTAAAGCAGTCCCAAAAGCCAGTCAAGGTGGTGCAGTACAGTAATTTAGCCATGGTTAAGAGCTGATGTTTGGCACATCTGAAACTGAATGCTTATAAACCCCTGTAGTAAAATCACACACAGACTCAGGCTTGTTCTTTTTATAAAACGTCCAAAAAAAGTGACACAGTAGACAGTATGATTGATTAAATACACCAGTGTTCAATAAATCATTGAATTTATTATTAATAATAATCACAAATACAGAATTCAGTTGAGGTGTGTATATTTACTATTTCATGTGACTTGGCCAATCAGATTTTAGAACCAGAACCATCTGTTTTACAGCATTCATTTACTGTAATATTATTTGATGTTATTTGTTTGTGTCTACATTATTAAATCAGGATTCTGCTTTTGTTGATTAGGCCATGGTGTGTGGCTGAGCGGTCTGAAGGATCCTGTCTTCATGATCCCTGATGACACACACCCTGCCCTTGCTGGCTTCTACATGTTCTGGACTATGATTATTGTCCTGCAGGTGTGTGTATATATAGCATCTCTGCAAACACGTCTACTCTGACCCACACTGGCTACCAGCATACTGTCTTCATGGCCTCATAAGGTTGCTTAGTCAGTATTGTGGATATTTATGGTTTCTCAGACTAAACTGCTAAACCTTTCTTTGCTTATACCATTACAGCCATGAATGTAATCAGTGTTCATGGCACTTACATTGTTTTTATACCTGACTTTTTTATTTTATTTTATTAGGTTTTGTCATTCAGTTTTGCTAACTCTTACTGCTGTATATCTGAATATAAAATGTTTGTTGCAATGGATGTTTGCATATGTACAGTCATATGCAAAAGTTTGAACGCCCCTGTTCAAATTGCATGCGAAAACAAAAGTGAATATAAGCGAACACATGTTCTGCAGGGGACAAACTTAAATGTGGCATTTTTCTGCAAATTGTAGTGCACAAGTTTAATGTATCGGAAAAAAGGTAACATAAAATATAAAATGTGCTATAACTTTTGCCTAGGCCACTTTTTGTTTATTTTTCCCTAATATGTTAAATTCAGCAAATAAACATTAACTGTGCATTAAAATGTAACAGAAGTATGTTCTCTGTAGAGGATGTGTGCTTTCTTTCACTTTGGAAATCATAAGCGGAGTGAACTGGAGTGCAGGCTTAAGGTTGATGTGCTGTGGAGTGTAGTCCAAAACCAAGGGTGCTCAAACTTTTGAATATGACTGTATATGGCAGTGTGTGCTACTGTGTATTGTAGGAATTTATAGCAGGCTTAAAGTTATTTTGGTTTCAGCAGATATTTGCTTAAAAAATAAATTATTGGCATCGAGCGGGTTTGAATGGGAATGTTTAGATGCTAATATGTCTGCATTTTACTACATTATAATCTTACATTTTTTAATGAATGTATATTTGTACAAATGTTTATATAACGGCAAGAGCAATTATGCTTGACATGAAAAATATTGGATATCAGATATCTGCATTATATTGTGAGTTACTGTGTAAACAAAGGCAAATTCCTTGTATTTGCAGACTTGCAGTACTTGGCCAATAAAGCCTGATTCTGATTCTCACTTAAACATACACATGTGCTCTTACCCTCTTTTTTATCTCTGTGTTTGTTACAGGTGCTCATTCCAGTCTCCTTGTATGTGTCTATAGAAATAGTGAAGTTGGGACAGATCTATTTTATCCAGAATGATCTGGATCTGTATAATGCCAGGCTGGATTCTAGTGTGCAGTGCAGGGCACTGAACATTACGGAGGATCTAGGACAGATCCAGTACCTGTTCTCTGACAAGACAGGAACCCTTACGGAGAACCGCATGCTGTTCCGCCGGTGCACTGTTGCTGGCACTGAGTACCCTCATCATGAAAACGGTCAGTTTTACCCCACCCCAATGATGACCTGCAGTGGTTTGATAACAAACATGTCTGTGTGTCTCTTCATTTGTTTGAGCTTGCTGAGCCACTTCTATCAGTTTTCCTCAGTGGTTTATTAATGAATGGGTTCTACAAACTGTGTCTTTTATTGTTCGCTTTGAATGTCATGAAAACATTTTCAGTTTGTATTACAGTAACTGTGTTACAGTATTATTTTTCTTGTATATGAACACAAATACTTAAAATATGTTAAAAAAAAAAACTATTCTTTTAGCAGGGTGGACAAACCCCCTTTCTGTTTATATGGCCTGCTGCAGCCTGCAGGATGTTACTGTAGCCATAACACTGTGGGCTGCTTGCCTTGTTTTAGTGCCAAGTGACAGGAGGAACTGTTTGGTCAAGTTGGTCATATACCTTATACACTCACTTCCAATTAGTTTGTTGTGGCTTAGTGAGCTAGCAGAATCACTGCCTGTCAGCATATTCAAAAACAATATAAACCACCCTGTTTGTGGTGACTTCTAAAATCTTTGCTCTTTATGAACTCAGTGACTGTAGGATAGTTAATATATTTGACTAGGTATTAGTATGGCACTGTTTTCATACCTCTACACACTTTATGTAAAATCTCACACTATATATTCCCTTCTGATTAGTTAAATCAGCTACTTTGAGTTGTATCCATTGCTGACACAGGTGTTCATTTGCACAGAGGCAGCTTGAATTGCCTTATAGATTAGCAAAGCACTATAGAAAAGGCACCACCAATAGAATAGGATGCTCTAGAGGAGCCACACATGAGCCTAAAGTCACCATGCCCAACAGTGTTGGGCTGTGGAGCAGAGGAACTGCATTCTCTGGACTGATAATGCTCCATCCAGTACCCTTAGGATAAGTTAGATTGGCATTTGTGATCCAGAAGTAATCATTCAACATCAGTATCTGATCTCAGTAATGCTCTTGTGGCTGATTGCAATCAAGTCCATACAGCAATGTTCCAACATCTAGTGTAAAGATTTCCTAGAAGAGTAGAGGCTGGTGCTGCAGCAAATGAGGGGCAAACTCTCTATTGATGTTCTTGATTTCAGAAGAAAAGTTGGATGAGCAGGTGCCTAGAAGCTTTTGGACATATAATGTATCTTAATGTGATAAGTTTTAATTACAAATTATTTTGGACCTCTGTTGTTCAGTTCATCATGAAATCTTAGTAATCTTAAAGGGCCCATATTGTTTTTTGTCACAAGAAGAGAAGAAGAATTTGATTTTCCATTATATGGGCCATTTAAGTTTCTGTACAGCAGTGGTCATGAACCCTGGCCCTGGAGATCTACCTTCCTGCAGAATCTAGTTCCAAACATAGTCTGCCAAACCTGATTGGCTGGATCGGATGCATTACTGTTAGTGTTTTTGATGCAGGTTGGAACTAAAACTCTGTAGTACAGAGCTATAGTAGCACAGAAGCTAAGCAAGATATTGACCCTGAAAACAGACTGTAAGACCTTATCATTTGTTATCAGCAAATAAAAATGGTCAGTAAAAACATACATGTTGGGTGCATGTTGTGTGGCCTAAAAGACTGTGATATTATTTCAGCTTTCAACTGATGTATCTGCATATGCTTCATGTTGGCATTATGTGATGACTCTGCAGTAATACGTATTTCTATTCCAACTTCCAGCACGTGCCATGGAGCTGTATGAAGAGCAGTGCCACGGGCCGCTGGATAACACACTCTCACTGCGCTCTCGCTCCAGCAGGAAGTCTCTCAACTGCAATCACAGCTCCGTATCTCTCAACACACTTGCTGCAGGCTCTGACATACACTCGCCACATGACACACTCCGGCGACACGCAGCTGGGGCTTTTAGCAGTACCATGGTGAATAAAGGAGAATCCTAATCATAATTAATTTATTTGTATACTATTAGAATAATAAATAATAATAGCAACCACTATAAATTATACTAACATGAATCCCTTAAAATCCCAGGTTTATTACGGGTTTATTATTCAGTAACTATAGGGACAAATTGGCTGAGCTATTCTTAGGTCATAGAAGTGTGTAATAAAACTGGGCCCGCCGGTGGGCACTGGCTATTTAAGAGATTAAACTGATGTGCAAGTTATGTCTTTATGACAGTGAAGCTAATTAACTGTTGGTTCAGTGTGATAAATTGAATGAACAGCAATTTCTTGAAAATTAATGGACAAAACTCAATGAAATTCTACTTACTGGATCTACTGTACATAGATCAAAAATGATAGAACTATGAAGTTTAGCATATATTAAATCTGAAGTGTGAGACCTGGGTTTTATCCTTGATGCTTAATTTAGTTGACATTGACAGTGTAGCCAAAAGAGCATTTTTTCTCTTTTCTTAAGAACATTTCTAAAGTCTTCCTAAGGTTCCTAAGAACAAAGCACAAAAGAAATGGTGAGGCTGCGTTTAGAGTTAATCTCCCATGAGACACAGAGCACGCATATTCAGTTAGCGGTTTTAAAAGGCAGCTTTTCTGTAGTTTAATTTATGTTAGCATTTGACTTTTTATAGGCAAATGTTTATTTTTAATATTATTTAAATTTCCTTTAGATTTTCAATTTTTTTATGTGCTACAATTTATTTTTGTCCATTTCATTATTATATAACCCTTTATTCTTATTTATTTATTGTTACTTCAGAAGTATTTATCTTCAGAATTGATTTTACATTTTTATTTTCCTTTCTTTTTTCAAGGAAGTTTTCTGTTTTTCAGAGAAGGAAGTTTTCAGTTCTTTCTTTTATGCTGGCTTTCATTTGCCTTCCTCATAGTGAGGCACTTTTAGCTGTATTCAATGTATGAAAGGTGCTACACGAATAAAGATGATGACTACATGATGGCAAATACAGTTCAAAGGGTTAATGGTATCTGAACATTAGACAGTGTTGACATTTAGCTTTGTGTATGTGTGTATTTGTTCCTCAGGAGTGCGCAGTGGTTCCAGATGTGCAGCTACAGAGAAAGCTGAGTGCGCTCTCCTCTCCCTATGTGTCCTCCTCTTAGACATGACACTGCAGAACTCTCCCACATCCTGGACTTTTTCCTTGCTCTAACCGTCTGCAACACAGTGGTGGTGTCCTCCCCCAGCCAGCCGCGCCACATGGTACGATTCCTAGGCATTTATGGCCTCTTTTGTTACCTCCTGTTTCACCTCCTCTCATGTTACCTGTAATCACATTTCACACCATTTGCTTCTGCTCTGATCTACAGAAACACACCACTGTTTAGAGGTTTATATTAACTCTCCACATTCTTGATAAAAAGGTGCCACAAAAGGTTTATTTAGGGAACCACTTTTGGTTCCCTAAAGAACCATGTTTGACATGATGTAAAGGTTCTAAACCAATGTAAGGGATCTTCCTAGACCATTTTTATTATGTGGAGGTTCTTTAAACTTTAAAAATGTTCCTCACATTCACTTCTGTTTTACAAAAATAGTTCTGTATAAGGTTATAAGGTTCTTTAGGGAAGCAAAAGTGGTTCTTCTATTGGCATCAGGAAAAATAACCTTTTTGATATGTTTATTTTTAAGAGTGCACATGCCACTGTCTGTTCAGCTCACATATCACAAGCACATGTTGAAGGCTGTAGTAGGCCTCGTCTAACAGTTATTCATTTCAAGCAGTCAGCTTATCAAACTTGGTCTTATGCCAGTTTCTCTGAGCTGTCCCTGTCATAGCTCTGCAAGTTCATCTGTACACCAGTTGATTTCTTCTTGTATGATGCAGCAAAACAGTGGAAGCCATATCGCCCCCAATGCTTTGTGTAGTGTACTGCAGCCTTGCCACATGTATCAAATAAATGGAGAGCAATGTCAGCAAGTTTGCACATATGAGCTCTTTGATGCCTGCAGTATATGTTTGTTATGCATGTGGATTAAAGACAGAACTTAATTTATTAATTTTTATGTTATATGTTTTTAAAAATAATACAATTAAAATATAACACACAAAATGGTCAAAATAAATCTCTGTTTATTAAATGAAAGTTAATTAAAAACTTAATTAATCTACACAGTTGGACCTTAAAACTACGGTTGTACCTTTTTTTTTTCCTGACAGTGTACAATGTGTTCTCGGGAGTCTTAAGGCTAAAGCTTTAGCATTAGCTAGAAAACAGTTGCTAACTTAGCCTAGCTGTTTGTAGTAGCCTTAAGTGATATGTAGTTTTTTACAGTATCAGCATTTTTCAGTACCAGATGTACAGTAATATATAAAGGTTTGAGAGTACACATCCTCTACAGCAAACACACTTTTGCACATTTTAAAGCACAATTACTTATGTCCATGTGCTGAATTTAACATATTTGGGGAAAAAAAAAACACAAAATGTGGCCTGTGCAAAAATGATGGTGCATTTTATATTTTATATATTTTTTCCAATATGTCAGACTCAGCGCATGAATAGAAATTTATTTTAAAATGTGCAGAAAAATGTTATTCAGGTTTGTTCCCTGTAGACAATGTGTTAACTTATTTTTACTTCAAAAGGGACTCAGCGTGTTCAGACTTTTGCATATGATTGTAAATGGTCAGTGACGATTGCTTATAAACAGTAGCAGTGTAGGTTCAATAAAATGTTATATTTAAGGATTATGCTGACAAACATCTGGCCAGGACTTGCAACAGATCATTGCAGATGTTTAAAATACAAATTTTATAGATGATAGGATGCTACAGCTTGTATCAAATAATATTATCCATTAATGATAAAAAAAAACCCAAGGATGAAGTTGCAGTTATACCAATTGCAAAATATCATGTAGACAGTTATATAGTATTGTAGAGTGTTTAAGTACATAATGTGTAATCAACATTCACATAATCAACTTTATTGATGATTAATAAACTTAGGTGACCAATCATAGCATTCCAGAGATTTTGTAACTTCACTAACTGGTCCTCAAAAGCTGTGATGCTAGTTGATCATGTCTGAAATGAGATGTGTTGCTGGTTACAGGTGCAGATGCCGGTGGCTCGCACTCCACTGCGCTCTCTGGAAGAGATGAAGGCTCTGCTGCAGAAACTCAGCCTCCCTCGCTTCTCCCTGTCCCCCTCTCAAAGCGCAGACAGCCCCCCGGGCCTTACCCGCAGACTGTTCTCCCGGGGCCGCTCAGCCACCTATGCCCCAAACACCCCCAACACCCCAAGCGCTCAGCCACACACACCCACTTTCACCACGCCTAGCCACACACCGACACACACTCCATCACCCAGCTCCACCCCCTTGCCCAACCATAGGGGAGCCTGTGGGAAGGATGAGGAGCGGCTGCTGCAGCAGCAGCAGCCTCACATAGAGCTAGCTGACGAAGACTCTGTCGAAGAAGAAGATGGCGATGATGATGATGACGATGAGGAGGAGGAGGAGTTGCTGTATGAGGCGGAGAGCCCAGATGAAGCAGCCCTGGTGCAGGCAGCCAGGGCGTACGGCTTCACTCTGCTGGGCCGGTCCCCGGAGCAGTTGCTAGTAGCCCTGCCTGGCACCGGACCCCTCTCTGTCCCGCTCCTGCATCTGCTGCCCTTTGACTCTGCACGCAAGAGGATGTCAGTGGTGGTGCGGCACCCGCTTACTGGCCAGGTGGTGGCCTACACCAAAGGAGCTGACAATGTCATCATGGAACTGACCACAACATTAGGTGTGCTATTGCTTGACTAGTAAGGCTAATAATAGAATAGTAGCCCAACTGTATTGATGGAGGACTAAACTAATAGAGAACTAGGCCTATTTTAAACAGCATGTCAAATAGTATTACTATCAGAAATCATAACGCAGTTCCTTCCGTACCACGACTGATTTCCAAGTAAAATGCAGTAACAAGGAGGGTCTGTGAGCTAGCTAAGCATTTTCCCTCAGTGACAGGTGGTGGTAATGGGAAGAGGAAGTGATGATATTAATGGTTAATATTATTTTCCTGCCAGCATGGTGACGCAATCCAAAATCAGATGACGTTTTAAGAATTGGGCAAAAGTCATTAGATTTTGATGGAAGATTACAGAAAAATGTCTATTATTATAAGTTTAAGGTAAAAGTAAATAATATTTTATTTGAAACCTTTACATACGACTGTGCGCTTTTAGAAAAATGGTACGAAACCGTCACGGGGGCAGTACCCCTCTTGTCACTGGGGTTGATCCGCTTAAGGGTGCATCTCAGTACCTTTAGTCAGGGAACATAATTGTACCATAATACATTGAAATTATATTTTCTAAGTTGTATTGACTCCACACACCCCGTCTCGTCTCCAGGCTTTTTATTTTATTGCTCTGTTTTAAAACATTAGGTTATGAAAAGATACAAATATGTACTTTTTCACTAGGACAGACTTATTTAAGGTACACAATTGGACCTTAAAACCACTGTTGTACCTTTTGAGGTTGCATTTACATTGTTTGTACCTTTATGAACAAACAATGTACTTGCACAGCACCTTTATTTCTAACAGTGTACATGTAATATTTTCTCTCTTTGGTCAATAACAGTAAAAGATTGTTAATACAATAGATTCTAACAGGACATTAATAAACCATCTGGCTACATGCAAAGAGGCATGACAGAGAGGTACATGCAGAACTTAGTACCTCCACTTTATGACTGTTTTACCAATATCACCATATAAAAATTCAGAAGACGTGTTGACATTGTGGCCCCTGGTTTCCTGTCACCACTGTTCTAGAGAAATCCACGTCAGTAAATTTCTTTACAGTGGAACAACAATAAAAAAAAAAAAGAAAAAAATTAAGGAATCAGTATAGACCAGTTCTAGGTAGTGCAGCAAATGCTTATGTACAATACTTAAATAATGGACTGTGCACATTAATCCGATCTCTATTAGTAAGTTATCTTGTGGTAGCCATTTTGGTAATTTACAGGTAAATGAGATTTGTCATCATTTGTTTTAGGTATTTTATTACCGTAAGCTATGGCCTCTGGGTTGATTTGTCTGTTTGTGCTGCAGCTGATGATAGTTGTTCGAGAGATATCATGGAACGGACACAGCAACACCTGGACGCATACGCCAGAGAGGGCCTACGCACACTATGTGTTGCTAAAAGAGTATGCCTTCTTTTTCACTTCCCTTTTTTTACTACTTTGAATATGTCCTCTCAGCACTTTTATAAAAAAAGAGAGAAATGAAACTGGCATTTGCTCTGTTACAGTTCTCTGGACTTTTGCCACAAATATAATAATAAAAATGTAATTACTGAAAAAAGTTTTAAAGAATTCATGCCCTTCTCTGTGTTCTTATTGTAACTAAAATGGGAATTTTCCGGTGATTGGCAGGTCTTGGATGAGGCAGAGTACGAGGCATGGCTGAAGAGACATGCTTTTGCTGAAACCAGTATTGAAAACAGGGAGGAACTTCTGCTAGATTCTGCCCAGCGACTGGAAAATAACCTTACTTTATTGGGTGAGACATTACTGATGACTGGTATGGGAAAGACTGAAAAAGGAAAAAAAAAGTTTGTCGGTATCTTAAATTAAATAAATGTTAATAACAAAAATGACTTGTTTTCTTTTTCTTTCCTCACTGCTGGCCTTAATGAAGAGCCATAAAAATGTTTCTCTGTTTCCAGGGGCGACCGGTATAGTAGATCGGCTGCAAGAAGAAGTTCCCGAGACTATTGAAGCTTTACAGAGAGCAGGGATCAAAGTATGGGTCCTCACAGGGGACAAACAGGAGACGGCAGTTAACATAGCTTGTGCCTGCAAACTACTGCGACCAACTGACCGGTTACTGACTGCCAACTGTGACAGTAAGGTGAGGAGAGAGGGAGATCATTATTATTAAAAATAAGAAAAAGAAGAAGATTAATAACTGAATGTTAAGCCTGTTGTTTAGGAGTTAATGACAGTCCAGGAAAGACAAAGGAGATTTTATGTCTTTTTCATATACATGGCTCTAGTGTAAATATTCCATGTGTGTAATTTTTTTTCCAGGAAGCTTGTGAAGCTCGGCTCTGTGAGCTCCAGCAAGACATCGGCACCATCACAGAGAGGGGTTTATCTGACAGTGGCATGGGCGTGTCTGAGGGTGGTGCTGTTATTTCTGGCTTTACTCTGGTGATCGATGGCCGGACTTTAGACTTTGCCCTACACGAGGACTTGCAGAAGGCATTTCTGGATCTGACGAGTGGCTGCCGGTCAGTCATATGCTGCAGATCCACACCCCTGCAGAAGAGCCAAGTGGTTCGACTCGTTGGGGACTCCCTAGGGGTCATGACCCTGGCTATAGGTCAGTGACCGTGTTTTAGGAAATCTTAAGATTTAAAATGTAGGTTTAACAGTAGTTTGAAAGTTGTTTTCGGATTACTGCTGCCATTCTGCTATTGTGCAAGCAACATTTTTCTTGGTAGTTTTTGGTCAGTACAATGTTTAGTACATACTTCTGTGAATACTTACAGTATGTCAATCTTCATTTCACTCTCGCAACTACATAACTCACATATCTGATTTATAGAAGTACATGAATAGCTCTTAATAGTTCCTGAATAAGTCTTAAAATTAATAACTGAATAATAAATCTATGGTTCAGTGAATGGTAGGACAGTAATACGTGCTACTTCATTGAATCTGCAACATACAATACTGTGCAAAAGTCAGAGACCACCCTATCACTTAATAATTAATAATAATTAATTTAATTTGACGTCAAAACAGCCAACTGCCAATACAAGCTATCCACCTATCAGAAAAAACAGAACATGTATATTCAGTTGAAAATTACACAGAAGCCTCACCAACTAAATATTATACATAATATAATATATATGATTAGTGTGTTCACCCTTTGCCTTTATTACAGCTTCCATTCTTTTTTGGAGTCTTGCTTTCAGTTTTTCAAAGAGATCACATTCAATTTGAACTTGAACTGCAAGAATGTTTTTCCACACCTCCAAAGTTCAGTCTTAGAAGTTGGTTGCGTTAGCATTGGATCCAAGTAATTCTATTCAATGATGTTGAGGTTTGGGTCTTAACAGATACACATCCATTCGGACCCAGACCATTCAGTTGTCTTCTCACAGTAGAAGGATGGACAGAAACACGTGTAGATTTTTTCAGATCTGAAACAAGCTTGATTATCTTATCTTTAAAAGATGACAGCTTAAGTACTCTAAAGGTGACAGTTTTGGTGGTCTACCAGGTCTTGTATGGTTGTTAAGAGCCCTGTTTTCTCTGTATCTTTCAGTCATTTTTGGAAACCAAAACCAGCTTTGGAAACACCTTTTTTTTCTCTTAGACTTTCCACTTCTTTATGCAAGTGGATGATCTCCACAAAAATATCTCCTGAAAAATAATGTACTTCATAGCCTTTTTGACTGAAAATAAATGAATTAAACAGTGTCAGATTTTTACAAGGTACTGTTTTGCAGGCTGCTTCTGTGTCAGTAGCTATAGTGTACTAACATGCGTGTCTGGGTTTGGATCTCAGGTGACGGAGCAAATGATGTCAGTATGATTCAGGTGGCAGATGTAGGTGTCGGCATCTCAGGCCAGGAAGGCATGCAGGTATGCTCGTTCTTCTCCCCTCTCTTCTTTTTCTCTGCTGTGCCTCACTCCAGTTACATGCGTGTTGTGGTGTCAGATGTCGGCACTGACCCAGTTGTAAAGGCCAATCATGTAACACCTCTGGATTGTTTGTAAACAACTCCTCATCTTTAGGGCCTTGCACTGAATGCATTTATCCTTCACTGTATCTTTCTGTTTTCATCCATCTGCAAATTGAATTAATTTATTTAAGCTTTTCTCTTCATCAAATTATATCAGGATGCTACAATAGTGTCCCTGATTTTATTTAATGACCTTGACCTATTTTTCAAGGTCACACTGCTATTCCACTGCAAAATTCAGATGCCAATATCTCCTGTTAAAAAATACAAGCAACAGAAGCCACAACTATTAAAATACAGGCAACAAAGCTACTTTAATTATAAAAGCAGGTCAGTTACACTGAAGTTGAAAAATCTTCCCTTTCTAGTTTGGAAAGGAGAAATGACGATGAGACGTAAAACCTACATACTTCTGATATTTGCCAACTGAAAAAGTCCATTTTCTCCAACAACAGTGGGGCTACAGAGATGAAAGCACACAAATTTGAAGTGTCTGTAGTACACTTGAAAGATATTAAAGAACAGGCACATGCTCAGACAGACCGCAGTGGGGGATGAGCCCCTTCCTTTCTGTAATCATGAGGAGGGACAAAATAATGGCTAAAGTTTAGTGAAATGGGCAGAATTTCTCTGTCTCTGTTGTCTGCCTGAAGGTGGAATGATTCCCTCGTTCTCTCGCCAAAACCATGTAACTGTGTTTCTGAAAATATGTTTATATGTTGGCTCTCGCTTCACGAATTCTTTGTGGTATCAATGAGGATCATAGAGCTTGTGGATCAGTTTCTGGCTCCATTAGCTTCATCACTCATTGAGCGCCCCCTCTGGTGCAGAACTGATTGCCTGTGGAGATTTCACCTCTGACCTGTGGGACGACTGCACTGCTGGAAATACTGATAATCTCTTTAAGGAAGTGAAACATTGCATAACATGGTTATTTATATATACAACAACCAAACACACTGTAGGCATTGTGTTTTTATATAAGTAAAGAACTTGCTAACCCAAGTTTTTGTCATTTTTTTTAATTGAGTAGTTCATGGAAATTAAATAGAATAGTAGGTAAGGGTACAGCTTTTAAACCCCTAAATTTTGGGCTGGCTTGGAGAAAATGTACACTACGTTTGGTTTTCTCTGAACTGTGACTTGTTTGACAAGCATCTCTGCGATCTGCTGCAAATTAAATTAAGTCTATTTCATGTTCATCTTACCCTTTCCTTTTCCCTTGAGCTCCTGCACCTCAAAATGTCTGCACATGGGCCTGTTAAAGCAAAAGTTGTCACCTGTGCAAGCAAAGTCATGAACCGGAAGTGGTTTATTGTCACATCTTCAAGCAGTTGTGTGGCCAGCACTTATCTATAAATCGATCATAGCAAGGCAGTGCAACATGCTTATTTTGTAATGCCAGAACTTGTACAGAATGTTTGATCACTTTGCTAATTTTTTCACTTGCCAAGAAGTTGCACTTTTACATCTAGATGAGAATATGTTGTTAGTTGTATTGTACTGTTGCACTATGAAATGCTTTTGCCCTAAGTTACTCCTGCACTTGATCAAGCTCAGATAAGACTGTTAGGTTATGCATCCTTCTAGGTTCTCTTACTCACTTTTCATTCTTCCGGTTGCACTCTGGCTGAGGTCATCTGCCAGATGATAAATGTGAAGGTGAAAAAGAAAGGCAGTGCTAAATGAGTAAATTATTGGAATTTGTTGTCATTTCCTTTTTTTTCAAAGATAAAGATAAACAAAATGAATTATTACACATTCCTTCCTGTCTCATCATTCCAGGCGGTGATGTCCAGTGATTTTGCAATCTCTAGATTTAAACACTTGAGAAAACTGTTGCTGGTCCATGGTCATTGGTGCTACACACGACTGGCTAACATGATCTTATACTTCTTTTACAAGAATGTGGTAAGTATCAGATAACATACCTATACACATATACAGTATGCATACGTTACACATGTTGGACCCCGTTTACACCTGGTTGTTTTGTGCATGAATCGTAAGTACTTTAATTCAAAGCCTGTCATATTAATGGAGAAGTAGTTTAGTCTGTAAGCCATGTGTCAGGCTCCAGTCTTCGTGGCCCAAAACACTGCAGACATCAGCCTCATTAAACACCTGATTCAGTTCATCAGCTAATTAGCAAGGACTTCATGAATTGAATTTAGAGCATTAGATAAGGATTAACACTAATCTCTGCCGCACTTGAGCTCAGAAGGTCCCCAGTTCGACATCTTTCAGCATGTTAGCTAACCGATCAGCCTAGTTCTAGTTAAGAAAATAAGTTATCAGGTTCTCAGTTCAAGCAAAACTGGGGCTTACTTCATCAGTTCACTCAGTGGTCCATGTGAGCAGCAAATTACAGTTAAAGAATTCCATTAACAATACAAGGGTTTTTATTGACTTTTACAGTAGCTTCAATTGCAGCTCAGCCAATCAGATTTTAAGACTGAAACTATCCATTTTATAATACACATTATACACATAAGACATAACAGACTTTTTAGCATGACCTGTAAAATTTATAGATGAATTTTACAGATTAACTATCTTTTCTCTCACTCCTCTCTTCTCTCTCTCTCTCTCTCTCTTCTCCAGATGTATGTGAACCTGCTGTTCTGGTTCCAGTTTTTCTGTGGTTTCTCGGGTAGCACTATGACTAATTCATGGGTTCTGATCTTCTTTAACCTGCTGTTTACCTCTGTTCCACCGCTGCTATACGGGGTAATGGATAAGGATGTTTCTGCCAACACGCTGCTCTCCCTGCCTCAACTCTACAAAGCAGGACAGAACTGTGAGGTGGGGAAACTGGTCTGATTACTATCATGTGGTTATATCTACTGCTAGAGCTTATTTTAATGCCTATTGTTAGTTAATGGGAACTGTTGCAAGAGACAGCCTCTGGCTCTGAAGCTTTAGAATCTTTCAATGAATATGTTCTCACTTGTTCTTATTAGTATCTGGACTGGTAATGGTGAGTAAAATCAGTGCCGATATGTTTCTGGTTGATTGCAGGCCTACCTCCCCTCCACCTTTTGGTTGACCATTCTGGATGCTTTTTACCAGAGCCTGATCTGCTTCTTCATTCCATATTGTGTGAGTTCTGCTGTGCTATATAAATCTGTTTTACACTTTACATTAATTCATTTCTTTTTATTTTTCATTAAATGTGACGGAAATCTTAAAACCGTGTTTATCCTGTTACTTTATAATGAGTTGTCTCTTATATATATTTTTTGTATCTATGTTTCAGGCATATGCGGGCTCAGACATTGGGCTGTTCTCTTTTGGTTCCCCTATCAATGGCTCTGCGCTCTTCATCATTCTCCTACAGCAGGTCATAGAGAGCCGCACGCTGGTGAGCAGCACTTGTAAAAATAAAAGCACAGTAGATGTGCTATTACCATATACACAGTGTCACCAGTGTAGAGAAAGTGAAAAGGCTTCTAGACCTCAACTAGCAGCAATGGTTAGTCAACAGAATTGATTAGTTACCAAGTGTCAAGTATGGAGTAGCTTGGCATGCCAATATACTGTTTACTTGAAAGCAAAAGCTTTTTGAAGTGCTTTATAATGTACATATGCTACTAATAACATACTGTAATACGCCACAGCAGTGGTTCCAAATCCTGGTCCTGGAACGCTCCCTCTTCTGCACATTAGGGTCTTCTCTGTTCCCAGCCCATCAGGTCATTAATAAGTCCTTCCTGTTGACATGGGTGTGTTAGAGCTAGAGCAGGAAAAACACTGAAATGTGCAGGATAGCGAGGTTGACTCAACAGGACAGTCCAAAAGAGTCAATTCTTTGATTCTGATGTGTCTGGGAGTTTGGGTCAACTCTTTGGCCAACTTTGAGAGTCGAAATGCTTGGAGTTAACTCTTTTGTCACCATGATTGGCTCAAGGGCATTTTGTTGGATGCATGTGATATGGTGTATAGAGTTTGAGTAGTGTATTAGTTTATTAGATTACTAGGCTACAGATAGACCTTGAATTTGTCTGGCACAACTTGATATAATTACAGATTTTTATCTATCACTATGATCAGTATCAACTCAAAGAAGTAAGTAAACTACATTTAAGATTGTTTCATTTCCACTATATCCCAGTATTAGTGGCTCTGGAGCAGTCCTAAAATTATTATTATTTAAAAAGCTGACTTCATCGACTCCAGCTGCAGTAGTTGAGAGTCTGAGTTGACTGCAGAAAACCTGAAGTTGTGTGTCATTACTGGACAAGGGCTACTTAGGGTTGGGCAGTTGTGCAATACAGAAAGCACTGGACCAATATAGCTTATGTTCTACTGGACCATAAAATAAGAATTCACTTGTCAAACTAATGAAGTTTTGAATGGTGATGGTGCTGTGAAGGGGTAAAGGAAGAGGAGACTGCATAAGGGTTTCATTTATCATTCATTGAATTGAGAGTAACTGATTATAGTAATTACTGTTATTTGGTAGTGTATGTTCAGACTCTCTTATATTTAACTGGTTTATTTGCAGAAAGGCAGTAAAAGGATCATGGCATGATTATTGTATCATATTGGATATGGATGCTACAGTTCATCACCAAGAAGTATTCTCTGCACATACTACACTGTAAACTATGAAAATGAGTTAGATTGTGCTTTACTGAATACATCATTGCTTGATTCTCAGACTAGAATCATTTGTCCAGACTGCATTGCCTCAAGCAGCTACAGTGTTGAGGAGACGCTTATTTCTCCATAATGTGTGTGTATTTAGTTTTTTTTTGAATGAGTGTCTGTTGAGAGCATGCTTTGGTTTCCCCAAAAGACTGATGGTGTGGCAAGTAGTCTAGTGCTAAGAGAGGTGAGCTAGCAACTTAAAGGTTCATATTCAAGGACTGACTTGGGCACTTAAACCCCCACACTGCACTACTCCTAAACTGGGCAGGTTTAGGGAGCAAAATGACCAATCGGCAACTTATCCTAAATAGATAGGACTGGCCTTCACCCTTGATGTTGCTAAACAGGTCAAACTTGGTGCTTGTGTGTGTAAATTAGATTAACAAACGCAACACTAATTATACATGCAAACATTTCCTCATATCAGTAGAATGCTTTAAAGTCTTTGCCTGCCAGTTTGCTGACATATGATCAAGAGAAAGCACCTGTGGTCCTGTCTACTTCCTGCAGATGTAAGCAGGGTTGGTGCCATACCTCTAAAGACGGTGGAGTAAAATGTTTGGGTTCTAAAAAAATAAAAAATAATCATACTAGTCGAACAGCAGCAAGAGAAGGGGGCTAATATTTTATTTTATTATGTTTGTACTCCCCCCTCCTAAAAACAAAAAGTGACATGAACCAAAGATCAGTTAAAAAGTGGTGGAGCAATGTGTTTTGAAAAGTGTGGGGTCAAATGGCAGCTCACTCACATTGTTCTGGCAGCTATGGGTGTAATATATAGTAGTCTGCTCCTCTCATAGTTTACCATGGACAGACAGTACAAGGGCACCAAGTTGGCTAACCATATTGTTAACTTACAGAGTATAAATCTGTCTCTGTATGTTACAAAGGTAACAGAACTTTACTAAACCAAACTACTATAACTGACTCATGGATTCATTTAAAGGCTTTACAGGCTAAATTCCTCTTTCTCAGTGAAGCTGTCTGTCTGTCACCACAGTTACACTGGCAACTCATTTACTCACTGTTTGTTACTTGTACTAACCTTGGTGTATTGTATGATTTGCAGACATGGCTACATGCAGTGGTGTTACTAGGCAGTGCTGCATTCTACTACACCTTTGTCCTTGTGTTCAGTGTCACATGTGTGACGTGTAACTCTCCCACAAATCCCTATGGCGTTGAGACCAAACTCATGTCTGAGCCACTCTACTACTGTGTGTGTGGATTCACTACTGTACTAGCTCTACTGCCCAGGTAAAACACAGATGCACAATACGGCAAAAATATCATGTCACCATACTTAAAAACATATTCATGATAACAACATCATCCTCTAAGACACACACCTACACAAAACAACACATACACAGCATACACATATAGTCGTATGGAAAACTTATACTGATAATAGGTTAACGCATCGTCTACAGGGAATTAACTTAAAGCTGCACTATGTAAGATTTTTTGTTAAAATAGAAAGAAGTAGCATCACTTAGTCAGGAGAAAAAACAGGCTAAAATATGGTGTCAGTGTGCAGCTGTAAATCACTCTGTAAAGCCTGAAATAATAATTTAGAAGTCAGAGCTGTCAGGTTGGGAGTTTTTCGGGCCAGATCATATGTGGCTCAATGTTCAGGTGTCAAATGCAAATCGACTTTATACTGCTGAAGGTATGATGACTAGTAGATAATTCACTCATATCCTCGGAAGACATGAGATGTGATGAGTTTTCTTTAAATACACTTCCAACATATTCGCATTCATAAGAGTAATCTGCTCGGAATAGGGGCACAACCAACCATACACAATGTTTTTCTGGACGTTGCATGCAATTACACAGTTTTACTAGAGAAGCACAGTTCCCCCAATTTTATGTAGTGTAGCTTTAAATGTGTGTTTTTCTGCTAATTTTAGAGTTTAACATGTTTGAAAAAATAAAGCGTAAAATATAAAACATGGCATGTTTTTCCCCAATATGTTAACCCCTTAAATGGCCAGGCCCCGTCGTTGGGCGTAAAGTTTTATTACTCACTTCTAAACTTAAGGAAAGCTCAGCCAGTTTACATTGAATTCCCTGTGGTTACTGAATAATGAGCCTTAGTATGTGTATTTAAGTTGTTAAATTCAGCAGATAAATAGTAATTGTGCATGAAAATGTGCAGAAGTGTGTTCCCCTAGATAAATCTCTCTCAAAAATCAGTGAAACATAATTTGACCAAGGTGCCCAAACCTTTTCATAAAACTCTCTCTCTCTCTCTCTTTCTTTCTTTCTCTCTCTCTCTCTCTCTCTCTCTCTCTCTCTCTCAGGGTGTTGTGCCGCGCTCTCTTGAACTCCATCTGTCCGTCTGACCTGGTGAAAGCTCAGAAACTAGACAAGTCCGTCCTAGAGCAGTACTGGGCCACCATTCATCAGTGGAAAGAAAACAAACCGGACAGTCAAAAAGCCTCCAATCACGTTCCTCAGACCCTCAGTGTGAATGCTGATGTCCCTCATTCTGTAGACTGCAGTCAGGAAGCAGTTTCTGTACTCTCCTGACCAGAGATTTTTTGAGCAAATATTGCTTCAAAACTGAGAAGTCGCTCATTGCACTTTAAAGGCTTGGAGATGCTTGGCAGGTCCAGTCAAATCTCACAGCTAGCTGTGCTCTGACCAATGAGAGTGTTCAGTCCCAACACTGACGTGCCTCCACACTCTTACCTTCTGCTTCTAATCCCACATCAGCACAAGGGGTCTTGATCTGTTCTAGACCTAGACCCAAGCATGGACTACCAAGGTGTTGTTTATACCTAAAAGGCACTACACTGTGTTGCCTTAAATAACACCTACACTCCAGCACTCCACAGGTAGAAAGAAGCTGAAGAGATGTGGTGAGGACCAGTCTGCATGTGGTTTATTTGAACCAGCTTTTTGCAGTTAATTCACTACAAGAGGTGCCATTCAGCTACAGCACCGTCATTCAGAAATGTTACATGGTATATGACCACATAAAAATCCAAACACATGACCCTGAAAGGACTAGTCCAAAGTTTTGACCCTACCAAAAACATTTTTTTTCCTTTTAATGTTTTTCACGAAAAAAAGTTGCCGAAAAAAAAAACATTCAATGCAAACAAACCTCCCAAAGACATGGCCTACATTCACATTATGGTTAGTATTGTTCAGTTCTTGTTTTCTGCTTAGGCACGCTCTTTCTGCCTGGATGGTTAATGTGAAAGATCCACATGCATCATGAAAAACAGGAAGAAAAAACATTTCTTACAAGACAATCCATTACTGCAGTAGCAATGTATTTCATGTTAGCACTGGAAAATGACAGCATTAATGTGAGAAAAGAGGAAAGAACATCTCACTGTTCTCACTATGACTGCATGGCTACGCATTGGATATGTATGCAGTGTGTCACTTTTAGCCAAAAAAATCAGATTTGTGCAATGCATAATTTGAACATAGTCTTAGAAAATCTAATACATTAATCACAATATTTAGTTCGAATATTAACATCTTATGGTAAGACTTCCATAGACATTCCATGCTTATTTGAATGTTGGTAGCAAAGTATTAGTACAAACTGTTTTTTGTTTTTTTTTAACCAAAAACTGGATGAAGTTCTATGTCCTGTGCAAGCCTGTGCTTTTATCTTTTGTCAGCTTTTTCAGCTACAACACACAACACACATAGTTATTTATAGGAATGTACTGTATACCTTCACATTTAACTCTATGCATTGTATGTGGATCTCAGTTGTGATGAATGCGAACAGTAATAGAATAATATCATGTCAGAAGGCTAATGTGCTGTCGATTGACTGAATTATTCATGTTTATTATTTCTGTAAACCAGCACTAATGGTCTCATGCGACTCAGAGACTCTGAACTGTATGTATTATGAAAGGAAGTAAGATACTAATGTGAATATCCGAGTGTGACCTGTGTTGATCCACCATTATGATAAAGAATGATCATGTAAATGCCTGGACAAATGGAGTGAGTTTTTCCTATGTCAGGAGGCCTTTACTTGACCAAAAGATGCATTTGTGTTTAATTAGTTTTTGGAAAATTGTGACATTGAAAATGTCTGTTTTTGTTTGTGTTTTTTTCTATGCAAGGAATAAAAAACTGAACAACCACGAGTCACAACTTTATTCTCTAATTCAGATAAAATTTCCTGTTGTTATTTCTCTGAAATAAATGATTCACAGGATCTTTGCTACTAACAATGAAACAAGCTGTAACTCATAAACTGTAAGTGGTGTTATTGAGAAGTGGAAACTTCAAGGAGCAGCAGCTGTGAAGTGGTGGTCCACACCAGCTCACAGAACAGGACTGCAGAGTGCTGAAGTGCATAGTGCATATGAAGCATGGCATCTGTCCCGTTTCTACATTTGGCGGATGCCAGGAAAAAGCTACCAGTCTGAACAATTGTCTTTCAGAGCAGCAGTGCCCCCCATGCTCAAAGGGAGGTACAAAAAAACATGTTTCGTCAAGTTCTGGTGTGGAAGAACTTGCCTGTCCTGCACAGAGCCCTGACCCCACCCAGAGACCTCAACCCATCCAACACCTTTGATCTGGAACGGGGACTGTGAGTCAGGCCTTATTACCTAAACGTCAGTAGGGATTAACTAATGCTCTTGTGTGTGAACGGGAGCAAATCCCAGCAGCCAGATTACAAAATCTAGTGCATTGGTACCCCACCCTGGTCCTGGAGGACCCCCTGCCCTGCACAGTTTTGTATTTGCCGGCCAAAACACATCCACTTCAACTCAGGAAGGGTTTGTTAATAAGTGGATTGGCTGGATCAGGTGTGTTGGGAGCAGGGTAAACACTAAAATGTGCAGGGCAGTAGTTCTCCGGGACCAGGGTTGGAAACCACCGATCTAGTGTGAAGCCTTCCCAGAACAGTGGAGGCTGTTATAGCAGCAAAGGGGGATTCAATTCTATATTGCTGGAATGTTTCAGAGTCTGTATACGTCTGTCCATGTAATCTATCTATCTATCTATCTATCTATCTATCTATCTATCTATGATGACTCTTAAATGAAGCAGTCAAGATGTGGGTGAAGTGTAGACTTTAAGGTCTAATTCATGGGGTTTAACAAAAATATATTATTTAACTATAACTATTTAGGAATTACAGCCATTTTTCACGTAGTCCTCCGTTTTCACATACTCATAATTGTACAGCAGACTGATTAGTAGTTTCATGGCCAGGTGTGGCCTGTTCGTTGGTAATTTTACACATTTTAAAGACTAACGAGGTAAAAGGTCTGAAGTTGATGCCAGGTGTTAAATACACGTTTGGTAGCTGTTAATAGGAACTCTCCATATACAGTCCGATGCAGGTGAAAGGGGCCACCATTCGGTTGAAAAGGAAAACAAAACAAACCTATCAGAGTGATAAAAGACACTTTGAGTAGCCAAATCAAGTATTAAAATAATCCTTGTATTTATAACTATGTTAGTTGTCCAGTTACTTTTGAGTCTGTGAACATGGAAGATCTATGTAAAAAATAGGTGTAATTCCTAAACGGTTAATGTAATAGTCTACACTTCAATCACATCTTACTTGCTTCATTTCAAATCAATTGAAATGTAGTGGTGCAGAGGCAAAATAACAAGAATATTCCTGACTACATCTCTCTCTCTCTCTCTCTCTCTCTCTCTCATATATATATATATATATAGAGAGAGAGAGAGAGAGAGAGAGAGAGAGAGAGAGAGAGGGAGGGAAAGAGACAGAGACAGAGACAGTCACATTTTGTTTGTTTCAGTCTGTTTTGTATCTATGCATCTGTTTATTCCTTATTTCAGAATTTCATAATCTACAAACCCCCTCATTTCCTGATGGAAATTATAGGCGCTGTTATAAAAATAGGTGCTTTTTCTAAATTTCTAAATATGGAAACAGATCTTAGCCTTTTGTCCATTACGCACTCTACACTTGCAGTGGGGTGTGAAGTGTCAGAGTGCCCCCTCCCGTACAGGGCAGTGCGCCGTCACTCCCCGGTGTCGTGAGCGCGACTGTAACTTCCTCTTGTAAAGGCGTTCAAGTCCAGTCGCGCTTCGGCTTCGCTGTGCTGAGGTGAAAAGGCGCTGATCCTGCAGCTCCTCAGACATGAGCGTGTGCAGCTCCAATCCCAGCTGCGGAGAAGATGTGGACGAGCTGGAGTCTGTGAGGTGAGTCTTAGTCGTGTTTGTGTGACTGTTTATGGTAGTTTGCAATGATTCAGCTCCACCAGTGCAATAGTATATAATACTGTAAGCGCTGTATAGTATTTCTAGGTTAATCTTTAATCTAATATTTTCGCCCCCCTTTAATATTCCTATAGTCCTTGATCAGTCCTGTAGTACACTAGTGTAAATAAATTTACCGAAATTACTGCACGATGCAGTTTACTGTAGTATTACCATTGACACCTCTCATAAGAATTAGTAGTTAGGTGGCCAAAAAAGATGAATATATTCGTTTGTTTTGAAGTTGAAGGCTCGAATCTGCTGAGTCTGCCTAACAATTCGCTAGATTTACCGCCTGTTTTCATGTATCCGTTAACATGACGGGTGTTTGCTGAACTCAGTGACTGGTTAAACCAGCCAGACCGCTCAAATAAAGGTTTCTGTTGCTGCCAGAAACATGCGAAAAAGTGTCAGATCAGCAGTGGATCTTCTCAGTACATCAGCATCTATCACCCTTTAAAGGGGTTCTTCAGAGGTTCTTTAGTAAAGACAGTGATAATGTAGAACAGTAAACGCTCAAAGACCGATCTGACCGTATAAATGGCTCCTTGCCTGGTTGAATGAAGGTTGAAAACGTGTTCAGTCGTCAAAGTACTTGTTTTGTTGCTTTTCTGGGTGAAAATAAGTTCCTCTGACCTCTACAGAGAACATACTTCAGCACATTTTAATACACGATCACTGCTGATTTACTGAATTTTATATATAATAAAAACATAAAATGTAGGCTGTGCAAAAGTTGTCACATTTATACATTTATGCCTATTTGATATTTATCTTTAATATCTGTAATATGTTTAAATCAGCAAATAAATAGAAAGTATGCCCTACAGTTTGCAGAAAAATTAGATATTTAAGTTTGTTCTGTGTAGAGGATGTGTTAACTTATTTCACTTAGAAAATCAACAAAGTTTAATTTGACCGGGGCGCTCAAACTTTGTTTCATGTAGCACCAAAAAGTGTTCTGCTACTGTTACAATCTTTTGGCACTATACAGTGTACACTATACACACAAGGTACTGATGTCACTGGTGTGGGAACCTCAAGGGTACGACTTCAGTACCTTTAGTTAGGAATCATAATTGCACCATATTTCACTGCAGTTATATTTTCTAAGTTGTATTGACTCTACAGACCCTGTCTTGACCCCAGGCTTTTATTTTACTGTTCTGTTTGAAAACCCCAGAGAAAAACTTATTTAAGGTACACAATTGGACTTTAAAACCGTTGTTGTGCCTTTGAGGGTACATTTACACAGTTTATACCTTGATGAACAAAAATTGTACTTGTTCAATACCTTTTTTTCTGACGGTGTTGAGACCCTTTTTTCTTAGACTGTATAGCGGTTATTCTCTTTTTGGGACTTTGATCTCCTAGAGGTGAGAGCAACACAACAAAATACAGTGAATCCTTAAAAGAAGAAATTAGTTTGTTAAATTTTAACCTTGATTTTTTTCAAATCCATCAAACTGTGTGGCTAAAAGGTAAGGTACATGTAACCGATTCGATAAAATTAGTTACTGTCCACCGCTTGCAAGCCACCATCACTGTGTTCAGCTCAAGGCTTCACACCTTGTTACAGTGATATGAAGCAGCATCATCCATAGGAAAATAACTGATTCTTTAGTTTGTTTGGCAACTATAAAGGACCCACATGACAGTTTTGTGTCCAAAGTCCAACTTAGAGGTAGGTGTGGAGGAAATGAGATTTTTTTTAATTAAATAAAATCTGTTTGGCTAAACGTTATAATGAGTTTCATGCTGCTATTTCTGTATGAACAGTTCAAGTGGAAAATCCCTGTGGTAATTATGAGGAAATAGGGCTTTGATTTCGCATGTGCTCCGATAGCCAGAGAGACGTACACGTCGTCAAACCAAAAACAGGCCTCTGTCTAACAAGTGTAAATTTGAGACAACTGGCCTCAGCTAACAGAATTTATAAGAGAGGTGTTGTATTGTTAAAGTGTAGTTCCACAGATTTTTTCAACATTTATGCATAATTAATTCACTGGTGTTAACAGTCACTCAGAGTGGTTAGGTGTGAACTGGGAAGATGTAGAGAAACTTACCATTTTCACATTTTAAATGTAGATTTTCATATACAGACACACAGAACAAAACCTTATAAACTTAAAACTTTCAATGGAGGCTAATGGAACAAGGGCCACTGGCATTTTCAAATTCTGCAGAAAAAAAAGAAAAATGATAAAAGTGGAGATGCAAAGTTTTATTCTGACAGTGACAATGTGTCATCTTTTAAAACAGTAGGAAATCTGGAAAAAAAATTGGGGTACAATTTTGCCTTAGAACACCCTGCATGCACCTGTGAATGAACAAAAATATATTTTAGACCAAAAACATATCTCAAAAATATAGTAAAACCAGGGTGACCATATTTTGTTTTTCAAAAAGGAGGACACTGGAGGGTGACAGGGGACAGGGTTTTTAGGTCCCAAAAGGGGGACATGTCCTGGATAAAGAAGATGCAGTGTATTCATAACTATTTTATATAAAACTTTTAGAAACATAAAACGTTTCAGACGTCTGGTTCCTATCACCATCACTGTGAACAATCCAGACTCAGAAAGTGTCTCTAGAACACAGCATGTCATATCAAGCCGTTTTGAATAATGACATCTTAATAGTTCAATTCTGCAAATTTAGAACAATCAGTGGATTCTCCTTTAGCGTACAGTAGTCTCAGTACTTCTTTATGTTGCTCTGAAGAGAGCAAGTCTGAGTGCTGGACTTGTGGTCTTATCTGAATATTAGCGTTTTATTTCCTGTAGCCTTTACTTGGCTGGGAAGAGACTCACTCCTTCAGTTGTTTCAATGTGTTTTCAGAGTAAAGCCAGCCTTGTATCGACAAATGACCCATTGCTTATCACAGCACTGGCTCTAAAAGACATCTATGACATGTTACCTGTGGACTGCAGTTGTTTAGTGCATCAGCATACTGTATATAAAGCCTCTAGCAACATGTAAGTGAAGTATAAGTATAAGTGAAAAAACAATTACAAATGACTACAGCATGTTTAGAGACATTTGATAGAGGAAAAACATTCTGGATTGTTGCACTTCAAGATTCCCAAGCAGAATCATCAGTGTTTTAGCTTGCCAGACTGAAATTAAATCCCTTGATGTTATCACCTGGAAAAGTTTCCATTACAATAACCAACACCTTACTGTCAAATCTCTCTCTCTCTCTCTCTCTCTCTCTCTCTCTCTCTCTCTCTCTCTTTCTCTCTATCCCTTTAGTTGGTACCATTACGATTTGTCCCGCCATGCCGCTGAGGCCCTGCTCTTGTCCAATGGTGTTGATGGGAGTTTTCTGCTGAGAAACAGCAACAAGGGCCCTGACTGCTTTGCTATTTCTGTAAGGTTAGTTACTCTCCACATGTTTATCATTTGCATGGTATCTTCCTCTGAAAGGCTGTTTACACAGGAGTCTTGCTATGTTTCATTGCACGTTTCGATGATAGTCTCTGTCTTTTATGTGAGGGCAGCGATGATAGCGAGGTTAAGCCAGCTGTTAGAGGATGTAAGTTACTGACTTGTGTTTGCAAGTTTTAATGCTGCTGTCTGACCACTGTCAAACCTTCCTGTCTGAATAGCACTTCTGCTCAGAAAGATATTTGCTCTAGTTTTTCAGTATGAACTCTGAAGTATGAGGCTTTTGAGATTGAGCTACAGTGCTGAACACAAGCACTTTTTATGCCTTATTTTCTTTTTCTTTTTGTCTTCCCTTCATATGTTTCAGTTCCCCTTTTCCTTTTAAAAACCGTGATGTGATAATTTTGCATATAGCTCGCCCCCTCTCCCTTCCTCTAAATGCAGTTTAATTATATATTCAAAAGAACTGTGCTGGACCATTAAGCCTAAACCAGTTTCCACTGATCATGCACTGATAAAGCTTTAGTGCAAACACGGTTTTTGCTCTTACTGTGACAGATATGGATGGTGTAACTCTTAATTTTGTGCCATGAGTATTTTATTTTATGTCAAGTTATTTGATATTTACTCACTGACCACTCTTGTAAGTACAGTCCTTTGTAAGTTTGGGCACCCTGGACAAATTCAGTGTTTTTGTTTTTCTAAGTAAAATAAGTTAACACTCGTTGTACAGATGAAACACTCCTGCATTCTTAAATGAACAATTACTGTTTGTTTATTGAAAGTAATGTTTTGGAAAGAAATCAAGCAAAAAATGTGGCTTGCGCAAAAGTTATGGCACATTTTGTATTTCTGTTTTTTTCCTATAGGTTAAACTCAGCAAATAAAGTGAAATTGTGCACCAGAAATTTCAGAAAAATGCCACATTTATGTTTGTTCCCTGTAGAGGATGTGTTAACTTATTTTCACTGAGAAAATCAACAAAACATGTAATTTGACCAGGGGATCTTTAAACCTTTGCGTACGACTGAATACCTACCTTGTATCTACACTCTTTGTCCATTTTATCAGCTCCACTTACTGTATAGGTGCACTTTGTAGTTCAACAATTACAGACTGTAGTCCATCTGTTTCTCTGCATAATTTTAGCCCCCTTTACCCTTTTCATCTAAGGTCAGAACCCCCACAGGACCTCCACAGAGCAGGTAGTAATTGGGTGGTGGATTATTCTTGGCATTATAGTGACACTGACATGTTAGAAAGTAAAGAGAGTTAGAGACGCTAGTTCATCTGTTGCTGCACTGTGTGCATCTAGTCCTTCATCATTGGTCAGTTTCTGGCCACAGGACGCTGTTGGCTGGATATTTTTGGTTGGTGGACTATTTTCAGTCCATCAGTGACACTGAGGTGTTTAATAACTCCAGCAGCACTGCTGTGTCTGATCCACTCGTACCAGCGCAACACACACTAACACACCACCACCACGTCAGCGTCACTGTAGTGCTGAGAATGATCCACCACCCAAATAATACTTGCTCTGTGAGGGTTCTGTGGAGATCTTGACCATTAATGGGTTGCTAACAAGTTTAGTAGAGAAACAGATGAACTACAGTCTGTCCTTTATTAGAAAAATAAAAATGTTTTCCATTGTATGTCATCTGTTATTCTTTCCAAAACTTGTTATATAAAAAACGTTACATTTTGGAATGAAAGTTGTCAATTGTACAACTACAAAGTGTGCAAATACCTAATAACATTAGTGTAGATACATGTTAAATGTACCTAATAAAGTGGCCAGTGAGTGAACAATGAAGCTGCCAAAGACACATTAAAAGACCCTTCTTGGACTAAAAGTCTTGGCTGTCTCCTCCAGAGCAAAGGACTCAGTGAAGCACTTTCACGTACGCCGGCAGGGTGGCAGGTATTCCTTCGGCTTCAATGAGTTCGCCACTCTTCAGGATTTCACCAGTCATCTGGCCAATCAGCCACTCCTGGGCAGTGAGACAGGTCTGCCAAACGCACACGCACACATGCTGTCACAGCCACACATATCTTTTCTTCTTTCTCTCTCTGGCTCCCCAGCCTCAGTATCGTGACTGTACTCTCTGTATCATTGCCGTTGCCTAGGTAACTTGATAGTGCTGCGGGTCCCTTACCCCCGACAAGTGGAGGAGCCGTCCATCTACGAGTCTGTATGTGTGCACACAGCCATGCAGACAGGACGCCATGAAAGTGACTTGGTCCCCTGCGCCCCATCGGTACGTTAACAACATCTCACATACTCACTCACATACTCACCGCAAAATAATTTCATCAGAGTACTAAAGCTTGATTACCTAAACCAGTACTATTTTTAATGAAAATCTTTGTTCATAACATGAATTAATGTTTCATTTGCTGAATAAAACATTTTACAGTGAAGATACCAAGTTTGTCCTGTTTAAAAAAACATTATACTAACACTGGACACATTCATTCAACAAAAATCTGTTATTCTTAACAGTTATGTCTATCACACATATCTGCACATTAGACTTCCTGTTGTTCACTGTGTATCTTCCTGCAGCTGGGAACAAAAGAGGGCTATCTGGTAAAACAAGGAGCTATCATAAAGGTAAGAAAAGCCAGATGAATTCTCACTTCATACTGTATACATATTAAATACAAAACTGCATTTTTATACTTTGTCGCTTTCAGAACAAAACCTCCTAAATAGTAACTTTACAGGAGAAGGAAAAACCTTCTTAACTTTTAATGAAAGTTAGTCATTTTAGACAAATCATGTTGGTCCATTTATCGTGAAATTCTGACGAAGTGTAAAGGCACACTGGCATTTTCAGATCACGTCAAAAAAAAGAAATGAAAAAAAGGAGATACAAGGTTTTCACCTCACAGCACGAAGGGCCTGGATTCGATTCCCCAGGCCGGGTGACCAGGGTTCTTTCTGTGCGGAGTTTGCATGTTCTACATGTGTCTGTGTGAGTTTCCTCCTGCAGTCCAAAGACATGCAGTCAGGCCAATTGGAGATGCTAAATCACCCCTAGTTGTGAATGTGTACGTCTGTGTGTCTGCCCTGTGATGGACTGGCGACCTGTCCAGGGTGTTTCTGCCTTCCGCCCAGAGAGCACAGGCATAGGCTCCAACACCCCCTGTGACCCAGGAGGATAAACAGCTTAGATTGCGTGTGTGTGTGTGTGTATGAACAACATTATATGTAACATTAACATTTAACACTTTGTCATCACAGTTATAGTGATAACAAAAAGATGTTCCAGTTTCTCATTGAAACAAGCTGCAAAATTCAGTCAAAAGTATAGAAGCTTTCAATTTGGACATGATGTTTTATTATAATTTAAATTTGATGATATGTTGCTGTGTGACCAATATTGTTTTGCAGAAACAAAAAATCATCCTTTACGCAATCAGGAAATAGTAGGAAGACCTCTCAATACAGAAAGTGAATGGAATTCAAGTCATAACTATTTATGAAATTACAGTTAAATAATAATGCAAATTAAACGTCTCAAAATGACTAACAACTCTAGTCTTTTAAGGGTTGATGTGTGATGAACAAATACTATCTGTAATAACATCACAAAGTCATCTGGGTGCTTCGAGTGTATTTATCTGACAGCGTTTCTCTCACTTTGTGTCAGAACTGGAAACAACGATGGTTCACACTGAACAGAAATGAGCTTAAGTACTTCAAAGACAAAATGGTAAGTTTAAAACGTTGCGGTTACTTTAAGCACTCATGAAACAACCATGTGCCAATAATGACTTTTTTCCTGTCAGTTTGTAGAGCCCATTCGGACACTGGATCTGACCGCATGCTCGGCTGTTCAGTTTGATTACAGTCAGGAAAGAGTTAACTGTTTCTGGTGAGAGCCCTGATTCAGTCACTGCCCTTCTATTTCTTCTGACGTGTATGTGTGTGTGGGGGGTGTTTCCTGCCTGCTGAACTCTAAAATGGGGAAGTGCAACAAGAAACACACCTAGGCACAAAGGAGAGCTCAGCACACTCACCCTCTTCACACTGCCCTCACTGTCTTACAAACTCTGCAGCTTATTTTACAGAAAGCCACTCTAAAAACCCACTTTTAGTGACTCCTCTATTTGGAACTTCTAATGCATTCCTTACATACACTGTAAAAAGTGTTTTGTCAGCTCAACCTAAAAAATGACTTATTGAGGTAATAAGCAATAGAATTAGTTTTACTAAACTCAACAAATTACTTTGATTTCAGTGATCTTTCATTCAGAGTTTGTTTAGGTTGAATAAAACTAATTAAGTCACTTGTTCCCACATGAAGTAATTTTTTTAGATTGAACTGATGAAACAATTTTTACAGTGTACAGTTGTATGAAAACATTTGAACACCCCTCATCAAACCTCGTATCTCCAAAATAATAACTTTACAGGAGAAGGAAAAAACCTACTTTATTTGTAATGTAAGTCAATGGAACCAGACTTTTGGGTCATTTCTTTTGGTCTGTTCGTCATGAAATTTACACACAATGTATAGGGAAATAGGCGTTTTCAAATTATGTCAAAATGGAGATAAAAGGTTTTCTTCCGACAGCAGCGAAATGATGTTTTGTTGATTTACGTAAAAAAAAAACCTCTACAGAGAACTTCTGTATGGCATTTTTTGCCAATTTTAGTGTGCCATTTTTATTTTTTTCTTCAAATGTAATGTGCAATTACTTTTGCACAGCTCACATTTTATGTTTTATTCAATTTAATTTAACTTTACTGCTATTACTGCTACTCTTTTCATGTCATGTTATGTGTCATGTGTCTCTTTTCAGTCTAGTGTTCCCTGAAAGGACGTTTTATCTGTGTGCGAAATCTGGCGTGGAGGCTGATGAATGGATCAAGATTCTACGTTGGAAACTGGTGAGGACATCAAAATTGAATTGAATTGAATTGAATTCAGAACCATCAGCCAACTGTGTTTGCACACTGTGGAATTAGACCTCCGCATTTAACCCATCCGTGCAGTGAAACACCCACATACAAAGAGTTAGGAATGACCAGAAGCTGTTAAATTATTATTATAATGCTTATACTGTAGTGTTATATTATAGTATTCTAATATACATGTGTGTAATTTATAATCATGGTCATCCTTCTGGAATATTCGTATTGTTAACAATCAGTGATTAATTACAGGGAAAATCTGGTCTGCTTTGTCTAACAGTAACCTCACCCTTTTTCAGTCGCAGATAAAAAAAGGCCGATGATGATCAGAACAGGATGAAGACATGAGAGTGTGAGCTGTGCGTGCTGTTAAGACTGATACAAGAGGATGTTCTGATAGAAAGGTCAGAGGTCTGTAGATGATTAGGGTCTAGACTCATCCCTATGGCCAGTGTAATCTGATGTCAAGGCATTGTTGCAAAGGAAGTCTATGAATCACACATAATCTGAGTGGAGATACTGTGTCATAATGACACTTTCTTTTCTGTCATGCTGACCACCTCTGAGGATGGGAGATTACGGATATCAGATTAAGAAACAAAGCGGATCTGATGACATTTACAAACGGGGCTTTCAAAGAAGGCTGCTTATCATTCTGACTAATTGAACAGTTGTCTTTTCACTGTGGAGCCACCTGTAGTGCACTGCTGCATGGTGTGGACAAAATAACAGAAACAGCATGAAAAAAATGTTGACTAAATCACTGTTACAAAGGCAGCTACGAAGATGGTCGTCAGTTTTAAAGGAGGTCTGAAAATCAGGCTTATCCTATCATATGCAAAAGTTTTAACACCCCTGGTCAAACTACGCTTTATTAGTGAAAATATGTTAACATGTCCTCTACAGGGAACAACTTATATAGCTTTCTGCAATTTTAGTGCAGTTTTTATTTATTTCTCTTTATTTTCTATTTGCTGGCCACATCTTTTTCCAATATGTTAACAGTAATTGTGCAAAAACAATGGGCAGAAGTGTGTTCCCTGAAGAGGATGTGTAAACTTATTTTCACTTAGAAAATCAACCAAATCTAATTTGATCAGGGCCGCCCAAACTTTTGTATATGACTGTATATGTGAAGCATCATGAGGCCAAATAGACCCCAAAGTACAGGTGCATCAGCCACATATACTGCAAAATTATTTATACGTACAGCACTGGTGAAGATAAGCAGTGGTCTCACACCAAAGCTCACACGCAAGTCAGTAAACACTACACCCTCGAAGGTTGCCGCAAAACCTTTTTCTAATCTTTTCTTACATCCGGACACGGTCATATCTGCAGAAAGCCAACTGTTAGCTGTTAACTGCTGCCAGCTGGCTCCAAAATGGTATAGGCAACCATTTCAGTGCAGTCATTCTGTCAAATCAGTTCAATGCTCTGCACAGTCGTGCAGGAAACATGAGGCCATATAAAAGAATCAGGTGCACTATATTGGTCCCATGTGCGCTGCTAGACAAATTTAAGTGGAGTCTCATAAGGTCCAAACCTTCCACAGCCTCAATCAACAGATCTGCACATTATTGCACCTATATGGAAAGTTCTAGAGTGCAGTGCCAAATAAATGCCTACTTCCTCCATTCCTCAGAGGACTAAAGGCTTTACTACTTGAAGAATGGTAAACAATTCTATTAAACAGATAATGACTTATGTAACAGCTTTCTAAGAAGAAACCAAGTTATGAAGGAAAACTATGGCCTTACTCTCGACTCGGTACTTGATTATTTGGTGATTCCAATATTTTGTCCACACCCTGTATACTTCAGCATTTCTGATGCTTAAGTAGATTTTTATCTGACGTTTTATAATGTGACAGAGAAAACTATTTAATAAGATGTAAAATGGAGCCGAGAGAGAGGGAGATGACTGTACACTGTAAAAACATGGGTTTGTTGGTTCAACCTGAAAAAAATACTCCATGAGGTAACAAGCAGTTTTACTGATTTTATTCCACTCAAATAAATACTGTGCATGAAACAATGCAAAGCAAATTTTTAGTTTAGGTGAACAAAAGCAGTACTTCACATCAGTGGAAACCTAAAAAAACACTTTAAATCAACTTCAGTCCTGTTCCACTTTTTACAGAGTATCAAACAAACAATGTTTATATTTGAGTGGTTTCAGTACTTTATTTCTTTGACTTTTCTTGTGGAGGTGACATACAAAGGCTCTTATCTGACAGAGAAGAGTCTGATTAACTTGTTAGATAATCTGAGCCTGAGTTTGTACTGAGTATGTTTTTCAAATAACCCAGCTGGAGGATGCAGAAAACAGTATCTATTCTCTTTGCATTTACTTCTGTAAAAATGTAAATCTTCAATAAATACACAGTATTTTTGTACATCAAAGTCTTAGACAAATTTATTTATTAGAAGAAAAGAACACAAACAGAGGGGGTTACATTCATAATAGAAACATACAGCATCAAGAGCAACTGACATAAAATTCCATTTCACAGCCAACATCATACCAGTGTGTGTGTGTGTGTGTGTGTGTCAACACAAGAGGGAATTGTAGCGATGTCCAAGGTGCATGTGTGTGGCTCCCATGACCTGATGCAGGTGTATGATGTGCAGTAGTTGTAAATTTACGTGACTCCTAAGCGACCTCTACCACCTGCCTCAGTTCCTCAATCAGCGGAACAAGCTCCTTCTCCAAACTGATGATCAAACCTAAAAATAACAGTTGCAGAAACCCATCAGTAACTGATACTACCCACCTCATGCAATTATCATGATATGTTTCCAAGTATGGCTCTTCTGTATGATATGTTATCTGGTGAAGATAACCAGTGGTTGCAAACCAAAGCTCACAAACAAGACAGTCACTAAACACTACAGCCTCAAAGACAGCCAAAGAACCCTTTTACTTTATCTTTTTTCTTACATCTGGACATGTTTACATCAGCAGTCTTGGCCAGTTGGCTCCAAAATGGTATATATAGGCAGCCATTTCACTGGAGTCATTAGATCAATGAGACAATATTAAAAAAAAACTGGTTGCTCTGTTCCTTGTTATTTTGTGTCTCTCACATCAGTATATGACCAAAAATATACAAAATAAGGAAACAACCACAATGCAGCCTCTCTGTTAAAACACACAAACTTAGCATCAGAATTTCCTTGAATCATCGTGCTAAATTTAAGTTATGAGTTACGAGTGTTCAAGTCTAACTGTAAAGTATTTTAATTCAAGTCCCATCAACTTTGTCACTCATTCGCATTTCTGACAGATACTCACCTGTGTTGGCACTACTGCTTGCAATGAAGCTGATCACTAGGGGTAATCGGTTAAATTGCACAATCTGACAAAGACAAACATCATAAAAACATCACTCAGAAACTTAAACTAATTTCAAGTGCAAATAATCAAGTGAAACTGAAATTGGGTTTGCGAGGTAGAATACCTGATATGTGTTGTAGTAGCAGATGATGCTCTTGTTTTTGGACAGCCCCAGCTTGCTGCCCTGATCTGTGGCCAGTGCAAAGGTGGAGAGAAAGCCTGGCCGCAGAGCGTACTCTGGAGCATTGTCATTGGCAACTTCATGGAACATCATCAACCACAACAGCAAAGATTATTCACAAGCAGTACAAACAGTATGGAACAAAACCAAGCAGCAGTTTTCATACTAAAATCACACTGACTAGAACATGATTAACTGTATTACCTTTGATTACAGGAACTCCATCTCTGTCTGTTACTACTATTGCATGTAGTCCTTCCACCCTGATAGACATTCAAGAAGAGAATTATTACTGTATACATAATGTGAGCATGTAACCACTAGTTGAAATAATGTTGAAAGTCAAAGTGTGCTACACTCTTTCTGACATGTTTGCTCTCATGTAACTTCATTCTTACCTCTTAAAATGTAGTTTATCAATTAATTCTATATAAAATCATTTATAATACATATAATACAGATTTTATTAGACACCTTACAGACAATAGAAATGGGGTCAGATTTCCAATTACGTCACAACCGTCAGTTCTGTTCTGTGCATATCGCTGTTGTCAGAAGAAAACCTTGTATCTCCAAAATGACAACTTTCACAGGAGAAGGAAAAAAAACTACTTATAACGTAAGTCAATGGAACCAGACTTTTTTCCAAGTTATTTTGGGTCATTTCTTTTGGTCCATTCATCATGAAATTTACAAACAATGTAAAGGGCAACATCATTTTCAAATTATGTCAGAAAAATGACAAATGGAGACACAAGGTTTTCTTCCAACAGCAGTGATACATTTTTTACATATGTCCTGGAAATGTGAGCCTATAATAGACTTCTAGAAATGTGTTGACACCGCTATAATGAGAGTGTTAAGTCTTAGTTATATCCAAACCCTCCTCTTTGTTTACTGAGTGACATTTTTACATTTATTCAACTCAGAAAGTGATTCTCTGGGTTTACTACAGTTAAGATGTCAATCACTCAATTCTGCTTTACTCCTAATTTACAGACATTTGGGATTCTTACACTGAAGAATGGTGAATTGTAACCCTTGAAGGTATGACTGCCAATAGGGCTGGGCATTATCACAATAATTATTGTTATTGTGATAATTTATGTCACAATATGCCATCATGGACATGGTCAGAACTTAAAAACACTTCCCAACTGCTTGTTTGATTACAAAGAGTGCATAATTAGTCCTGTTTAACTGGATTTTGAGCAGCTCAGTATGTGAAATGTTGAACACAATTCAATGTATTCAGTTTTTGATAGTATTTTTGTGGAAAAAATGTGCAAGTATGTTGACTGTTCCAACCTACCAGACAGCAGAAAAAAACAAACATTGTGACTTATCATGTATCGTGAAAAAGTATTGTGATATTACATTTTTGCCATATCACCCAGCTCTATCTGCAAGAGTGAATAAGGTCCAGTCAAAGACAACACAAGCCTGGACCAACATGTCATCTGCTACCCGAAATTTTGCACATACATTCTTGTTGTACCATCATCACTGCACGCATGTAACGACCTGACTGACCTGGAAAATGAGAAACGTTTGCTCTCAACACATTCACTGCTCAAGGCGTTCAAGTTGTAAAAATGCTACTTACGTTGGTAACTGTTTGTATAAGTATCTCTTCAAATCCTGCAGTCGGGAAATCAGACATATTACACGGGTTAAATGCTGCGTTGATTTAGTTCACACACAAAAAGCTCAAAACAGAGCATCACGACTTCAGATTCAGACAAGGGACTGAACTAAAACACTCACATCTGCCATGTTGTATTAAGTTACTGTTGGCTACGAGTAGCCCTGTGCGCTGCTCCCTGCAACACAACGGCGAATTAATCAGTTAAAGCGGCTGTAAACCAAGTTAATGAAAGAAACGAGAAGTGAACACGGAACATGTCTGTGTTTCACCACAAGCAGACCTGTGTCTGTATGTCAGCGAGCTTAACTGCTTTAAGAGAAGACTTTGTGAAGCATATTATAAATCTGCGGTGTTATTCGTGCACTTTAAGATATATTTAAGTAAATAAAGAGTAGAGAACTGAATCAGGCATGAGCGTTATTACCTTTATCTACACCGTTTTGATGGGTTCCGTCTCTCGTTTGCTGTGTTTATCACATGACACACAAACATGTACACTTTCCTGAACGTCACTTCCGTTCCCGTTCACCATTTCCCATGTAGCTTCAGAGTCCCTCTAGTGGACCGTTAATGTCTTACTCAGAGCTGGAGGAGCTGTTCATTATTAAAATACACTACGTTTCAGCCCAGCTAGGCTCTTCATTTATTTTAAAGCCGGTTTCTGTTCGTGTGAGTTTGTACGTGTGGTCTGCAGGAGAGAGTGAAAGGTTAGTTCTCTGACTTTAAAGGGCCCATATTGTACAGTTGTCTTGTATTTTATTTAATCTTTTTCCACTTAAGACATTTGTGCAGTTTTATGTACCAAAAAAAAAATATTTTTACTTGACCATTTTCCAGAATTAACCCCTTACATGGCCACGGCCTGACGGCAGGCCCAAAGTTTTATTACACACCTTTATAACCTAAGAACGGCTAAACCAGTTTGCACTGAAGTCCCTGTACTTACTGAATAATAAGCCTTAGTAAGTAATAAGCCTTTGTTACTATGCTTTAATATACAGAACCCTCCACAAATCCTGGCGCCCCTGATTAACATAAGCAAAAAAAGGCTGTAACTGGTTATGCTTTTGAGCTTTCATTTGAAATAATAAAAAATCTCATTTTCATTTGAAGTACAACAATAAAAAAATAAAATAAATCTTACCAGGAAATAAATATTTTTCTCAAATCTGTGTGTGCCACAATTGTCGGCACCCCTTTGTTTAATACTTTGTGCATCCTCCCTCTGCAAAGTTAACAGCTCTGAGTCTTCTTCTATAATGCTTAATGAGACTGGAGAACACATGACAAAGTGAGACCATTCCTCCATACAGAACCTCTCCAGATCCTGTGAGATGAACTGAAGAAGAGAATCCACATGTTGGTTATTGGCTTGAAGTTCTTAATCATTGTCCTGATTGTGGAAATGGGCATTTTCAACTGTTTAGTTATTTTCTTGAGCCCATTTCCTGCTTTCAGCTGCTCTACAACCTTTTGTTGTACATCATTGCTGTATTCTCTGGTCTTCTTCATAGCAATGGATGACTAAAGGAATTGGCTTGTGTTTCATTTCATATATATTCCCCAGTGTTCCTAATCGCTCACGTAAACTTAAAAACATAAAATATGAACGGGAGTACACTTCAGGTAGATTTTACTCATCAAAATTTCTAGGGGTGCCAACAACTGTGGCACACATAGATTTAAGAAAAACACTTTTTTCATGACAAGATTTAGTTTTTTCTTTCAATCATTATATGTTAAATAAAGAAATAAAGATCACCTCTCTGGACTCTGGAGTAATGGAAACATTCTCTGGGGTGATGAATCACGCTTCACTATCTGGCAGTCTGATGGACAAATCTGGATTTGGTGGATCCCAGGAGAACGCCTCCTACCAGAATGCATAGTGGCAACAGTTAAGTTTGGTTTATTTGGTTTGAAGTTTAAGGGGTTTTATTTATTTATTTATTTTTTTAGGGTTTTAGGCTAGGTAATGTTAATGCTACAGCATACAAAGATATTTTAGGCAATTCTTTGCTTCCAACTTTGTGGCAGCAGTCTGGAGAAAGCCTTTTCTTGTTCCAACATGACGGTGCTCCACTGCACAAAGTGAGTTTCATAAAGACATGGTTTGATGAGTTTGGTGTGGAGGATCGCCAGTGGCCTGTACAGAGCTCTAACCTCAACCCCACTGAACACCTTTGGGATGAATTTGGAATGTCGATAGCGAGCCAGGCCTTCCCATCATTACAAATGCTCTTTTGACTGAATGGGCACAAATTCCCACAGACACACTCCAAAATCTTGTGGAAAGCCTTCTCAGAAGAGTGGAAGCTGTTATAGCCACAAAGAATCGCCAATTCCATATTAATGCCCACGTTTGAAATGGGATGTCCAAAAAGCTTATATAGGTGTGACGGTCCGATGTTTACATACTTTTGGCTATATAGTGTATCTTGATATAGTTTTAGAGCTTTGTGTTTGTCATTTTGCCAAAGCTATACTGAAGTTTTCTTTAGGCTGAGATTGTGTTGTTCTCTCTCTTTCTTAGTATGCAGGTCTGGCACTAAGAATGAAAAGCCTTCATGTGAGGATTAGGCCTGAAACAATGAGTTCCTCAGTGTTCACAAACCAGGCAAAGCCTAATCCTCCCCTCAACTTCACCTAGCCGACCACAGTCACACAATCACCCCACCAGCATTTTCAATGCCTAAACCCCCGAAACCCTTTTTCTCCTCAACAACCCCCCCCCTCACACACACTGTTTACTACTCCCTCTTTTTTTGCAAGTATTGGAAGAAAGCACACACGCAGGACTGAACACAGGATAGACTGCTCCATGCAGCTGTGTGCTGTGAGCTTTAGGCTGGATAGAAGTGAATGTCAGAGAGAGACACAGGACTGACATCTGACAAACGTGCTTTGTGAGGATATGTGTGACAAAGAAATGGGACCTGAACTGCAAAATACCTCGGCTGAAGCTGTTAGCCTTGATGGAACAAGTGCCTTCTCGCAAATGGAACACAACATCGTCGCTGGATATCTTATTGCTGCATGTAAAGAGTAACTGTATCTCTGTATGTTTCTGTACATGTGTATTGTATATGTTGTGCTGCAGTATATATCTATGTAGGGTTTTATGTTTGCACTATGTAAAGAACACATAACTGAAAGACCAAAAACTGCAAGAATTATACAAAGATTTACTCAATTTTATAAAGATTCCTCTCATATATTTTAGATTATGTATTATATTACGGTACTTTGCAAAAGCCAGAGACCACCCTTCTTTTAGCTGTATTACAGCTTCCATATCTTTTCAGAAGACTTCCTTTCTGTTTTTTCAAAGAAAACTGCAGGGATATTTTTCCACACCTCCAAAGTTCAGTCTTAGAAGTTGGTTGCATTTTCTGCTTCTCATGATCCAAATAATCTCAAACACATTCAGTGATGTTGAGGTCTGGACTCTGGGGTGGCCAGTCAGCTGTTCTAAGAACACCAGCAGCTTCTTTGTATAATTGCACATTTTCTGCTTTTTTGTCTATTTGCTTTTCTCAGTAAGAGCTTATTGACAGCTATACATCCTTTCAATCTCATAGTGTTGAGTTGTCTTCTCACAGTGGAAGGATGGACAGAAACACCTGTGGATCTGAAGTAAGAGTGGGGCTTGATTTTCTCCTCTGTCTCAAAGATGAAAGCTTTAAGTGCTGTTTATCTGATGACAGTTTTGGTGGTCTACCAGGCCTTGCATATTTTATTTACAGCTTATTATCTATATAAGTTAATCTGTATCTTTTAACAGTTTTTTCAGTTTTGCAAACTCCTGTATTTTCACTTATTTTCATTAGATTTTTCCCTTCATTATGCAAGTACTTAAAAGTCATTTGACTAGATATTAAATAAATGAAGGGTGGTCTTTAAATTTTGCACAGCACTGTATATACCTAAAATATTAAGGGTCTTTATGTTGGTCCACACTTCAGTTTTTTTCACTCCCATAACCACTCAATAGGTAAATCATTCATAATAGTTACTGAACAATAAGTCTTAAAATTAATAACCGAATAATCAGCCAAGGGGTTAAAGTGCAGTGGTGATTTCTTATCTAACCAGCAGAGGGACCCAGTGAGCTGTCATGTGAGAATAGTATGTGTCTGTGTGTATCTGCCTGCATAATTTCCACTTTTTCACTGTCTCTCTCTCTCTCTCTCTCTCTCTCTCTCTCTCTCTCTGTCTGCAGGTGTGATTAGTTTGTCCAGTAACCTTGTGGTGCTGATGATGTTTGTTAAGTTCAAAGAGTTGCGTAATGCCACTAATGCCATCATCATTAATCTGGCATTCACTGATGTTGGCGTGGCGGGCATAGGTTACCCCATGTCTGCTGCCTCTGACCTACATGGCAGCTGGAAATTCGGTTACACTGGTTGCCAGGTTTGTTGTGCACACACACATATACTCACACATGCATACATATTTACATCATTTCCACACAAATTGAACCGTAATGGCCATTATGTTAGCGCAGACTTGTTGAGTGTGTGAACACAAGCTGACCAACAATTAATATCTTCATGGAGCCACCCTGACTTGTGTGCAGGCCTTTCAGACTTGAGTGTGGAATACATGTGTGTTTGTGTGTGCGTGTGAGCGAGTAAGCATAGAACATGGCATGTGTTCCTAATCTACTTGTTGAGAAATTTTCTCACTGTGAAACAAAACAGAGGCTCATGTTAACTAAGTATGCTCAGAAACTGAAAATGGGCCTTTAAGACTTCTCACAGTAATATATCTTTATGTATTGTAAAGCTTGCGCATCCATTTATGAGTGTTACCCACAGCTGACCTATTGACAGACTTCTCTTTTGTAGATATATGCTGCTCTGAATATATTCTTTGGCATGGCCAGCATTGGACTACTTACTGTGGTTGCCATTGACAGATACATTAGCATCTGCAGACCTGACATAGGTATGAATAGAGACTATAGTGGTCAAATATGAATTATTGATATAGTTGTTTTACATGTTTAGACTGTTCTGGCTGCAGTGTATTTGTTGCATGTCTGGTGCTTCTACTGTATGTATAGGGCAAAAGATGACCACACGCTCATATACACTCCTGATTGTGGCTGCATGGCTGAATGCAGTGTTCTGGTCTTCCATGCCAATCGTGGGCTGGGCTGGATACGCTCCTGATCCAACTGGAGCCACCTGCACCATCAACTGGAGGAACAACGATGCGTGAGTCGTCCTCATACAGGCATCAACTTACTACTAACTTGTACCCATATATTCCTTGTACCCCTTTACAGTGATTCACCCTGTGCCAAAGATTCTTTGTCCCCAGACTTGTTTTTTTGTACTCAGTTCATGATTTCCTTGAACTTTCCTGGCTTTCTGAACGTAACTTAGAGGCTAATAATGATGATGAATTGGAACTCTAATTCTATCAGTCACACAGACACACACGCACATTTTCTGAGCTGCTTACCTTGATTGGTCGCTGGGGTTGCTGGAGTCTATTCCAGTACTCGTTGGGCAGAAGACAGAAAACACCCTGGACAGGTCGCCAGTCCATCAAAGGGCAGACACACACACTCACATTTAGGGCCAATTTAGCATCTTCAATTTGCCTGACTGCATGTTTTTGGACAGTGGGAGGAAACCAGAGCACCCGGAGAAAACCCACGCAGACACAGGGAGAACATGCAAACTCCAGGTCGCTCCAAAGGACCCTGGTTGTCCGGCCAGCCAATCAAACCCAGTCAATTTTTCAAAATTTCTCAATGATAAAAGGGTTAAGATGTGAGATGTGTTAAGAATTGTTTGATATGAAATGCTCCATTCTAGGGAAACTCACTGTATCAGAATGTGTTCACACATATGCTGTCTGATATCTGACACATTGTTTTATGATAGTTTTAAGATAATATTTTGGCCTAAAATGTGTTTTTTTTTTTAATCCAATCATGGCAGAGAGGTACATACAGGGTGTCGAAAGGCAAAGTAGCACCCAAAGAAAACTTATTTTTTTTCCAGATTTAGAACTATTTTAACATCATGAAAATTACATATAAAACTCAGGAGATGTGCGTAGATTCACTGGTCATGTTGGATAGTAAATAAAATGCTATATTTGCATTGTAGACATAATGGTTTCTAGTTCCTTTCACCACCACAGTAAAGAAATCTGGCTTTGTAAGTTTCTCTGCAATGGAGCATTTCACATCAAAACACTCTGGATGGCTTTGCTAATAACTGAGATATGCAGAAATTTTGAAAAAGCAGTGGAATCCCCCTTTAAGATCTTATTTGAAGGAATAGTTTAGCAAAAAAGATGAAATATACACAATTTCCCCTTACCTCAAAGTTGGCTTCTTTAGTTTTGCACTGAAGCTATGAGGATAATATAGCCATGGTTGAGATGTTGAATCTGTGTTCAGTCCAGGTTACATTTTACAAAGGCAGTATTCATGATACAGTTACTTTTTTCAGGAAAATACTTTTAGAATACCTCAAATATTTAGCTACTAAAATAAAATAAAATAAATAAATAAATAAAATCTTTAAAAAAAGAAACACTGTCCGTGTTTGGTTAAGAATCAGTCTGGTTAAAATCAGTGCATGGCATGTAGCTAACACAGAAAAAGTAAAGAGCAGCATTCGAGTGTCTATAACGTCCAAAAAAAACCCACAATACGCAGAGCATTTTTAGTATATTTACACTTAGAATGACAACTTATAAAAACACAAACGACATGTGTATATAGCTTTTATGAGGATCCTTTGATACATTTACTGAAAGCGCCCCCCTTTTGCTGAGTTCATGTAACAGTGCTTCTTGGAGGATTATGAAAGCAGGCGATTAGGAAAAAAACGAACAAAAAAATTGATAAGAATTGCAGTACTTCATTCAAATGATAAGCAAATTTTGTTTTATTAAACAAATTATCAGAACAACTAGTAACAGCAAGGAACAATGTGAATAAAGTGTGAGTAAAAAGTACAGCAGGAGAGGTTTTCCCACATACCCTGTCAAGATGTATTCTAAATGTATTCTGAACATATTTGTTTTTTGTGTATTGTAACAGAATAAGTTAGTTTATACATTTAGGACAGCCATCACTATTTTTCAAAGTACTCTGCCCAACTGTAAATATAGCTAACAAGTAATGAATGAATAGACCCCACAAATTAACATAAACTGCATGCTCATATCTTCCCATGTCTCAAACAGCATCCAGTTAGATAATCTCAAACAAATGTGCTTATGTGGTTTCTGACACTATGACAAACTGTATTAAAAACATACCAGTATGGGAAAATTCAGAACACTAACTGGCAGGTTAAAGCTTTCATTATGTGGCTGCTACATTAACCTTTTAATAAATGTGTTCCTCTTCTCTTCAGGTCCTTCATCTCCTACACTATGGCGGTGATTTCTGTTAACTTCATTGTACCACTGTCGGTCATGTTTTACTGCTACTACAATGTTTCAGTCACCATAAGGAGGTACAAGGCCAGCAACTGCCTGGACAGCATCAACATAGATTGGTCAGATCAGATGGATGTCACTAAGGCAAGCAGCACGTATTGTAGTATTTAGTTCTAATTACTGCTTTGTGTATTTGTTCATTCTGTTTGAGGTCATTGCTGTCAGTATAATATGCAACTGTGGCCTGCAGATGTCCATTGTGATGATTGTGATGTTCCTGGTGGCCTGGTCTCCATACTCCATAGTGTGTCTCTGGGCATCGTTTAGTGATCCCAAAAAGATTCCTGCACCAATGGCCATCATCGCCCCGCTTTTCGCAAAGTCTTCCACCTTCTACAATCCCTGCATCTATGTGATCGCAAACAAGAAGTAATGTCACTCTCCTCCTCTCTTCTTCAAGGACATGAACTCAGAAAAAGTATTATGATGCCCTTATTCCGCCCTAATATTTCATGTATGTAATCACTGTGTTTGCTTGGTTTGTTTTAGATTCAGAAGAGCTATAATAGGAATGCTACGATGCCAGACCCGTCAGCGAATCACCATCAGCAACCAAGTCCCCATGACTGCTTCTCAATCACCTCTCAACCAATAGATGATGACCTGTGGTAGTGCCTACGCACAGCTCCTATCATGCCCTCTGCTCAGCGCTGGACGCTGTTCCTGTCCTGCACCATTATGACACCGTAACAGTCTCATTTGGATTTAAAAGGCCCCAATATGGTTGTTTGCTGTGAAACATACCAGCAGCTCAGCAACTACTGGTGTTAAGCTTAATGCAGAAGATTTAATAAAGTCTTGGCTTTATGGTGTAAAGTCTGTTGTTGTTTTTTGGGCCTATTGTATGCAATCATTTGTTGCTCAAGCTGTATTCCTTTACACAGATGGTCACGTACACTGCATAAAATGATATCTTGGGAAGTGAAAACATCTTAAATGTAGTTTAAGTATCTAATCTTTCTAATTATGAGATTGTTGTAAGAATTTTACAATATTACATAACTTATTTCTAGACAATTTTACTTTTTAAGCAATTTTATCTTATGAAAGTGTCTCATTCGCTTGGCAGATCGTTTTACTTGTTTCATGCATTATTTCCTGACATAAGCAAAATTATCTGCAATATTTCTTGAAACAAGTAAAGTGATCTGCTAATGGAATGAGACACTTTAATAAGACAAAATTACTTAAAACAAGTAAAACTGTATAGAAATAGGTTGAATAATCATATATTATTCTCATGACAATCTCATAATGAGAAATTTTAGATATATTGACTACATTTAAGATGTTTTTACTTACTATCATTTATTGCAGTGCAGCAAAGGTTAATTATACCAAATACTCAAAGATTTACTTAAAATTACTTACAACAAGTGAAAAACGTCTAGAAATAAGATAAAGGCCCGATATCATGGAAAACCATGTTTTCTTGCTTTTTAGAAATTTCGAAAGAGATTAATATTATATGTAAACATTTTGAAAGTTTTAAAACAAGCCATTCACTCCTCAGTCCATACAGTTTGTACATGGAAACTTATTTGCAAAAACAGCCTGTTTTCAATTAAACTGAATTCATGAAGTCTTGATAAACTAAAACATGTAACATTACGTATGTCTGCCTATTCAGCCTAAAGCAAATAACCAGAGCATAGCTCATTTACATATATAAGTCTTAAAGTACCATATTCAATTACTATGAAATGATGTATTTTGATGATAAATCTAGTTTATTACAGCTTAACACACTGTGTATACAGTAGTTACCTTGTAATTTAAATTTATACAAGCACAGTTGGCAACTGGCAACTAACTGGCAGTGATATTTTTTACAGTGCATGTAAAACACAGCTATGAATACACTACACAAATTTGTAGTGACATTCTTTAATCTTTGTACACAATCAGTAGGTCAATACTCTGTATATGAAAACTGATGGAGCAATGAAAACGGCAGTCGTCTTCATCATTTTACCATGAACATTCTGAACACTTCATCTATAACATACATTTTTCAGCATCTTAAATAACAAATGTACAGTTCTTTTTGCATAATTTATATATATCAGCATCCAAGTATTCATGTCCAAGTATGCTTCATATGTAATCTCAAAAACTACACAGCTGTACTTCGGTTAGCTCTGTAATGAATGCTTGTTGTGCCATTAGCCCTGATGAATTAAGTGTACGGGTTCATGATTTCAGTTTGTATTCACATTAAGGTAAATGTTGTGGAGAAAAAACGGCATGATGTACGAGGAGACAAAGGGAGTGTTTTGATGAAGCGTGTTTGTTGACGTGTTTAGGACACGTTGGCCTCTAGCCAGACCCGGATCTCTTCTTGGTTACGCTTCACCCACTCAATATTGTTCTTCACTGTCTCCAAAGCCTGTTTTCTGGGCGTCTCTCCCGCTCCAGCGTTCGGGGTCAGGGCAAAGAAATGCTCCATCTGAAAAGAGGTAGAGTTTATTAGTAGAAACTATCAAGGACACAACTCTGCAAAGCAAACTAGATAATGAAACGTAGCCAATTTCTGAGCCAACGTGGCTTCAGAGGTTCAGAACCTTTACTTTTTTTTTCTACACACTGCACATTTTAGTGACAGAAGACCATTCCTAACTGGAGTTGTATACTTTAAACTCCATTAAACAGCTGCTTTTCATAAACACGTGACTGTGATTGTGTTCTGTTACTCCTCTTTATCCCGTTCTCTCTGTGTACACTCAGTTACCCTGGCCTGTGAGGATTACCTTCCACAGCTGCAGCTCTGTGTTGTATGTAGTACTGATTCTGGTAAGCAGACGGCCCAGGTTCCTGTCAGTGATACCAAATCTGCAACAGATAAGTTTTACACAGATAAGCCGCCCATAAAATAACAACACAGCAAACATCTAGTTTTATTGGCCAGCTTATCTGCTCATTGTTAGCTTGTTGTTAATGTGACGCAGTTGGCACCTAATTTATTAGCTCTGTTCAGAGGTGGGTAGCAACTAGTTCCATTTACTCTGTTACATGTACTTATGTAAAACTTTGGAGAGTTTTCTAATTCTAAGTACATTCACACTGAGTTTCTAACTCATTTGTTGTGTTCAGTTTAATTCTCTTCTGTGTGTAACAGCGCTTGGACTTCTTTGCTTTTGCACACTTCTCCTTTCTAAGGCTCCGTATTTTATTTTAGACCTAAAAGATTCTAGAAAAGAAGAATAGCAACCAACAAACTTTGGTTCCTATGCTGATAGATGTTGCACTAAAAAGTCCTACAAACAGACCTTGACATTTTTGTGCACTGATACTTTCTTCTTTCAATGAATGAAACTACTTTAGTGAAAAAAAATCATTCTGATATTTAAGTGTAGGTTAAGGCTACTTTACCCACCTCTGCAGTAACCCACTTAATAGATATACATATATATATATTTTTTGCAAGTAAAAATTCAGAATTCAGGTTGCAAAAGTTTCCACTCACCTGTTCACGAGGTAGTCCCAGTTGAGTGTGACCCACTCCCATGCCATGCTTTGACCATACTTGTTGAAGGACACGTATCGTATAAGAGTGAACACATCCTGACTCCGTATAATGCTCTCATCCTTAGTCGCCTCCAAAAGCCTGTTGGAAAACAAAAATTATCTATGTTGATAATGTTCTAAGGCTGAATCTACACTACATTTGTAGCATTCTGACAAGAAGCTACAGATTAACTACTGCAACCTTGTCAGCATAAACGCCACTCATGTCTGAAAACCCTATAAACCATTTGACAGAATTATTGCCCTCTCTGTTATCCTCATTCAACCTCATTTAATTTTACTGCTGCCTCAGTAATGTTGTAAAATCGCTTATGTAATTTTAGATTACATTGTGTAGGCTGAGAGGTGTTTTTACCTGTTGAGGAGTGTGACGTCTTCTATGGAGGCCAGGCCGTACAGCAGCTTGTCTTTCTCCTGCGCCAGTGGGGCACTGAGGTACCTCTGGAACATAATCTCCCAGCTCTCAGGTGTTCCTGCGTTCTTCATCCCGTATCTATACACCAGCAGCCTCAGGTTCACCGGCACACTGCTGCACTCAGAAACAGGTCATCTTGATTATTAATGATCATTGAATACATTGAATGTAATCATTTTTCATTATTCTCAGTTATTAATCTGAGGAGAATTCCAGCAATTTTTCCAAATGTCTTCATAATTAAATGGTTGAGGTGTAAACAAAGTCCTTCAGAGTGGACTGATGTGAAATATTCAATTCTAGTGAAACTTATCAGAATTGTTGACAATGGAGGTGATAAGAAGCAGATGTCAGAGGAGATTACTGCCAGAGAGTTATCACATTAAATGGTTATGAATATGCTGCCTGATGCTTGAGACTTTGTTTTATGACACGTTTGAGAAGGTTTTGGCCTAAAACGTACTTTTTTAGACACATTAACTGCAGAGTGGTACATGCAGGGTGTTTTCAGATTTACCACAATTTCACCATTATCAACATCACATATAAAAACTCAGAAGGCATGTGTAGGTTCACAGGTCAATAAAATGGTTATATCTGCATTGCAGACCCCTGGTTCCTATCACCACTACTGTAAATAAATCATAGTTGGCGAGTTTCTCTAGAATGAACACAATTTTGAAAAGAAATTTAGAAAAATCAGTGGAATTTCCTTTTTAAGAGATATATTTCAGGAATTATTATGAAATATTCTCTATGTATGAAACTAATATGTAAGTTTTGTAGTTATGAGAGGTAGGACCTGAAGCATGTGCCCACATGTGCCCTTAGGGTTTAACCCTTCAAGAGCAATTACTATTGTTTTGTTATACTATTTAAACGTAATTACACTATTACATGATCAATTACATAGTTAGTTATGCAGTTAGTTCTTCTGTTTATTTTGATGTCCACAAACAACAAACACATAACAAAAATGTATAGGATGGACTTTTCTGTAAGCAATTATTTTTCAATAATTGTATATTTTAAAATTTTATTTTACATTTAAAAATATCTCTTCTTCTACTTGTGAACATAAAGGTATTGATGTAAGGTTTAGAATTTGTATTTTTCACAGAATTAATTTGCTTGTTGTATGAAGTATGAGTGAGAAATAATATCAAATTACACCATGCTTTGATTAAGGGATTAATTACATGTTGATTACATTGTATTATTACATTATATTGATTATATTGTGCTCTGTGTATATGTGCACTGAAAAAATGGTTCAAGGTTTATTAAGTGTCAAGTGAAAGTACACAAAGAAAATACATTACATCACCACAATTGCCTTTTTTTCCATTTACTTGTTTTGGCAATCAGTGTAGTCACGTTATACATTTTGTTCATGTGCATCCACTTGACACACTTGTTCTGTGTGTTTAATTCTCCCACTGTACCTGAGTGTTCCATCAATCCACTGTTTAAAAATAGAGGAGGCATTATCAAGGATCTCTGTATCTTCCATCTGGCAGGCAATGCCCAGAACCGTCTCCCTCAGCAGACTAGCCAAGAAACACACAACGGTTAATGTCTGTTTGCGATTCAGGTACAGTACACACACATGCAAAGCATTCGCTGTCTGTCCATGTCTGACACGTCTGTTTAGTTTTACAAGACTAATGAAAATCAAGAGTGTGAAAGGTGACCTTGGCCGACTTTACCGGACAGGCCAGCCAAACAACACGCACCGTTCTATTTGGTCGCCCGTGTCATCCCAGCCCAGATCTCTGGAGATCCTCTGCACATGGTCACGGAAAAGTTTCTGCACATGATAAATGTTTAGTGATGTTTAGTGTCTTGCATTCACACTGGAGTAATCTTTAGTTAGACTAGCGTTGCTATTCTGCCATTATCTCAGCTAAAACAACACATATAATATTCACATGCATGTTAAAAGGAACTCACTTTGGATTGTCTTAATTATATCATATGTAAATATTCAGCTGAAATTGAGTATGTATTCATCAACCCACAGTGTTGTTTGTCTTCTGAAAATTCAGACCATTTCTATAGTTTTTTCCTAACGCATGTGCACTCTTTTATATTGCTGCTGTGACTCTGCAGTGTCTTTCGAGATTAATAAGGTTTCTGTGTATATATGTATGTAATATACACAGATGAGCCAAAACATGACCACTCACAGATGAAGCGAATAACATTGATTATCCTTGATATATTACACAGTAAGTGCACAGTTGATTCTCATAGCAGATGTGTTGGATGCATGGAGAAATGGGCAGACATGAAGACCTGAGGCTTCACCAAGGGCCAAATCATTATGGCCAGACCACCAAGTCATAGCATATCCCAAATGGCAAGGCTTGTGGGGTGCTCCCAGTCAGCAGTGGTGAGTACCTATCGACAGAGGTACGAGGAGTCAGCGCACCACGAAGTGCCGACAGGGTGTTGGGCACCCAAGGCTCATCGATGAACAAGGGCCACAAAAGCTATCACGTCAGGTCCAAAACGACAGAAAGGCTACAGTGGCATAAGTGACAAAAGCCGAAGACCAGTCAGAGCACCCATGCTAACCCCTGTCCACTGTCGAAAGCACATATAATGGACATGCGAGTGTCAGAACTGGAACTTGGAATGGAATGGAAGAAGTAGTGGAAGAAGGCCGCCAGGTCAGATGCGTCCTGTTTTCTTTTATATTACATGGGTGGCCAGGTGCATATGTGCCGTTTACCTAGGGGAATGATGTCACGAGGATACACTGTGGAAAGAATCTAAGCCAGTGGAGGGAGTGTGATGCTCTGGGCAATGTTCTGCTGGGTTCAGGCATTCATATGGACGTCAGTTTGACATGTGCCACCTACCTAAAAAGCACTGCGGATCAGGTACACCGTTTCATGCGAGTGGTATTCCCTGTTGTCAGTGGCCAGCAGGATAATGTGACCTGCCCCGCTGAACACTTTGTTCAATAGGGAGGAACATAACACAGAGCTTAAGTTCCAAATTCTCCAGTTCTCAATTTGATCAAGTATCTGTGGGAAGAGCTGGGACAACAAGTCTAATCTATGGAGGCTCCACCTCACAACTTACAGGACTTAAGGATAAATTGCCCCAATTTTTCAAAATCTCTAAATAATTCAGTCATTGAGATGCAAACAAAGTCATTCAGGGTGGTTTGATGTGAAATGGTTATGATTGTAGAGAAACCTACAGGATTTCTTTACAGTGGTGGTGATAGGAACCAGGGGTCACAATGTCAACAACACACAAATATTGATTTTACTTACAATTCCAAACCACCAGTGAACTGTACATGCCTTCTGAGTTTTATATGTAATGTTGATGATGGCAAAATAGTCATAAATCTGAAGAAATAAGTTTTCTTTGGGGACTATTTTGCTTTACGATGCCCTACATGTACCCTCCATCCTGAATGGATTAAAATAAATGGATTAAAACACATTTTAGGCCAAAACCTTTTCACAAAACTATCATAAAACAATGTCTCAGACCTCAGGCAGCATATATGTACCTACTTCATGTAATTGCTTTCTGTGAGGGAGCTTTCAGAGGCATTAACCACTTAAGATGTCTGGTTTCTGTCACTACCACTGTGAATAATTTTGACTTGGCAATTTTCTCTAGAATGGAACATTTCACATCAAACCACTCTGAGTAACTGTGTTTACATCTCAACCATTTAATTATGTAGAGTTTTTGAAAAATTGATGGGAGTTCCCATTGCAGGATTTGCTGCTAACGTCCAGGTTCCAGAAACCACAGGGAACCTTCCAAGGTCTCGTAGAGTCCATGCCTCTGTGGCTTGGAGCTGTTTTGGCAGCATGCAGAGGACCAACAGCATATTAAACAGCTGCTTAATGTTTTGGCTCATTGGTGTATATGTATTTATAGTGCAGTTGGGAGTTTCCTTATAATTTACTTTGCCAATCTGTTCAACAGAGAATACATAGTGGCCTCAGAACAGAAGGCTCACCTGAAATTTAGGGTAGAGCTCAGAGTCCGATGCCAACATGTCCCTCACGTAGGCTATAGAGGAAGAGACCCGGGACCACACAATATAGTTTTCCTCATCGGCCAGATATTTGGTTAAGTTGAATGCATTCCCATAATTCACAATGTCAGCCCTGTTGAGACACATTGTTAAAGAAAATTCAGTATACTGGTAGATTACACCTCAAATTGGAATTACACCAATTTTTCCAAATTTCTGCATAATTCTATATTTGAGATGAAAACAAAACCATTAGGAGTAAATTAATGTGAAATGGTGCATTGTAGAGAAACCTATCAACTCCAATTTTCTTTACAGTGGTAGTGACCGGAACCAGGGGTCGCAATGTCTACAACATAAATATAGCTTTTTTATTTGCTATCCAAAATTACAAGTGAATGTACGCATGTCTATATGTAATGCTATAATAACAGTAGAATAGTGATAATCTTTTTTTTATATACTATTTCACCTCACAGCACCTTGTGTGTACCTTCAGTGTATCATTTTAGGCTAAAACCTGTTCTTAAAACTATCGTGAAACACTGTCTCAGGCATCAGGCAGCGTGTTTGAAATAATTTTCTGTAGTAGCTTTCTGTGAGGTAGCTTTTAGGGGCAAACAAGGGCTGCCCAAAGTGTGAGCCACAGGCCAAAGTTGTAACTTCTTCTGAATTTTCTTTTTGTATTTCAGCAACGAAATATAGTGTCATGTTATAAAATATATTTTTTAATTATATTTTATATCTTTATTTGTGTACTGTGTTGTATTTTTGACCCATGGTCCACTATATAAATCACACTTTGGCAAACTGAGAACTATAGTTTGGGCACCTCTGCATTAAACACTTCCAATCACCACCACTGTGAACAATCCAACTCTGTAAGTTTCTCTATAGTGATAATATAAGTAATATTTACATCTCAACAACTGAATTACACAGAAATTTAAAAATCAGTGAAACTGCCCTTCAAAATCTAATTTTACTATTTAAAATGTAAAAACTATTTAAAAATAGTAATATCATGAATTTACTTGATTCAAATTGCCACACAAATAAAATGTATGTAAACATGTGAATCACATTTAATGTACATATTTAAATCATGTTTCTCTTAACATGAATATACCTTGCCAACGCAAATACATCATCAACATAACCGCTTCTATCTGCTGCATCGAACACCTGAAAAAAAGAAAAAGAATTTGGAGAATGCGCATTGGCAGCCATAACCATTAAATATATGCTGTGTAAAACACGAGACAGTACCCTGTAGTCTGTTAGAAGCTGCTGGCTGATGGCATTCCACATGTTGTCATCGTGATTGACACGGTAAAAGCCCATGTGCTCTTTGTTCACTTTGATCAGTCCATCAGTAGAAGGTGAATAGCCATCAATAAGTATCTCTGGACAAAGAGCACAGAGGAAACATTAGACTTCTGCCAATACCCATTAAGGCATTTAGAGCTGCTATCATATAATTAATATGTGTAACAACATTTATGAAGACTGACTGTGTATGACTCACCTGAGTCTGCATTGTTAAACATGATGGTGCTGCTCTTGTTAGAGGTCAGTGAGTGCCACTGTACAGGAATGGTCCATTTGTAGCTGTAAGAAGATCAAGCATTGATAACCTCTAAAGAAAAACACTGCATGAAACACTGCCTCTTTTGAAAATCTAGAGTTTTAGGGCTTAGCTGAATTTAAGGCAGGTCTAGCAAAATGTAGAATATCCATTAGGAAATAGTAATGTTTGCTTTAATTGGTAAACCAGAGATGCATAATAGGGCATAAATTATAAGGATATGGACAAAATTCTAGCATTGCGATTCTATATGCTACATATATTTTGACTAATATTCGCCTTGCAGTATATTTTAAATGCATCAGTGAATTAATAATGTGACATAGTCATAGGCTATATAGGTTTGTGTGTGTGTGTGTATGTGTGAAAACTTTTATACCAAAATGCTGTATATCAATTTGTAACAGTTGAGGATATAATGACTTTTTGAAAAGAATAACAGTTGTTGTATGATGGATTTTTATTTCTCTAATAAATGTGGTCTATATCCCTTCATATATATTATACATTACTGCTTCTTCATTCCAATGGAACAAATAAAGCAGCACAGTTTTGGCTGTTGGACTAACAGCAGAACCCGTTTACAGGCACTGTGATTTGTCCTCTATTGCCTCTGTGAGTGTTTTAATTTCTGCAGTGACCTAAGAATGCATGTTGATTTTGTACGGCAGGACTCTGCGTTTCAATGTGTTGGTCAGGTGTTTTAACAGTTTATGCATTGAGCTTACTTGCCATACTGCAAGTGCTTTATACAGACTCTGTTCAATATCACTGAAGTTACTTTCCCTCTGATAAGGTGATTTAGGCTATCAGAAAAACCTACTTATAGTTTTACTGCAGGTAGCATTTTCTGATAAGGTCATTTAGTCTATCAATATATCCTACCTGCAGTTTTATGTAGAAAGCTACCTATAAATATGTAGGACATTAGGGAGGACAATTAGTCAGAACCCCCGGGCGTTTTCATTTGCGTTCTTTGTGTCGTCTGTATTGATAAATGTCTAATGAATAATCCAGTGAAACAGCAGAGAAGGCTTACCCCAGAGGACTGCTGGGCTGGGAGGGATCAGCATTGGGGTCGAGGAGAAACCTCTGCTGGGTGAGTTTAGACTCTGTGTTTGAGCTGATAAGGTCCAGCACTGGGTAACCCATCTGTTTGGTCCATGTGTCCATGACGTCCGCTACATTTACTCCACTTACCTAGTAATGATACGGATTACAGGCACACATGCTTTTGTATGGTACTTAACTCTTGCAATAAACAACACAAAAAACAACAACATTTGGTTTTCTCATGCTTATCAGTAGAAGATAACTGTACCTCAGCCTGGGCTTTCCAAAAATCAGATGTCTTGGCATTCTGGAAGGTGTGGTCTTTCAGATATTTCTGTTGAAAATAGTAAGGTTATGACATGAGTTTTGGATTAACAAAGGTTATACAGATACAAATAATAAAAAGTGTCCTTTGTTTACCCGGCAGCCGTCTCTAAACATGTCTCGACCAATCCAGCTCTCCAACATCCTCAAAATAGATGCTCCCTAAAAATACAGAGATAGCAGTCTGACACAAATGGCATTTTGTACAACTCATTATCATACAAATAGCATTATCGTACTGTTTTTCCAAGCAATTATGGGTCAACATGTGTGATTAATCATAAGAAACCGTGCTTAATGATGAAAAAGAGAAGAGGTATTTTTTGGATAACAAGAGCAGCGAATTTGTTCCATAAGCCCACCTTGCTGTATGAGATGGCATCAAACACAGAAGTAATCTCAGCTGGCGTAGATACGTCCACGATGATGGGATGAGAAGAGAGGAGAGCATCATCAACCATGACAGGAAATACATCATCAAGGAGCATGATGTCACGCTGGTCAGAGCAAAAGCAATTAAACATTTTTAGAAGCAGTAGCCAGAATCCTATATGATATTCATAAAGTTTACATACAGAAAAGCATTAATGTCTGTTTTGTTCTACATATATTAAGATGCAATCTTAAAAATAACAGTTCCAAAATAAAGATACCCATCTCATTTACAAAAATGCTTCCTTTGAAAGGAGGTTCTCTGGGGGATGCTCACCATTTCCCAGGTGGGCTCAGCCTGCTCCACACCAACATACTCAAAGAAGCTGGCAAACCCTTCATTCAGCCACAAGTCATCCCACCAGTCCATAGTGACAATATTCCCAAACCACTGCAGATGAAACACATCATGTAGCAATGACTAGTAATCCAAATACTATACATTATTTCACATACTGTTCATCACATGTGACAAATCGACTGGGAACAATAGATAAAGGCCTTTCCACAAAATGCTTTTGAACAAACACACAGACTAATGAATTGTGGTTTTGTGACATGCCACTGCTGTCACACTGGCTTTTTTCACTGTGCTGCGGCTATGGTCTCATAAAATATGTGTAATGTCAATTCCAGAATAATCTCTGAAAATTAAACACTTTATGGACACCATTTGTGTCCAACAACCTTTGACTTGTTCATAAAAAATAATCTGCCTAATCAGATCTTTATCAGTGTACTGGTGTGATACAAAGGTCATAACGTTATCTCATGAGACACATCAGGCATTTAATCGTAAAAGGTTTGATGAGTAACTGAGAGTTATGTGAGGCTTCTCCATCTGACTGGCTCATTAAACGGGAATATGAGTGAATCTTAGATAAAGGAACATGCAATTCTGGTATATTATGCAATTCTAATAAAACAAGACATGTTTTTCAGTACAGTGTACACTTTTTATGCAAGTGGAAGCTCCAACAAACAATCAAGTGCACAGTTGCGAATTGATATTTACCACTTAACACCGGTTAGTCAATATCCAGATTGTAGTTGCTGTGTCAGATGTAATGCGGAAGCCACTGGGCTTATAAAATGCTTTGCCGAAAACAAAACAAATTTAGGAGGCACTCTATGATGATGAATAGGATCGAACACTTTAAACATTTCCTAGCCTTCTAAATCATTCTCTCGACGGGTTTTCTGACCCCTTAAGCTGTAAAGGCCGTAGCACGCTCACCCAACATTCCCCAGCAATCACCAACATGTTAATGTTGTCACAAGCCAAATGAACCAGTGTGACTGGGGGAAAGCATTGTAGAACAGGATAATTGGAGGGAAAACACTGTACAACAGTGATTAATGAGGAAGACATTCTAGAACCGTGTGAATAGGGGAGAACATTCTACAACAGTCTGAGTGGAATAGGGGGTTCTAGAAAAATGTGGATGTGAGAGAACATTCCAGAATGGTCTGAATAGAATACAACATTCTAGAACAATATGAATGGGTGTATTACATTGTAGAAGAGTGTGAATGAGTGTTCAACATTCTAGAACAACGTGAACAGTGACACCTGAAAAGGTCTGATTGAGGGCATTTTAAATCAGTGTGAATGGAGAGAACATTCTAGAACAGTATGAATGAGGAGAACATTCTAGAACAGCCTGAATAGAGTAGGAGGTTTTAGAACAATGTGAAAGGAGAGAACATTCCAGAACAGTACAAATGGGGAGAACATTCTAGAACAGTGTGAATGTGAGAAGTATATTCTAAAACAGTGGTTGCCAATGGGTTAGAACATTATAGAACCGTGTGAATAGGGGAGAAGGCTCTACAGTCTCCCAGCAATCACACACAGGTATGGCACACCAACCAAACTTTTGGGTGTGGTTTGAAGGAGAACATTGGCTCAGTAAATTGTATCAGTTTCAATAGCTGGTGAATAATTTATACTAGCTAATGCATAATAATCTCAAGATTAATAACCAAAAAATAAACCTAGGGTTCAAAGGGTTAAACAGTTGCTAACCTGGTGTACAAGCTCATGAGAGATGACACTGGCTACACGCTGCTTGTTGTATGAGGAAGACTCTGCCTCATCATACAGCAGGTTGGTCTCTCTGTAGGTGATCAGCCCCCAGTTCTCCATGGCTCCTGTGCCGAAGTCTGGAATTGCTATCTGGTCTGCAAAGGGAAATGATATTTCTTGCGTGTTTACTTTACTGACGCAGTAGAGATGGATTATATTTGATAGTGCTTCCAAGTATTTGCTCAGAAAATCATGGCTAAAACTAGTCAACATGCTGAATGTAACATTTCCTCTACTAAAGCAGGCCTCTATGATTCAGACCAAGCTAATTAAGGGGAACATGAAAATCATCGTAAGTCTGTGAGACACACTTACCGAGTTTATCAATGGAGTAATTCATGTCAAAGTATTGCTCAAAATAGTCAAAAATGATCTTGGTGGTGTTTGCAGCATATACAGCAGTGTGTTTCTGTGAAGGCTGGACGTAGATCCTCAGCTGCAGGATAAGATGAGAGAATAAACAGATGTTGTGTAGGTTTTTAGTCTTGCCTATAGCAGAAACATGCACTTGTATAAAAAGCTTGGAGAAAAGAGTATGCTTACAGGAACTCCTCTTGCAGACATCCGCTCCTCAAAAGTAAACTGGTGCACTGCAAAACATACTAAGTAGGTGCTCATCTTGACTGAGTTTATGAAAGAGGTTTTTGTCCTCTTATCATCCACATCCTCTATAATCTGTAAGAGGGAATGAGTGAGTACAAAGAGCAATGTTAGTGTTTTTGACAAACCGGTCAAAATCAACTATTAAGCACAAATTATTCAGTTTCTGAGGAGATTAGATATAAGATAATCCACTTGCATGAGAAGAGGGAGTCTAAGCATAATAAGTGAAAAAACAGGAGTTTCTAAAATCAAAGATCAATATATAGATTACTGTGCAACACTAACTGGCAGATTAACAGCACTTAAAGCTTTCATCAAAAGACAACCCAACACTATGAGTCTGAAAGGATGTGTAGCTGTCAAGAAGCTGTAAAGAAAATGTGCAAATCAAACAAAGAAGCTGCTTGAGTTTTTTAGAACAATGGACTGACCACCCCAGAGTCTAGACCTTAACATCATGAATGTTTTTGGGATTATCTGGATTGTGAGAAGCAGAAAACAACTGAACTTTGGAGGAGTGGAAAATAACCCTGCAGAATTCTTTAAAAAACTAAAAGCAAGTCTATCGAAAAGAACTGAAGCTATAATAGAGGCAAATGGTGGACACACTAAATATGGAAAAAAATCATTTTGTATTTAGTTTTTGAGGCTCCTGTTTAATTTTCTGTGATGTATCTTTGCAAAAACTTTTTTGTTGGTCCTGAAAATAAAAACACACACACACAAACTTTTACAACACAAGTTTATAGCTAGAAACTGAAACCGGAGTCTCTAAAAAAGTGTTCTGAGCTTGTGCAGCATACCTCTACTGGCATGTTGGAGAGGGCGTTATAAGTCTTGTCGTGGGTGATGGAGATTTTGTACGTGGCCTTTTTGTTCGGCTCATCAAAACAGGGGAAAGATTTACGAGCGTCGGTGGGTTCGTGGTCCGTGGCTGCAATTTTTCTGTAAGAGATCATTTGGGACTCGTAAAAGCTGAAAGTCAGTTTACATTTCCCTCAAAAGCCTCCCACATGGAGAAAGCTCCACCACAATGGCACCTTTTCATTAAAATCTAATGAAGATCGATTAACATTAGATTAAATCCAGTGCCTGTTTTTCCAGAGTGCAATAGAAGAGATTTCTGGAAACTGCTGGTGAATCTAAGAAGTGTCTTAAACAGTAGGCGTGCGTCTTTTACTTGTCAATTTTAGACATATACTGCACAGTAGTCATACTGCTCTAGTAATTTATCACCACTGCTACACTACTATCAAGCTATGCGCCTATTCACACAACCCAGGAAGGAGAATCCAATGGCAGGCAATTGTAGTGATCCAAGTTGTGCAAACCTGTAAATCAGCATAAGATGAGTGTGCTGACAACGTTCTGGAAATGATCCCTGAGATTTCCCAGCATTGAAGCCTTTTGGAACACTTTATATGTATAAGACCTTCTGTAGCACAGAAAGGTCTAAGAAGTTCCAACATAGCTGAGATATTGCGACTAAATAACATATTTTACCTCAACTCTGTGTACCGTATTTCACTGCGCTGTGGTGGATTTCTCACCCGTTCTTAAATCAGATATTAAGGAGCCAATATCTACATTCCTAACCAAGAAAACACTTCACTATCATGTGCCTTGCATGCTTTTGGGATTTTGCAACCCCTGATGTTGCTCAAGTCACAATGCAGCATAAAAACATTAACCTAACCTCAGTCAATTCAACCATGTGAAAATAACAATTTGCAAAATACAATGTTGATCTAGGACTAAACGCACCATACTGGAGAGATTGGCTGGAACAGCTCACTGTCTGCGGCATTCGTTTTGGAGCCTACAACCCCTGCTGCTACAGAATGCGACCCTCAGCCCGTCTTTCATGTGTGGTCCTCCCTCTGATCTGGGTTATGATCTCTGCTCCTACACACTAATGCTCCTGTAAGGAATGCAGAGTGACCCTACGCAGTTGGTCAGACTCTTTTCTCGTCTGTTTCCATGCTGAGCATTCAGAGATGCTGTTACGTAAGAGAGTACGATGAAAACACTCAGAACTATTTTTAGGAGAGGGTGATTTATGTCCACCTCTAGCACACTCTGTGTTGGAGGATATGGAATAGAGGTGATTATTCATCGAGTCAGCAAGATAACATTAAGGCTGCTGCTATCTAAGTTGCAGGCTCACAGAGTCTCCATATTAATGAGCACCTGACTGACACCATTAGCGAACGGCTCAGAATTAACACCAAATGTCATACTTTGAAATGCTAACAGTGTTGATACAGATTAAGTTCACATTCAGCTCTGCAAGGTTTGCATTACTTTATTCATCAAGATTTTATTTCAAGGCAGCTATTGTTGAATTGTTTTAGTGTCTATTTTCTAGGCTTTTAAACAGCATCTTGTGTCTAGTTCAAAGTCTGAAGTAGTGACAGGGCTTTTAAATGATATTTACTGTTGTTGGCTATTTCTTCCTAAATAAAGGACTGAAAGGACTACTGGGTTTCCCATTGTTCCTGTGTATATTTGTATGGGTTTAGAGAGTAAAGTAGAAGTACTGAGTAGTGAAATTACTGTAATGTATCAACACGGTTGCTATCAAAATGAAAAAAAAAAAACATTGTTAATGTAATATTTTGTTGGCCATTTGCAAATGAGTTTGGAGTGGGTCAGTTTTTTCAGTGTAGGCCTAATCAAGATTTTGGCTTGGATGTACAGTTATACGAAGAATCTTCAATTGGTATAGAACATTTAGATCATATCGAGTTTCTTTAAGCTTTAAAAAAGAAACAGGACTGACCTGATCATGCCATCCTCCTCATAGGTTGTCATATAGAAGCCAACCAGAGAGCCGTTGAGCCATCCCTGGAAGTGCAGTGTGAGGATGTAGTATTCCTCATCAATCGTGGCCTTCAGTTCCTCTGCGGCCTCCACCACCACATACTCCTGTGGAGTGTATTCAAAGCACTCCTTCACTCCAACAGTGCTGGTTCCATCTGCCCTGCTGAGCTGCAGAGTGGGCACCGCTGTGACGAATGTTTCCCGGATGTGCAGCCACAGGTGAGTGCTGGGCTGGGTCAACTTCAAGTGAATAGCCACAGTGCCGGTGTAGATGTCCGTGACCAGGTCAGGCTCCATGTGCAGGTCATAGTGGAACGGTATGATGTGGTCAGGCAGACGAAAGTTGGTCCAGCCACCGTTGGTGTTGTCAGAAGGCTGGCAAGGACCTCTGTCTGGAGACGGGGTGGATGTTGGGATGGCTGTTGGGGCGGCTGTTGGGGATGCTGTCGGCTTGGTCTCCTCTTCTGGAGAGGAAGTGTTCTGGCTCAGTCCCACCCCGAGCCCCACTGCAACACCTGTCACTATGACGACGGCACAGATGATTGCAGCATGTTTCCCCTGGATACAGTAGCGCTTCTCTTTCTTCTCTAAGTCGAAACTTTCCATGGTGGGCAGTCAGAAGCAGATTATTCACGCTCAACTTTCACTCTACTCACTGACTCTTCCCTATGTAGCTATACAGACTCACTCACTCGACTGACATTGAACTCCACTCTCCCTTGAACTTCCTTATCCCTCCCAAGAGAGAAAGCAGCTGCGACTGGCTATATCAGAGCTGTGCACGCTCTCACTCATTCATCAAATTAAACCCTCCGAACTTGCATATCACTACAATTAGGCTTCAAAAATAGTAGATTTACCCTAAACAACCTTTTTAAAATACGCAAGCACACAATACAGTCCAAATGTCCAAATACGGGGATCCACTGGCTGAAGTTAATCTGAAGATTAGTCTTCAGTGGCATTCACACACAGGAGCCCCAGAATTCATACCCTCGTCTTGTTAATCAATCACCTACACAAGTTAATCAGCAATCGAGAAGAGTGATCACGAGACAGGTTTATGAGGGAGAGCAAGAAAAGAAAAGGATGAGAAAAAGAAAGGATAAGAGAGAAGAGTGGAGAAGGAGAAAGTGGAGAAGAAAAAGAATAAGAGGAGGGGGCTTAAAGGAGGGGAGTGGCGAAAGTTGCTGCGCTTTAATATGTGACCACTGGGGTTACCACAGTCCTAAAGGTAGACTTTTGTAGTGCAGCTGAAGTCTCAAAATTCTCAAGGTGTTTTCAGTATGTCTAGACAGAGTTATAAACATGACCCTACGAATACGAATGGACAAATAAAGTCCCACGTCTGTGCAAAACCCTTAATTACAGCAAAGGAAACGAGGTACAAAGCAGTTGCTGTTAGGACCTCTTGTAAATAGTAATCTCTGCTGAACTCCTTCATTATGTCTCAGTCATGATTCCAGTCAATTGCAGGTTGTCTAACTTGTATCATTTACAGGCTCTACCACGCTGCTGGGATTTGAGCGCACTCTGGTCTTGGGTAAGAATAATAATAATAACAATAATAAAAATAATAATGCATCGCTTACTAGGCTAAAAAAGAGAAAACTGATTCAGTTTCATTATATTCACAATAAATAAACACACTACACTAAGGTAAAAGAAATTCAAGTCAAAATGGAATATGTGAAAACTCAATATAAAAGCTAATTTCTCAGATATTTCAAGTCAAAGAACAGTTAATGTGTTTCCAATGAAAATGTAAAAGAACCCAGTTTTATGTCAGCTGAAAGGCAATTCGGCATGAGGGGAAGTTCTGTCACTTTTGTTTTGTGTACTTTAAGGACCCAAGAGACATATTCTGGAATAAGGATAGGGACACTCTGCTATATGAGAGGTGGAGGTTTATTCTCCCCTCACAACAATTTATATGTCAACAATAAAAATTAAAAATAAACTGCAATATTTTACCACATTAAATCACTTTATTCCTCTGAATAATCTTCAACAGAAAATAACTAATTTGTTGCAGATGGTGTGTAACTTTTTTTCATTACAGCACACATAACCTCCACTTTCCCCTCCTGAGTGCCATACTTAATCCCTGAAATCATTTCATATGCCATTTTTTGGCGATGATTGAATAGATGTGTTGTTTGTACTGTCTTTATTCCTGCATTTTTAGAACTGTTTAAAACTTGGACAAGCCTCCACTGAGGAAAAATGACCTTAAAAGGTGGAAAAAAAGTCTAAAAAGATGAATCTGACAACAGTAAGTTTTATCCAACTATAAGCACATGCACACAAATGTGAGCAGCATGAAGACCACGATCTTTAGATCTTGTATTTTATATTGCAGCTTGTAAAAGAACACACACAGCCAACCACCTCAAACACCAAACACACCAATGCAATGTAATTATTTATGATTATTGTTTTCCATAATTGCATGCTGAAATCAATCTGTGGATCTTTATAGCAGGCTGTAGATGTGGAGAAGCGATATCTATCTCAGAAGTGCAATCTCATCTCACCTTTACTCTCTAAGATGTGACAGGGTGAAATAAATGACAGTCAGAGAGACAGAATACTGGCTAGAGTCACTCTAATTCTCCAAGTCTACAGACAGACACAGCATATTTTTCTCACTGCAGCAGTCTAGCTTGTAGTAGTTGTATTCCTCTCATGTACATAGACTGATAATTAAAGGATGGAGAGAGAGGATAAGGTTCAGGGATACCTGTGCATTTAAGCATTTAACATGAATGAAGCTATGATTAGTGGCCAAATGCTGTATAATTTTGTTCATTCTGTATTTGCTCATGAAGAAATTAAGTCATTCGGTCATGTTTTTGAAAAATGCTCGTTAAACTGTTTGTATGTCATTTGCTGAGTGTGAATGCAGTAGCCTGTGTTTTAAACAGAAGCTATACTCAGTGGTAAAAATGCTGTACAATGACATTCTCAGTGTGTTTACATATAAAGAAATTTTGTATTTTTTAATAAGCTCATTAAATGTCTTCTTTCATTCTTCAAAGCAGTAATTCTTTTTGTTTCATCCTATTATCTGACTAAAGGACGCCCTCTAGAGGTCAACGCTGTACATGTGAATGAAAAAAAACAGCAAATACACAGCGTTCATAAACAATTCTGTCCTCAACAGGGATTTATTTTGAGAAAAATCAAATAATTCAGATGATTTTTAAGGTGAAGTCTGGTTTGGCTGTATTGCATTTGATTGGAATTGGATGTGAGCTGCTTGGCCTGTTTGGTTTGGATAATCAGCTTTGAGGCAAGCTCGGCCTTCCAGTCCTGTCTCTCTTCATCTTGTCCCTGCTGGCTTTAAGGGTGGTGAGGATTCTCTTAGGAGGGGAGAGCAGGCCTCCAGTGACGTTTTTAGGGAATAAGCTGGGAGTCATTTTGAGTCGTTGGTTGGGCTTCCTTTCAGAGGGAGGCTTTAAAGGAGATTTAGGTGCAGCTGGTTTTTTGGAATCTGAATTTCCATTGATGACTCCAACCACATTCAGACTGATGATGGCCTCTGACGTGCCAGCCATGTTCTGAGCCCTGCAGCGGTACTCTCCAGCATCCTTATATGATATCCCATTCAGGCTGATCACTGACCAGCGTAATCCTTTACGAGGAGACTCCTGCACAACTGCACGCAGAGGAACGGAAGTTGTCAGATTCCTCTGGGACACTTTGTCATTTGAGTGATAGAGCAGGACAGTGCTTGCAAAATTTGAGGGGTGAGAATAAAACCAAGTTTTGGCATGACATTGACAGTGTTACAGTTTATACATAAGGGTATAAATTACCAAACTATAATTTCTGAAATGGCAAGTCTGAAGGGAAACTAAACACATTCTTAATGTTAATGTACTTTAACAAGATTTTATTGTAAGTAATTGTAGACCATTTCTACTCATCCATTCATCATAAAATGTATAGTACGGACAGTGTTTTTAAATGGTATAAAATAGAAAAAAGGTTTTGACATTACAAACACAAATATCTTTATCCTCCATATACTTTGTATTCTAGGTCTAAAGAATAATATAAATAATAAACAATATTTTGTTGATAATTTCTCACCCTTGGCTGCAGCTTAGACAAAATGTCTATTCTATTTTTAGCTTATATGCTTTTTTAACATTAATTTCATAAAATCTTATGGGCTCCTGCTGGTGTGGGCTTATGGCAACTCAAACACTAACATTACCCCCTGCTGGAGAAACTTCAGACTGCGACACATGCTCTAAATGAGTGAGTTCCAAAGCCACGTTGATATGCTATACACATTAACCTGAGGGCTTATGATTCAGCTATTATGAAAGTGAGGAATGTGGGCCCACAGTCGAGCCCTTGCAGTTTAAGGGATAATAAAAAAACAGAAGGATTTCACCATTGTTATAGTGGAATCATTTTGGAATTCAGCTATAGATGCCTGTAGGAAACTATTAAGTATTATATTTTCATAAGGAACAACTTTACAACCACCAGGACAGGCAAAACGCTTAGCACTTTCCACAGACGTAATTTTCCAGACACAGTGGAAAATTTACTCTGTCATAGTTTACCAGATTAAAATATTATGTGTACAATTTATTTTTGATAAATTATATATTTATCATATATGTTTTATATATAATATATTTAACATCAGTTAGCAAGCTGCTTAAGTTAAATTAGTCTTATGCATCAGTTCTCTCTCTTAATATACCAATTTTACTGTTATATATTGTTTTACTTGTCAGTCATCATAGATATCCAGTTATATCCCCCAACCACCCAGGCCTGCTGCATTCATTATATTTCACATGCTTTCAAATGAGCTATGGAGGAAAGTGAGCTACTCACAGCTTGGCAGTTTCCTTGGTAGTTTCTCGTTTTCCACATTTTCAATCTGCCTGCAACAAGCTGGAAATTAAAAAAAACATGCAGTTAATTAGCAATAAAAAAATAATACACAAAACACATGTGGGTGAGCATGTGTGTGGCAGAGACCTGTGTTGTAGAGGTTAGGTCTAGCTGATTTGATCCAGATGAGAGCAGGGGTAGGGTATCCTCTGGCATCACAGCGCAGCAGGACATTGCTCCCCAGTAAGGTTGTGACCTTTGTGGCAGAGGTCAGCACTGAGGGCCGGCGGCAGCGTGGCAGATCCACACTCTGGAAGGGAACTCCAGCTAGGTCGGGAGGGCCAATACACGTCAGGAACCGATCCAACAGAACTAGAGAAGATTCTGGGGCCTTACTGATGTCCAGTAAAACGGACAGTCTGCAGTCACAAAGCCAGGGGTTATCCTGCAGACCTGAGAGTGGAAACCAAATTACATACCCAGCCAAATTTTTTAATAAGAATAATCAAATTTGGACTAATGCTTTAAATACAGATAATGTTACTCAGAGATTAAACTGGGCAGAGCAAAGCTCTAGCATTTTGGTTTATGTGACTGGAACATGAAGCTATAATTTGTTGGAAACATCAATATTTATGCTAATCTTTGTGAAGTTTATTGAACTATAACCGCACTGACAGGCACTAGACAACTACCCTGGTTTGTAAAGTGGGATGTCATCATCTTTTCACATTTATGCAGTTATGTTTTAAAACCTTCCTGTAATTTTCTTTTGTTTCAACTTGTTATAAATCAGTTAATTATGCCTCAACCTTAAAGTACCCTGTGTTTTTTTTCTGCTGTAGCATTACATCCAAGTAATTACAAAGTGCCCTACTGCATAGGTGGCTAGCCTAGTTTGCACAGCCAGACAAAATTGCTGCAACTGAAGTAGCTGAAGTTGCTACATCAATCATGTTTTGATACAGTAGACCTGTTTCATGAGAGGGTTTTAATTCGGTTTGATAGCCGGTCTGTATAATTATGTTCCACCAATTCTTTTGCCTACTGCTGCTGCTAAATACACTCAAAAGTCAGGCTTGAACCTACACTACATGGCCAAATATATGTGGACACCTCTCCTAATTACTGAGTTCAGGTGTTTCAGCCACACCTATCACTAACAGTTGTATAAAATCAAGCAAACAACTCCATATTTAAGGCCCATTGTTTTGGAATGAGATGTCCAACAAGCTCATATAGGTGTGATAGTCAGGTGTCCACATACTTTTGGCCATATAGTGTACTATTCAAGTTAACATTGTAACAAAGAGTTTAATTTCAAAACTCTATATATCCATTTGTAACAGAATTTTTTGGGAAACAGTTTTTGAACAGAATAACAGTTGATGTATAATGGAAAACACATTTACTTCTCTAATAAGCCTTGACAGCATTGATATTTCTCGCTCCAAATAGCATATCACAAAAATAAATGAATAAATAAACAAATAAATAAAAATCTTGTGTTCTATAAGGTGTTTTGTGACAAAACCTTTCATGTACTAATGTATGTATAAGAACCAAAACTACGTTTACTCACGTCTCAGCATGTTATCAATGCTGAGAACGGCTATAGAAATGCATCAATCTAACTATCGATCCCATTTTGGCTACATTTATGAAAGAAGTGAAAGAAGTATAGTCTTCCTCACCTAAATCACCTCTACCAAAGGACAAGGGTTGTAGGTTACAGACCTAAACATAAATGTTCTTTTATGGTTAAAAAAAGAAAAAGAAAAATATACTGCTGGGAAAAAATGCTGGCTGTTATCTATGGAATCTGATCGGGGCAGCAGTCCTGCTGAGTTCCGGAATTTCCCCATTAAATATTTTATGGGGTCTTTAGCTGGGGTCAGTCTCAGATGATGTTACATTCTGGTAAGTGAAAGGGTGACTGTATGTGATACTCTTAATTTCACTTTACCCAGTTTGTTGAAGTTTTTTAGTGTTTTAACTGAGAAAATAAAAAGCATTGTCCATGTTGATAGTATGACTGAACTATCTGAGAGAGTGCTTCCTTCCCTTTATGGTTGAGATGTCATTTTACATTTATGTTTTTTTTCTGTATATATGACTGATTGTAGATACAGATCTCAATCAAAGGATCGGATTGCATTTGGAATTCTGTATGCCAGAAATGGTTTTAGTGAATTAATCTTTTTCTTATTTGCCTGTGTTCACATATGGAATTAATTTTCGGTGGATGAAAAAACACTTTTACTGGAATTGTTAGTATTAACCTAATACTATGAAAGTTTTATGTTTATGTGACACAGAATCCCATGGAAAATTACAGCAATAAATTATAAAGTTACAGTTTCTAACAGACTTTCTTGTGCAAATAAAGATTATGCATAGATGAATGAATAAATGGACAAAATAAATACATGAATGAAATAAATAATTGATATTTACTTTAAATGGCTTCATTACTTCTTACTCCCTGCTGGAGTCAACATTACTCCACCAAGGGGACAAAATGTCATGTCAGAGTGATCAAAAGGTTTGAGGTGTTCTCAGTTTTTCTAGTCATTTCAACTAACTCCACCTCTCAAGGTCAACCCCTATAATATTCTATCAATATAAGAAACAGTCTTATGGCCACTGATATTAATGATTAATCTATGATGGGATCGTGACGATTGTCGGCCAACTATACATGACATAGACTACTAATAAAAACCTATTGAGCTTGATTAGTTTTACCTAGAGAAGTGCGGTAATTTAAGTAATTACAAACAAAATTTTAATTTTAATCTAGTACATATCTGCAATGTCTGGCAAGTAACAATTCTGAAGCGAATTATCTTCTGGGGTATATTATATATGGCCCTCCTAATTATTGACTTCAGGTGTTTCAGCCACACCCATTGCTAACAGGTGTATAAAATCAAGCACATAGCCATGCAATCTCCACAAACAAACAATGGCAGTAGATGAAAATGAAGAACTCAGTGGCTTTAAACAGGGCACTGTAATAGGAAGCCATGTTTGTCAGTTTGTAAAACTTCTGCCCTTCTTTATCTGCCGCTTTCAACTGTCTGTGCTATTATTATAAGATGGAAGCATCTAGGAGCAAAAACAGAACAGAGTGCTAAAGTGCATAGCACATAAAAATCGACCACCCTCTATTGCATCACTCACTACAGAGTTCCAAACTGCCTCTAGAAACAACATCAGCACAAGAACTGGACATCAGGAATATTATGAAATGGACTTCTATGGCCAAGCAGCTGCACACAAGCCTAAGATCAATATGCGCAATGCCAATTGTCAGGTGGAGTGGTGTAAAGCACACCACCACTGGACTCTGAAGCAGTGGAATTGTGTTGTCTGGCAGTCTGACACATGAATCTGGGTTTGGTGGATGCCAGGAGACACTACCTACAAGAATACACAGCGCCAACAGTAAAGTACGGTGGAGGAGGGATAATGGTCTGGTACTGTTTTTTAGACAATTACATGCTTCCAACTTTGTGGCAACAGTTTGGGAAAGGCCCTTTCCTGTTCTAGCATAATTGTGCCCCCAAGCACAAAGCAAGATCCATAAAAACATGATTTAATGATTTGACAATTTTGCTGTGGAAGAACTTCAATGGCCTGCACTGAGCCCTGACCTCAACCCCTCTGAAAACTTTTGGGATGAACTGGAATGCTAATTTGAGAGCCAGGCTCTCATGGAAGGCCATCCCAGAAGAGTGGAGGCCATAATAACCACCAAATATTTTTGCCCATGGCCTTGATATGAGATGTCAAACAAGCTCATAGATGTGTGATAATCAGGTGTCTATATATTTTGGCCATAGAGTGTAATCTGGGGAGATTACCAAGACATTTCATTTCATAGAAATCCGCCAGTCAAATTTCAAAGACAAATGACATCACTAATCCAGCTCGTGTAGTTCTTAAGATTTACTGTTGATTATCTGCCTCTTTGCCTTACCTAGTACCACTGAGCGCTGGGGTTCACTTTGGGTAGTGAGAGGCCAGAGAGTGGTCAGTTCATTTGGCAGCGTACTCAGCCTGTTGCTTGACAGGTCTAGGTAGGTGATATTGCCAAGGAAACGTGCAGCTTGAGGAGGGACTCGTGACAGGCGGTTGTTGTGCAGCCCGAGTGTTCGGAGGCGGGGTGTGTCCCTGAGAGCCTCCCAGGGGAAGGTGGACAGAAGATTCCCATCCAATCGCAGCTCATGGAGGAACGTGAGGTTTGTGAAGCTTCGGGGATGGACGATGGTGATGGAGTTGTAGGTAAGCCAGAGATATACAAGGTTTGGCAAGGTTGAAAAGGCCCCCCTGAAGACCCGAGAAACAGAAGTGCGCTCCAGACGGAACTTCACTGTGTCAGAGGGCAAGTTGACTGGGATTGCTGTCAAGGAAGGATTCTTACACAGCACAGTCCTGAAGAAAAGAAGAGTGACAGACTAACACTGACTGATGGTCACCGCTGCAGTTAAGCAGGAGCAAATTACCTAATGAGATTAATTTGACTAAATGCTTTATGGACTGTGCCCAACACCTACTGTTATTGGCTGCTGACACCTGATTGCAGCACATAAATAAAAAATACAAATCTTTCTGGTAGATCATGTTCAGAAGTGACAAAACACACACACACATATTGTTCTCTGATGGGAATGTCATATAAGAACATATTGTCATATACACTTCCATATGGACAAAGCAAATATCTGTATGGATAAAACAGGAGGAGGAAGAGGGGAGAAAAGAATGTTGATGGGAGCAATGAAGGTAAAAAGGGAGGTTATGGAAAGGAAGGGATAATGAATGAATGGTTGAACAAAAGCCAATTTAACTGTACCTGAGTCCCTTTCCATTGCTGCGTCCGTGGAAGGCACAGGTGCACAAAGATGGACATGTGTCATTCTGTGCGTGGACAGCAAATGCCAAGCCTAGAAGGAGGTGAACACACAGCAATGTGTGCATAGCTCTGAGACAGGTGTCCTAGGAACGCAGTTGAGTGAGAGTATGGCATTCCCAAACACCATGCCATAGATCACAAGAACGCCTGCAGGGATTAGCTGGGATTACTCTAGCCAAGAGCAGATCAACACTGTCACACTTAGTCGGAGAAGCAGGGGCAGAGCCATGCAAAAGTCAAGGTTCACCTAACTCTCTCCAGATTGTGAAGCTCAGTGCTCGGAGAGATTGCTTTAAATGCCTCAAAGCATTTTTATTATCATTTTATCAGGTACCAGGTTTGCATATTAGGTATATAGCATGCAAAAGTTTGGACAAATAACATGTTTTTTGATTTTCTGAACGAAAACAAGTTAACATATCTTCAACAGGGAACAAACTTAAATATGACATTTTTCTGCAAATTATAGTGCACAATTTCTTTTATTTATTTTGCCCATAATAGACAAATGTGCAATTTGCACAGGCAACATTTTATGTTTCATTTCTTAAATTCAGCAAATAGACAGTATTTGTGTATTAAAATGTGCAGAAGTGTGTCCTCTATGGAGGATACGTCCAAACTACTACTGCACACAGCTGTATAATTACTGATGGTTTCTGCACAATTTATGAGCCACTCACTACCCTATCCATCACTGGAAAGGGATCAACATAGGACCACCGCAGACCAGAAATAATGTGCCTTATGGACCTCTAGCACAACAGTGTTACCAAAACAGTAGTGGCACGGTAGTGGGTGTTGGTAGCGGATACTGCTGGGTACTAGTACTTTCCATTGATAGATGGGATTAAAGATGCAGCAACAGATGAGCTACAGCACTAACAAAGTGCACCTGGTCATTCTACCATAGTGGTGGCAAATAGGGTATGAATATTGTGAGTTTCTAAAATAAAGCCCAGAGCCACTTTAGTTTCAAAGTCATGTTTGCGTGTAGAAAACTGTAAATATTGCATTCAAGTTGAACAAACTTAGATAAGATATTTGTCGGCAAATTTTAGTTCACAATATTATTACCTTATTTGAATGTAACATATTGGGGAAAAAATTATACATATTTAATGTGCCTTAACATTTATGTTTTATTTTTTCCAATATGTTAAATTTATCAAATCTTTAACTTTACCAAAAACTTTACTTATGTCTAGTTTTTTTTGCCTAATTTATGTCTATTTTTATTTATGCCTAATATATGCAAGTTTAATTGCAATTATATGTCTTGCTACTGTAACACTACAATTTCCCTTTGGGATCAATAAAGTTATATCTATCTATCTATCTATCTATCTATCTGAACGCTAATTGTGTATGAAGTGTGCAGAAATGTGTTCTCTGTAGAGGATGTGTTAACTTATTTTCATATGGAAAAATAAACAAAAGCATTTATTTTGACCAGGGCTGAACAAATTATCTGCACATGACTGTATACCTCAAACTGCTCAGTGTAACTCTGTGTAAGAGGGCTGCATCTTGCAGTGGAGTGAGTGAAAAACATTGAAATAATAATGATCTCCGTGATCAAAAAACTGTAAATTCCTTAGTTTTTAACACCCAAAAAAGTGACAAAAAAAGCTCAGACATAGAAAGACACATAAAGCAGCTAAGTGAGGACAAAACAGTGGACATTTAAGGAAGCACATGGTAAAGCAGCAGCAGTCCCTCCCCTCTCGACGTGATCATCGCTGCCTCTGCAGCCCTTCACCGGCCTTCTCCTGCTGAAAGCATGGCGGCGGTGGTCACACGGGAGTGTGAGACGGAGGATTGCAGTAAAGAAGCCAAACTCCAGTGTCCTACCTGTATTAAACTCGGGATACAAGGCTCATATTTCTGCTCTCAGGTAGCATCCCGAAGAAGCTCTGCGGGTTTTGTGGTAACGTTGAGAGAGCTAGCACGCTGCCTCTCTGCTGGCCTGCTAAAATTGGTTTCATCCGCAGCCTCTCAACGAGGCACTTCGCTAAAGTTAGCAGCACAGGCTAGTCTGAAGTTAAACTTCTTGGTCTGATGTTCTGATGCAGATTTTAGCCATGTGGCGGACGGTTCGTCACTTAATGTGCACATTAGATGCTGAAGTGCTCGCTAACGTTTTAGCTGGCTAACGTTAGCTAGCTTAGTAAATGCTAGATTAGCAGCGCCGGCTAGCGCAGCAGCAGCACGATACTGACGGTATTGGCTTCGAGTCAAGCTGTCAAGATAGCCAGCCTGATGCATGTTGGACGAGCAGCCAGAGATATATAGTGGTCCTGATAAATTATTGAAACTTCAGGTACCACACAGGCAGTTTGGTGGTCTGCTCAGTGCTAAACTGAGTAACGGTTAATGGAAAGTAAATTCAAGGACAGCGTTGTGCTGCTGTTGAATGAGTCGTAGCTCAATTGCTAACGTCACTTCTTTTAAAAATATAATCAGTTTTGCTGAGTCGAAAAGCAAAGAGGGCTATAAATTGCTCGAATAGTTGGGCCTCCAGAATCAAGCCGAACAGCTCATTCGTTCTCTGTCTGGTTTCTTGTCTCCGTGTGTTGTGTGTCGACCACCTGTTGCTGAGTCTTGAACTACCAGAAGGGTATTAACTAACCAAACTGGATGATTTCTCTTCTGTTGAACCAAAACGCACCAACAGATCTGCATATCGAACACGTCCTCATCAATATCTAGCTTAACGTACTGTAAATGCCTTCAGGCTTAATAATTAATGAATCTTTTCTCGTGTTCATTTAGAAAGGCGTCATGTGCTTTTAAGAAAGCACTGTGAACGTGAGACTTCAGTATCTGTAAATGTACACAAACACTAGCAGCGAGGTTTGACAGATCCGTTGTGTACTGTAATGATTTCAGCGCATCGTGGTTTCTTTCTTCTGTTGATTTTAAAATCCTAAAAATTGTGATTACTTTCCTAAAATAATGAGCTCTACCCCTGTTTGCGTTTTAGGAGTGTTTCAAAGGCAGCTGGGGTACTCACAAACTGCTCCACAAGAAAGCAAGTATGGGGGAATTTTCCATTGTAACTCTTGTATTTTCCCCCCTTGGGCTCACGTGTAACCGTTTGTCTCACTTCATTATTTTGTGTTTGAACAGAGGAAGACAAAACCAAGGATGAGGGAAAGAACTGTGTAGAGAAGGAAGTCAACACAGACCCCTGGCCTGGGTACCGTTACACTGGCAAACTGCGGCCTCACTACCCTCTGGTATGAACACAACAGGAAAAGCTTTGACTCTAAGACTAAAAGAAACATTCTGCCAAACAGAAACGCTGACTTGAACTGTTCTCTGACTGCCTCCATAGACACCCATGAGACTTGTTCCAGGGACCATCCAGAGACCGGACTATGCTGATCACCCGCTGGGTAAGACTGAAGATGATTATGGGGAGACAAAAACAGCCACACATACATTTAAATAGAGGTATAGCAACAAATGACCCAACAGCTGGACTTGAGACTTCGGTGTTTTCCATAGCACAGCTCATGCCTTGGTGCAGCGGTGTCCAGCACTTGTCCTGGAGAGCAATTTATCTGCTCTAACACACTAAACATGTTAACTTGCAGATGAATCAGGTGTGTTTGAACAGCGAAATAACCCAGTGCTGGACTCTGATAAGAGATTTTCTCTAATTTTGACCCTTTATCTTCTTAGTTTTCCTCTATCAGTTGACTGTAGTGAAAAGTTAGTAGAGAAGTTTTTTCCACTTTTTATTTTCTGATACCAGTATTCAAACCTTATTTGTCGGCCAATGCTGATATGTTTTTTTTCTCTTTTAAAAGTACAGAGCTTTAAAATGAGAAACTTATAATTGATTCATGTAAGATGAGCGGTTGAAACGCGTTCTACCCCACAGGAAGAAACATACAGCTAACAGCCTCACACAGTGCGGGAGTATCTCCAGAGGTGTGGACTTGAATCAGACGACTTGGACTCAAGTCTTGAATTTGATGAGTTGAGACTCGACATGACAAACTCATAAAAGACTTTTGACTCGAATTTGGCCTGAGCACCAAAGACTCAGACTTGGCAAGACTCTATACTCCTTATAATCAGTTGTTTTTCATGAGAATGAATTCATTTCCTTGCGCAGACATGCCAGAACTGTATCAAACGTAGATTTAATGTACAGTAGTGTTGTCAGATGTGTGGTGCTGGTTGTGATCTTTTTTAAATGAGAATTCAAGTTTGCCTTCATAAGCTAGAAACAAGCAAAGCATCAGTAAACACTCATTCCAGTCTTGCAGGAGAAACTTACCAGGCAAACTTGCCATTTTCCTTATGGTAGTTAAACAAAAGAGATCAAGCGTTCTCTGTTTGAATGATTTTAATGGCTTCTGCGGAACAAGCACAACATTCAGCATGAAGCTGAAGTTGACTTTTTGTTTGCCAGCTTTGGATTAGAATTTCCATTCCACCTTAAATGGCGCAGTAACTACATTCTGGCGGTTAACATCGGCACCATTTAAGGTGGGTCAGAAAATTGGGGAAAAAAAAGCCTTCAGCTTCTAACATTGACAGTCATTTTACTTTCTTTTCTGTAATCTATGTACAGCACGACATTTTTTGGTTTCTGTTGTGAAAATTCAGTTCAAGCAAGCAGTTGTTTTTATTTTGCTGTCTAGCTTTAGAGCTAGTTTTTAAAAGTGTTATTTTTTATCCTATGCTTCCAGTGCTCCCAAAAGTGACAAAATATCATCTATTTCTTCTTTATCTTTAATTAAATTGAATAGTACTTGTGAAAATGTAAGTGTAGTGTAGTCTGTCATGGTTATCCGTGTACCATGGGTTTTCCAATTTATTTTGAAGGATTGAAAAAAAAAACTTTAGGGTACAGTCACATACCACAAATATGCTGTCTTTAACAGGCATTACCTTTTTCAGTGTTGAAATGTCATTATGTTTGTTGAAGAATGCGTAATAACTTGTGAAGGACTCTGTACTTGACTTGAGACTTGACGGTACTGTCTCGGGACTTGAATTACGACTTGATTGTCTTGACTCAGGACTCAAGTGACAAGACTTGAGACTGACTTGTTACTTGCAACATAGTGTTGTTCCCACCTCTGGATATTTCAGGCTATTTTCAGGCTTTTTTTTGGCTGATATCAGCCTGATACCTATCCGATATATCAGATCAGTGCCATCTCTAAAAAACAAATTAGTGAGATTAGTAATTATTAACTGTGAGTACCATATTCTAAAGTTACCACCCCCCCGCTGTACTGTCACTTGAGGCAGATACCATACCAGAACAGCTGTTTTCCGCTGACATTCCTAGGGCTGTCTGCAATGTCATGTAGGGTGTTACAATTGGACATGAGAGGAAAAATCAGTTTCACTAACATTCAAAATAACAGTGACAGTATATTGATCGCTTTTGTGCATTGCATAATTCAGATAAGGCAACATTTACTCAGTGTTAAATGCATGCCTGTGTCAAAGATCTGTTTTTTCCCCCCATAAGAAATTGTTGACTTAGATGTAGCATATAAAACGAGATCCATAAGCCATGTCACTGCATGGAATAATGTTTCATTTCCTCCTAAATTGAAGCTGCAGAATCTGCCCGTAAGTAATAGTGAAGCTGATCATTAGCGCCAGGCTTCTAGTTTGTTAGTGCTCTACTGGCAGTTGAGCTTTTAGATGAGCATTTTAATGTAGAGTAGTAAATTCAGAGTATATATTTCCAGCAGGAGAAAGTGGTGTGTGTGTCTGTCTGCCTGGTTCATATAGTATGTGTGCTAATGTCATGCATACATGTGTATGTATGTTTACCAGCTGATTGTGTGTGAGATGGTTCTAATGTTGGAGTGAATTTGCATCGGTGTGTGTGTGGCGTGTGTGTCTGAAGCTTTTCTCTTGCTCACTGCAGCAGCAGAAGTTGGCTTGTTGGCAGGTATGAGGCCCGTCGTCCCATGTGTTCGTCAGGCTGGTGCTGTGTTGTAGGGCTGCAACTAGCAGTTATTTCTTTAATCGGTTACTCTACACTGTTACTTGGTCTAATCCAGAGGTGTCCAGTCTAATCCATAGAGAGCCGCTGTGGCTGCAAGTTTTCATTTCAATAAAGCAGCACACATAGGCAGTTGTTTATAGACTGACAGTCTGAAATGTCTAACACTGGAAATGATAATGAAAAGACCAGTTTTGTTTTCAGTACAGCAACTGAGGTCAATCCATTCTGTACGCTTAACCCCCCCCTTTTAAATTCCCATATTGATCTTGTCTTATTTTCTTAGCTCTCCAATCATTGCTTACAAATTATCAAGCTGTTTAGCAATCCACCATTACCTTGAAACGTATTTCAATATGATGAAATTTCTTTAGCTGGCATTTCTCATTGGCAGATATTTTGGATGGGAAGCTCCAGATAGCCTTACAGAGTAGATTGCTTTTCTCTACTCATTTCAAATGCCAAAAACAACTTTAAAAATGTCAGGGTTTGGATTCGTCTGTGAAGTAAACCTCACAGTCAGGTCAACCCAGACAGCAGAATGTACAAAACCCCCTTATTGTTTGCTGTTTAGTTGGAAGTATATTATAATAGTCTGAATAACAAGCCATGAGGCAAAAATGAAATCTTTTCATGGTAGATGATGACTGCATTGAAGTAAGTATTAACAAGCTCATACAGTTGTAAATAGTGGAAATTACCTGTTGCCGTAAAATACATCTCAAATGGCTGCACCTTTCAACCATATTATGTTGAGGAAAAAAATCATTAGGAAAAGTTCTAATGTGTCTGTCTTACTTTAGACAAAATTCTGGCGGAGACTGTTAAATTTTAGGGACATTCTTGCATTTCTAGTGAACGATTATGTTTATATGCTATTATTTCATGAGTGAGCAAACTAGTAAACAACCTAAATTACTGGAAAAATGAATAAATTTCTTTATAGAGAGTTTATGCGGGATATGTTAGCACTGTTGGGCATGTGGGAATGGTGTGGGTAAGGTGTTGGGTCAGGCAGGCAGATAAACAAGTAAAGTCGGCTGTGCTGAAGTTTGTTTGAAATGAAAACCTGTAGCCACACTGGCCCTTTGTAGATAAGATTGGACACCCACCGTCAAATCGTTATGGCTTCTGCCGTTTCTTCTCACTTTGCCCAAGTCGCATCGCTACTATTACTCAAAAGGCCTGTACCAGATAGTTCCCTTAAACCTCGCCCCCAGGCCAACACCAAAACACCCATCCACTATAATTGATCTTAGTCTGTATCACAAGGAATTTTGGGTAAGAGACCACTGCTGAGTCTGCATCCATGTAGTCCTTGCCAATGGCTGCAATAAGGGCACTTAAAGAACACCAAAATGAGAAATGCCTCACTCAATGGCCTTGTGTCTCTTCTCGGCACACATGAATGACGACCTCATTAATTGTGACGGGCCAAAGTACCATCTATGTGACAAGCAGGGGTTAAATTGGGCCAGCGTGCACTGAAGCAGAGCTCCAGTACCTTGAGTGGCAAATAGAAATGAGTGTTGTAAGTTGATGGAAATGTAAATTGTTTCGAATACAATCTTGGTAAAATCCATTTAGCTATTTCTTGTGATAAACTGACAGACAACCCCCGTACAGTTACAGTCTCACACCTCTCCTTTCCAAGTTTATTTATTTTTTGCTGCTGCATATTTAGGTGCCACGTCCTCCTCTTATCATTTTACATATTGTCGTAATCTTGTAAGTACATACTGACTCCTTCATGCTGTTTTGACGTTTTAAACGTTTTAAATGTAGTCATTATGCCTCAACCTTTAAGTGGCCTGAGTTATTTCCCTCTTATTTATCCTGTTAAAGGCTTTGCAGAACTATATTTGCAACTGATTTGCCAACAAGTGTTCTCAAAGGCACGTATTTGCACCTAGCTGTCTGATAGTGTCTGTAGGTTACTATTGCTAATTGCTGATCTTAGGAAAAAAGGTAGTAGAAGCTTTTTTTTCCAAGTTAATCTTGACTTTAATTAAACCCTAAACAGACTATTTGTTTTAATTGCTGAGAACTCATTCAATACCATGTGAATTATTCAAAAATGGAAGTGTAAATTAAACAGTATTATTCCCACATTGACACCAATGGACAAAAAAGCCCCCCCTATCTCCTAAATCCCAATTTAACACCTGGTCACAAGCAGTTACTTCTTTTATGATGAAGTGAAACAATAGAAGCCATGTCCCCCCAGCGCTTCCTGTAGTGTATTGCAGTCTGTCAGAATGAGCGTGTCCAACTTTTAACCACTTACTTTTTTTTTTGTTTTGTTTTGTTTTTTTGTTTTTTTTTCTTTTTAATTTCAAATAAACAATGCGTCACATTTTCCATAATAAATGATGGCAAATATTAGTTAACTAATTGTTGCAGCCCTACTGTCTTGTCTTACAGACGTTTCTGAAAGAATTGAGGATATCTTGTTGTCTGTGTTTGTGTTTGAAAGAGAGTGCGATTGGACAAGAAAAAGACAGCGTAAATGTGTAGTAGCATGGCTCTGTTGTCTGTTTTTGCATGGCTGGTATCGTTACTCTGCTGGTATCGCCATTGTGAAGTTGTTTCCTATAAGATCCTCGTGGATTACAGGAAAAGTGAGTGACAATAAAGTGGTTGGCTTCTAGTAGCTGATGTGAAGGCTATGATGTTGACAGTCTCAGGTCAGTGTGTATCGCTGGTTCTCTCAGGTGTGTGAGATGGTGTGGTAATGGTAATACTACGTGCTGAACGTTTACTGGTGTTCTTGTTGGTGTTTAGGGATGTCCGAGACGGAGCAGACTCTTAAAGGGACGTCCCAGATTAAGATCCTCAATGCTGAAGAAATCGAGGGCATGAGAGTCGTCTGCAAGGTAAAGCCTGTTGTCTTTTAACTGATTTCAGCTTTACATGTTGTCAGTTGTTTGTGTGAGTAATTGAGTACTCACTGGGTGCAAATGATTAACCAGTGGTATTGCTACACAGGAAGCTGAAGCATTTTGGTCATCCATGTAGCTTCACTATTGCGTTTTAGGTGCGAAGTGCAATGTGCTTCATACCTGTCGCAAGAAAATAAAATTTAAATGCATTGGACCTGGTTCACTAATATAAATTTTACATGGAGTTGATATATTTTGATTTGTAGTTATATATTTAATATTTCAAACATGCGAGACATTTTCCAAGTTGGATTATTAGAATCCCAAAAAGATCAGTATGAGGACATGACAATACAGCAGTGTAGAGATGGCATAAAATTAAGCCTGACTGGATCAGTTCTTAACTCGCCCATTGGGTGATTAATTTTTAGCTGGCTCGAGAGGTGCTCGACATTGCTGCCATGATGGTGAAACCTGGAGTGACGACAGAGGAGATTGATCATGCTGTACATCTGGTAAACTCTTTTTCTTGTCTTCCTCCCTTCCTGCCTCACATCCTCTTTAATATTACTCATACATTAGGCTCTGTCAGAACACTTAGCTTCTTTTTTGAAAACATTAGCAGAAGAGGCAAGCTTATGTAAACCACTTTCATTGCTCATTGCAAACATGTGAAGGAATATACATGTGTAATTACACCAATCAGGTATAACATTATGACCACCTCCTTGCTTCTACGCTCATTGTCCATTTTATCAGCTCCACTTACTATATAGGAGCACTTTGTAGTTCTACAATTACAGACTGTAGTCCATCTGTTTCTCTGCATACTTTGTTAGCCCTTAATGTTATGCCTGATCAGTTTATATTCCATACATTGTACTCTGTGCATGTAAACATGCCTGTTTATCCCCATGCATTCATCATTAGCAAGCCATGTCTGGTTGCTAAGCAGTGACAAAGCTAAGTAAAATCCATGACAAAAGAAGAGCAAGGTGTGAAAATTAAAAAAAAAAACAAAAAAAAATCTCAGTTCCAAGCAAGGTCTGACACAATTTATCAATAAACCTGATTACTTTTTAAAAATAATTAATGAAAAAAATTCTTAATGAATCTACAGCAGTTACCTGGCAGTTTGCTTGATAATGCATATTTTAAATTCTTCCTCTTGTCTCACTTTTTCAGAGGCTTCATGTTTTGTTTTTTAAAAGGGTTTCTGTAAAGCTCTGCATAATTTGTTATTGTTCAGTCAAGTCACTTTTTATTGTCAGGCCTTTTTTTAAAGCCTCTAATTACTCCATCAAAATAATTGGTAGATTACTCAGTTAACATAATTGATAGTTATAGTCCTTCCTCCAGCTCTGTTTACTGAAGTTCTTATGTAACTTGTTTCTTTGCTTAAGGCATGCACAGCACGGAACTGCTACCCATCACCACTGAACTACTACAACTTTCCTAAGTCCTGCTGCACTTCAGTCAATGAGGTCATCTGTCATGGCATACCAGATCGCCGTGCCCTACAAGAGGGTGACATCCTTAACGGTACGGACACACAAAATATTCCCACATCTACCAGTTTTCAAAAATAGACAGTGCCTTTAAGCAAGGTGCTACTCCAGATTTATATTGTAAGAAGGGCACACGCATCATCCAGTCACGTAGTCACTCCATGCCTGTTAGAACACAAATATTGACTTACTTAAGGTTATCTTGTGGCCATATAACATCTTAATTTCATAATTGTACAGTTGTCTCTATACAGTTGTTGCTACACAGCTAACAGTACTGTTCAGAGGTTTCCCTGCACTTTGTCAGTGCAGTAACCATTGTTTTTATACCTGTGTTTTAACCCGAGTTCTCTTATTTCAGTGGACATTACTGTTTACCACAATGGATACCATGGAGACCTAAATGAAACGTTTTTTGTGGGTGAGGTGGACGAGGGGGCAAAGAGGCTGGTGCAGACCACATATGAATGCCTAATGCAAGCTATTGATGCTGGTGAGAACTGACATTTGTGCATACACTGCACATTTTCTCTTGGCACATTTTTTCTGTGTATAACTGCTGTACATGTGCACTGTGGCCTCTAGAGGTCAGAACTGCACTGCAGTAATGCACAGCTGTTCTGTCACTGATGGGATGCGCTGCTGTTGTGTTTCTGCAGTGAAGCCAGGTGTCCGTTATCGAGAGCTGGGCAACATCATCCAGAAACATGCGCAGGCAAATGGATTTTCTGTGGTGCGGAGTTACTGCGGCCATGGCATTCACAAACTCTTTCACACCGCACCCAATGTTCCACACTATGCGAGTGAGAATGCATACATTAATGCAGACATACATATATGATTACTTTTGAGGAGAACAGAAAACAGGTTGTGCATGACAATAAGTGTTACAGGCATATATAGTTATCTGGACATTTCCCATGAAAACGTTTACATGCCTGTCCTGACCTGGTACTCAGCTGTTTTTTGTTTTTTTGTGTGTTTAGAGAATAAAGCTGTGGGGGTGATGAAGCCTGGTCATGTCTTCACTATTGAACCCATGATCTGTGAAGGTAAGAGCCAAATAAAATTACAGTTTATCAGAGGGGTTTTGGAAAGGGTGGTATAAGGGAACCATTTATTTGGACCCCGTCCTTTAATACTCGGATGGAGCTTGTCAATGTTTGCCTGGTGGTTGACCAAGCACAGCACATTTGTGAGAGGAGCGTGTCTTATACAGACTTTTGGCCAAATGAAGTAACACCAGCATTAGCAAACAAGGAGGCTTTCAAATGTCAACATAAAGGAATGAAGTACAACAAAATCAAGCACCATTAATTAACTAGACAGCTGTGTAAAAACATGTTCTTACTTGGCTTGAAATGTTCTTCCATGCCTATAGTAAATTAATATAATATTCAGATAAAGGCAACTGGAAGCTTTTATAGAGCTGTACATGACCTATATTACTTGACCTGTCTGCTCTTTGGAGATTCACTCCTCACACTGAAAAAGTGCTGCTTTTAATTATAATTCTTGTACAAACAAGCAAACTGTGTGTGTGTGTGTGTATGTGTGTGTATGTATATATATATATATATATATATATATTCATATGCAATATTCATCAGGTACACCTCCTTTTATCTATGCTCTTTGTCCATTTTATCAGCTCCACTTGCCATATAGGTGCACTTTGTAGTTCTACAATTACAGACTGTAGTCCATCTGTTTTTCTGGATACTTTTTTAGCCCCCTTTTACCCTGTTCTTCAATGATCAGGACCACCACAGAGCAGGTATTATTTGGGTGATGGATCATTCTCAGCACTACAGTGACTTATGTGGTGGTAGCATGTTATTGTGTGTTGTGCTGGTAAGAGTGGATCAAACACAGCAGTGTTGCTGGAGTTTTTAAATTCTCTGCTGGACTGAGAATAGTCCACCAGCCAAAAATATCCAGTCAACAGCATCCTGTAGGCAGTGTCCTGTGACCGCTGATGGAAGACTAGGCGAGGACTAACACAAACTGTGGGCAACAGATGTGGTATTGTGTCTGACTTAACAACAACATGATGTTTAAAAACTAGTAGTGTGTTCAAAAACTGCAGCAATTGTACCAGTGCAATACATACTTACATGCCACCAGCACATCAGCGTCACTGCAGTGCTGAGAATGATCCACCACCCAAATGATACCTACTTTGTGGTGGTCCTTTGGGGGTCCTGACCATTGCAGAACAGGATAAAAAGGTGCTAACAAAGTAAGAAACCGATAGACTACAGTCTGTAACTGTAGAACTACAAAGTGGACCTGATAAAATGGACAGTGAGTGTAGATACAAGGAGGGTTACAAGATGATGTGGCTGGGCAGTGTATATTTTGTGCACAATTTTATTTATTTACTCAGTTTAGCATATTGGGGGGAAACATAAAATGTAAAGTGTGCCATAACTTATGCAGGCCACTTTTATTTCTTCCCAATGTGCTGGATACTGCTATCTATCTTTAAATTTTCCTTTACCCTGCAGGTGGTTGGCAGGATGAAACATGGCCGGATGGTTGGACAGCGGTTACTCGAGATGGTAAACGCTCTGCCCAGTTCGAACACACACTCTTGGTGACTGAAACAGGTTGTGATATCCTCACACGTCGCCTCGATGACAATGGCCGCGCTCACTTCCTGACGCAGATGTAGAGTGGTGGGGTGAGAACGCAGGCCCTTCCCCCAGTGGAGGACACATCCGCTCCAGCCCTATCACCGATCAGCCAGTCACACTGTGGTTCTCTGTTGGGCAGGAGTTAATTCGCCGTGTGGCCGTGGTAATGGAGTGTCTGATTGGGCGAGAAGTGGAGATTTGTTTATTTATGAATGTGTCATCTGAACAGTCACATGACTCAGCTTGGATCTGATCAGACTGGAAGGCACTGACCTTTGACCTGCTTGCAGTGCTGTCACTCTTTGTCTGCTCGGGGGGCAGAGGTGTGTGTGTGTGTGTGTGTGTGTGTGTGTTTGCATGTGGTCTGGCGTACTCATGTTTAGTTTGTTTCAGTGTGCCGTGCTGGCTGAGTGGTTCTCCTGTGACTTTAGGACACAGCGTGTGTGTGTGTGTGTGTGTGTGTGTGTGTGTGTGTGTGTGTATGGATGGTGCGTGTGTGAGAGAGTGTCATTCCAGATGATACCAAACAGACTGATAAATGAAATCTTTCTGCAGTTTCTTTTCCTTTATGGTTTATCCTGAGCATAATCTTTGGCCACATCCTCCTGTTTACAAAAGAGTGCCTCTAAAGATTATTTCAACATTAGGACAAATAATGTATTTGTGAAGTTCTGCCAGCGTACATCAGACCCTTTCTCTAACGACCATTTGTCTATGATCACATGCGTGAAAAATGTGCTGAAGTTCTATGGAAGGGTCTTGTGACCGTGGGATTGTCAAAAGTTTCCAATTGGTTCTCCTTCACCTTGAAAAGGTTTAATTTGCTTATGATTGGATAATGCACTGCCAGGTACAGAGCTGTTCTGCAGGGTTGATCTAACAGTGGCATGTTTTAGGTTATTGGTGCTCTCTGTCTGAAACACAGTCAAAACCATGTCAGTGGTCTGCATTCAAGCTGAATTAAAGCATATTTTCCTTGTGAATTGTGTCTTTGAATTTTTTTTTATTCAACTGCAAAAATGTTCATGAGCCTGTGTAAGTTTAAGATCTAAGACCCATTCTTTTTAAGGTCTGATCTCAGAGATAGAAGTGACGATACACTTATAATGGCACAGGTAATGCACATTTATGTTTGTACAAATGGCTTATTACGCTTACAAAAATGGTGTGGCGCATTTGTAAAATGTACTTTACTGAAAGTCTTTTTTTCCTTGTCTGACCCTTCATCTCCATTACCTTCATGGCTTGGTCTGGTGCCAAGGGTCATTTAATCGTTTTTAACTGTACCATTTGAACCCTCATCAAAAACAGTTTGCTTGCTAAATCGATAGTGCATATGAGGATATGTTTATTCAGGCATAGATTTAGTTTGGGACTCCATTTAATTACACAATGGATTGCTAGTGGTCAAAAAGGAATGAGGTACAGGTCATTGACTTGGGTTGACTTGCCAACAAACATAAGAGAAAAAAAAACCTTGAATGACTACAAACGCATTTATTTAGTCTGAAGATTGTATTGGTCAAATGACATTTGGCTTCATTTTGTCAGTCGGCTCTAGTGAGGTGGAGGAACACATTACTGGACGTATTTCAACATTTCCTGACTCCTGTTGTGTTATGTATACGGAGTGAAAATGAACAGATGTTTCAAATCATGGCAGTCAGCAGAGCCTAGTCTTTCATTGAGTTGTATTTTAGTTCTGGGGTGAATTTTTGGTCAGTTAAGTAAGATCCACATGCTTATAAAGGGCCTGGGATAAAAAGGTGTTCTTATGAAGGTGTAAAGCAGGAGCTTTTTGCAGTTGGACTTTTACTAAGCATCTTTTATTTTGCTGTTTTACACAAGAGCATCAGTTGCATAGATATCTGTATAAGTCTACGTAAAGCAAGGTCATTGAGCAATGGGCCAGGCATAGTACTTAAAATTGCACACTTATTTCAAGAGTATTGTATAGCTTTAGAGCATTGCCTCTTGTTCAAGACAGAACACATTAGTAATTAGACATGCTGAAAGAATTGCTAGCAGAAGACAGGGCAAAGAGTAATCATTTGGGTTGAATCTAGTTGTGGCAGGTCTCTGGCTGCTGACTTCTCATTTGGACACGTTCACGATAGTTCGAATGCTGTAAAACAGAAAACACTAGTTACTCACCCAGCTTTAAATTTTAAAACCTAATACATTTTAAAAGGGCACAAGAAACCAAAGCACTTACCAGCCCCCAGTCTTCATGAGCTGAATGGCATCATTGATCTGCTCCAGGCTCACTGTGTGTGTCACAAACTCATCAAGCTTTATACGGCCAGCCATGTAGTCCAGGACTAGTTTTGGGAGAGAGTCTTTGCCCTTAAAGCCTGAAAAGCACAAATGGACAATCTGTTACCTTTGGTGCATTGCAAATGTGAATTGTCTTTCACCTGGTGATCTGTGTGACTTTAAATGCTAGATATTTTACCTCCAAACAGGGTTCCTTTCCAGGTTTTTCCAGCAATTAGCTGTATTGGCCGAGCCGAGAAGTCATAAAGATCCGTCCAGCCGACGAGCACGCTCACACCCCAGCCCTTGACACATGACTCCAGCGCACTCCTCTGTAGAGGCACATACAAGAAAGATTCACACCACATGCCTTTTTCTGTGGGAGGTAAAAAGATCAACACACATTAACAGAGCTTACCATAACAGCCACATTGCCCACACACTCCAGTGAGTAATCCACCCCTCCATTGGTCATTTCTATCAGAACCTCGTTGATCGGCTTTTTGTGTGCTTTAGGGTTCACAAAGTCTGTGGCACCAAAGACCTTCGCCTTTTCAAACTTCTGCTCGTTGATGTCCACAGCAATGATCCTAGAGGCTCCGGCGTTCTTGCAGCCCATGACCGCAGCGAGCCCCACTGCACCCATCCCGAACACTGCACACACGGAGCCTGGCTCTACCTGTACACACACGGTTGGGGGGTAAGATGTGTCATGATCGGTATGCATCAGTAGGAAGGTGGTAATTCAAACTGCTTCAAATAAAGGTTGCATTTATTTCTTTGACCAAAATAAAGTTCTCAGACTATTTTTAAATCTAAAAATAGGTATTTTTATTGTCTTTTTATTGTTATTTACTGTGGAAATAGTTCCTTTAGTCACATTTGTGTAGTTTTTTAAAATAATCGAATAGAATTAACAGTGGAATTAGAAATGCCATGTCAGATCATTTCCTAAAGACTGGCAATCAAATCGCATCATTGTGAGGTCAGATAGTGATGTCCATAACATTTAGGGGCCGGTCATTTAGGCCATGAGTTAAGCTTAGTCTTGAACAAAATTGCAATGCCAATGCTGTTTCACTATTAAAAACCCCACTTTTGCATAATCTAGGTCAGGAAACCAGTTTATACCCATATAAACACATTCATTTACAGCACCAAGGCCCTAATCTGGTACACCTACAGCACACAGATGCTGTGTTGGAGTCTACCTAGACATATGTTGCACAGTCCACTTACCCTTAGTGTCACTAGGTTTCACTGTAGGCTTCATGCAGGTTTCCACATACCTTGGCAGTATTGACGGCAGCTCCATAGCCAGTGGAGATGCCACAGCCAAGCAGGCAAACACGGTTAAGCGGGGCATCGTCCTGGATCTTTGCCACAGCAATCTGGTTCAAAACGGTGTACTCGGAGAATGTGCTGGTGCCCATGAACTGCAGGACTGGCTTGCCACGACACGTGAAGCGTGTGTCAGTGTCGGACATCTGAGCATACCGTTCAGTTGACCTGAAAGTCAGAGTAGTTTACAAACTTTAAATTTGCAACCTCTTTCTCAGATTACAGGTTTACCTATGATTTTCTAGGTACATGTATTACATAGACGGATTGGCCAAAAATCAAATTTACACAATTACCCCTAGCACAGTTCAACAGCCAGGACATGCTTGCTTTTTTAGTTTTGTGCTGGAGTTATGAAGCTAATGGACCAAACAAGTAGTGGAAACTTGTACTCATTAAAGTACAGAGTACAGTGCATGCCTAAATCATTACACACTTACCTCAAGCCACATTAAGTTGTTCGATAATCTCAAATAGTCTTGCATATGTGGTTACGAGACACTATATGACATTGTTATCTTTAAAATGGATAACTACATTGCAAAGCTAAAAGCAGCAGTAGCAGCCATCTGAAGCCAACATTTCATCTGCACTACTGTCCATTTTTAAAAACAGTATGTTATCCAGTGTCTATGGAAGTCCAGAGAGGCCATGAGGTAGTTATAATTTTCTGAGATGTTGAGATCACAACTTCGTTGTCTTGTGATCTCATGATAAAAAAAGTTCTACTGATATCACAATTTATTATTTCAGAAGTCAAAGCTTCTCTTGTGACCTCAAGATTATCAAGTTTATCAAGTTATCTCAAGAAAATAACTTATTATCTTGAGATCACAAGAAAGCAATATTTGTTATCTTGAGATCACACAACAAATAAGCTGTGATCTCAAGAAAATCTTGAGACCACAAGATAAATGGATCATGATCTCAAGGTAACAGTCCAGAAAATTGTAACTCCAGTGCAAAACTTAAAAGGCAAACATCTTTGCTGGTCAAAACATTTGATGTAATTTGATTGAGGTTTCTTACCCTCTAGGTTTATATATCTATATATATATAAAACTAGATTATATAAATATATTTATATAAGTTTCTTACCAGCTTTTCTCACACAGGTTAGTCTTAGGACTCTTACAGAACTTGCACTCTTTACACTGAGAGACAAACAGGGGGATGACCTTATCACCTGTAAAGCATTAATGCACACACAGACTGTTAGTTTACTCCGTAGGGGGAAAGAAAGCTCTCACAAAGAAGTAGGAACAATGAGGGAGAGCATAGTGACTGCTCTAGGTGTTCTGACCTGGTTTGAATTCGGTGACTCCAGGTCCAACACTCTCCACCACACCGCCCCCCTCATGGCCCAGGACGGCAGGGAAGCCATCCTTGTGCTTCCCCTCAAACAGATGGTACAGGTCTGAGTGACACACACCTGTAGCTATCACCTACAGCACCGGGCAGATTTATTAGATCATTAACATCAAAGCTGATATTTTGATCTTTGATCTTTGTACTGCAACACTTTTAAAAAAGTTAGTTGAGCATGACTGCTGATTTAGCGCATTTTTTCATGAAAGAAGAGCCATTTTTCCGGCTTTATTGGTTAAAAATGATTAATAAGTGACCATATAAATAGTTGATATTAACTGGTTGTTGTTTTTTTTTTGTTCATTGTAACTATTAAAGCACAAGCATAAAGTGGATGAATTGTGTGTTTAGCTGTGTTGCTTCCTAGCTGTTGATCAGCACGATAAAGATGCTCTCACGGTTCGATTCAAATCACGATACTGCGTTCACGATTTGGTATTGTCACGATATTTGACTAACAATTTTCGAATGAAGAATGAAAAATGGTTACTATGATCATGTTGTTGCATAACTTAGTAATGACACTGGAGCCGAGAGGCAGGAGGAGTGCTGGAGTGTTGACTGGTGCTGATCATGTGTAAACTGGTAATTTGTAAATTGGATGTGTGAGTGTGAAGATCCTTCTAAAGGTATAAAGAATCTTTACATAATGTAAAGGTTGTTTACCAATTTAAGTGTTCTTCCTAGATCTTCTACATCATGTGGAGGTTTTTAACCCTTTTGAACACTTTGCGTTAGCAGCAGTTAGAAGGATGCAGTGGTTCTTCATATATCTCAGTGTAAGCTTGTGCTAGCCTTCACACTCCCAACTTAGTAGCATTGTGTGATGGGGGGTAGGTAGCAGTTGAAAATTGATGATTATATTATAGGGGAAAATTGGTCAAATAAAATTATAGTAAAGATTAAATATGAATAAAAATGGAGCAATAAAGACATATTAGTCAGTAATTTCTGTAAATTGTTCAATAACTACTATAAAAACAGTTGTGTAGTTATCAAAGTGAGAAACTAAAGTGTGGGCCCATATACAGGCACTTAGGGCCTAGACTTTTAAAAGGTTCTTCACACTCACACACCTCATTTTTGTCTTTATAATAGTTTGGAGCTCCCAACTGCCAACAGAACCAGCTCAAGCATAAATAAACATTACTCACTGCTGCCCTCTAAAGATGTTATAGCACCAGTCAGATCTTGGTTGCTTTTATAAGACCCACAACAGATGTCAGTAAATGAGTTTTGTTCTCTCATTTATTTACATGTTTATCTCAACCCAGCCGTGGAAATTGCACCCAATTCACATCCTGTTTGTTACGACATAAACATTATGGCTGAATCTATCTGTGGAAGAAATATTGTGGAAAAAAATTGTGCTCAGTTGCAATCAGCTCAGATAACTGCAGTTATGAATAACTGTTACAGGCCTACAAGAAATGGGTAACCTTGATTCTTATTTCATTCTTTTGAGGCGGGGCCACTTCGATCTCTTCTATCACCAGTGGAACATTGGGCTCCCATGCAACAGCAGCCCGGCATTTAATCACCTAAAACACACACACACACACACACACACACACAATCTGTAACTTTGTATGTGAATAGAGGTTATGTTCTGCTTACAGTGCAGAATATTTGTGAGTTATGCACATGTACAGATCTCTGTCTGCACATGGGGCTTTTCAGCCATCTGTTTTTGCAATTTGAGCAATGTTTGCCTTAAGTGTAGAGAATAAGAGTGATTTCATAACCAGAGTTAATAATAAATCAATAACTGCAAGGTTTTTTTTTTTGGTACGGGAACACATATGTTCATAACAGAAGTGCGTTTCAGCAGCTCCTAATGCATTTCTCTTTTGCATTCATGTCATATTATCAATGAAGTTCTAAGCCAAGTAATAATCTTGGCCTCTGATATTTTAGTGACCTCAACTTTACACATTTTTAAAGCTTAAGTACATAATATACTTTAATTATACTTTTCTTGAGTGCCTTGCTCTACCTTTGCTGCTGTAGCACTGTGAATTTCCCCATCTTATCTTATCTTATCTTAGTATCATATTTGCATCATTAAAAACATACAAGAACTCAGTAACATTCATGTGACTGATTGGAATAATGGCAGGTTCACTTAAATTGCAATTAAGCCTTTTGTGACTGAGAAATAAACTGCTTCATCAGATCAAACACAGTTCCAAAAGCAGTCAAGACATTGTTGCGTAATTGCTAGTTGCAGTCTATTTGATATTTTAAAAGATATAATAGCTTAATTAATGTTTCTTTGATGCTTTGGCAAGTTGATCACTGTCACTTTCCTAATGGAATATAATCATACATGGACAATGATGTAAATACAGTGAAATAAAAGACATACCTTTCCTGCAGTAGCCATGTCTTAGTGCTGTCACAAACAGAGAGAACAAAATACTTGGCAATCATTTATATACCCCAGCGCCAAAGTCTCAATGAACAAGCAAGCTCTTACTCTCTCTCTCTCTTTAGGGAGGGGCTACAGACCGATAAACAGATTCATAAGAAATGCCTCACTGTTCAAACATCATAAATATGTGTACTTCTTTTTTGCTTTAATGTGTAGCTTATGTAAAAGAGTGATTAAGGCCAGGTGGCCGTTGGCTTAAGAAGCACCATATCTGGGGCAGGATATCACACAAACTTATCAAGGAGCTATGTATGTTTTCCCAAACATGAACACCTGCTTCAGTTTCAGCTGGAATCCTGCCACCTACTTAATACAGTTTAAAATCTAATTTGTATGCTGACTATTTCTTTCTTCCTTTCCTCTGTGACAGCTGCAGTCCTGTATCAACACAACAGCCAAGAGCTGTGAGATTTTACAATAATTACTTTCCTATTCTAAGCCAGTTAGTTTGTAGGGTTATATAACCTCTAGCCTCAGTTTCCAGGTAACTATCGCCTGAACTGGCAAAAAAATACAACCTGCAAACATACATGAAAACAAGAGATGGGAGCATAATGGTATCATTCTGCGCTCTAGCTCGAAACTAATACTCTATTTCATTGTTCTGCAATGAAAATGACCTTAGCTAAATGAGCTACCAGTTGTCATAAAGAGAAATACAGCCAAGATATCTTATATCAAAGGGAGTTCAAACTGTGTGTATAATGAAATCCTTAATATGTACACAAAGCCATTCAGAGCAATTTGATCTGAAATGTGTCATTAAACTTAAAACTTACATAGTCGGACTTGTTCACAGTGGCGGTGAGAGGAACCAGACTGTCTGAAGAGTTTAAGGCCTGTAAAAGCTCACTCACAGAACGTTACAAGAACATATAAAGTGGGTAGAGTGAGTAATCAGGAAAGTCATGAGAATATATTCCCTGGTGGGCCAGTAGCTTTTTGGGCTGGTTACTGTGAGCAAATGTTTAAAGTCATGTTCATAAGAACAAGAAAGTTCAGATAAACCATAAATGTTACATTCAAGTATATACCTGTACTAATTTAGGGGTTAAACCAGCAGCCATTACCTCAAGTGCTTCAACACCGGTTTGCTAACTGTTACCGAGTCTCATACAGTCCTGCTAGAAAAACAGCACAGACCAACATCAAAATCAGTTTATGTTGTGGAACATTAACAAGAAGACAAGAATAAAAACTTGAGGACATGTCTGATATAAAAAGGATGAGCAAAGATGAAAATATGCAGATTTTAGAAAAAGTTATTTTTGCACGAAGGCAATGCTGTTTGTGTGTAACAGGAGAAATACAGTTAAAGTTTGGGGTGGGCTGGTCTGCTTCGTGTAACTCCCGGTCTCAAAACATGTCTCATTCCAGCCCTGCATGCAAGTGTGTAGCAACATCCAGGAATTATTAGAATAATGGTAGGTTCACTGAACTTGCAAAATATTTCGTGAACAACAAACAAATTGCTTCACCAGATCAAACATACAGTTCCAGTTCCAAAAACAACATCAATACATTGTTGCATAACTGAATGAATCTGAGTGAAAGGTTAATTAAGGTAAATGTTAATTTGGTGTTTTTCCACCTTACATTCTAAAACTTTCCCACTAGTTTCTAATGTCAGAGTATTTTCATATTGTCACTGTTTGAACTCCAAAATGTTAACTTTACATGAGAGGGAAAAAACATTCCAAACCTTGAAAGTAAGTTAGTGGAACAGGATTTTTTTCAAATTCTGTGAAGAAATAAAATACAACAAAAAAAAGGAGATACAAGGTTTTGTTCCAACAGCCACAATATATACATTTGAGATGAACCAGTTATTTTTAGAGTTAATGCCAAAAATACCAGTTGTTTTCATTTTATGCAATTTTTTGTTCTTGTTTAAAGGCAATCATGCTTTTTTGCATTACATGTCAAATGCCAAGCAACTGCGGTTTCTGTTACATGGTGTGGTTCATGGATTCCTGCAGTAGAAGCTGCTGCACGCTGAGCAGAGGCTGCAGGATTGTGGTGTTGACTGAGTTCAGGTAAGATATTAAACACGTTCTCTTTCAGCAGCTCTTCTGAGCGCTCTCACTCCATCCTAAACAGAGGCAAACAAAGACTCATTAGCTTTCTGTTCATCAGTACTCATTCTCTGTGTTTTACAGTGCTGAAAGAAAACACACATCCCATAGTGGTAGATATTAATGGTAGTAAAAATACCTGAGATAAACTGCAGGCTCTAGAATAGTAAAACAACCTTAATGGCTTTTCAAGCAACTGCCTGGATTACTTTTATATTTGGAAAAGTATCATCTTCATGTTGGTATATGTTGAAAAGTATGTGATTCCTATGTTAAAATTTAAATGAAGGAGCATACATTACAGAAGACACACTGAAAGTCCAAAAGTATCCAGACTCTCCTTCTAATTAGCAAATCCATCTACTTTAAAGCTGCACTGTGTCATGTTGGTTCCCATATGGAAAAAAAATATTTTAAGTGAATTTATCAAATATATTGCTGCAAAGAATGAAAATGGCTGTAAAATACATACATACATACATCATCTAAACCGCTTATCCTTCTGGGTCACGGTGGGGTGCTGGAGCTTATCCCAGCTGTCATTGGGCGGAAGGCAGGATACACCCTGGACAGGTCGCCAGTCCATCGCAGGGCAGACAGACAGACATACACAGTCACACACACACTCACACCTAGGGGCAATTTTAGCACATCCAATCGGCCTGACTGCATGTCTTTGGACTGTGGGAGGAAACCGGAGTACACGGAGGAAACCCACGCAGACACGGGGAGAACATGCAAACTCCACACAGAAATGACCCTGGTCGCCCGGCCAGGAATCGAACCCAGGCCATTCTTGCTGTGAGGCGACAGCGCTACCCACTGCGCCACCATGCCGCCTGGCTGTAAAATGTGTCTGTTAAATATATTTTTAAAATACATTTTAAATGTATTTTCCAAATGTATTTATTAAATATATTTGGCAATGTATGAAAATGGCCAAAATGTATTTGTTAATGGATTTATTTGTATAACAAAGGTTACAGATATAACTAAATATACATTAACTGAATAAATGGTACTGACCTCTGTGTTTTGCATTGTACTTTGCATTAACCATGTGTTTATGCAGTAAGACACTCACACAAAATGTTTTTCAAATATAAACAATATCAAATCATCACTGCATGTTCAAAGTGTATCAATACCTACAACTTTTATTTTTGCCATGTTAAAGGTTCAGTGGCTAACAATACTGGAATACAAATTCATTTTAAAGGGTTTCCAAACAGTAACTAAGTGCATTAGACAGTATTTTGGCTGTACTTGATAAATACATTTACATACATTAATTTTAAGTGTAATGCTTCCCCATACATTTTAAAATAAATATATTTTAAACTATATATTGGTTAATATGGCAATATATTCTAAAATACATTTTATTGTCTGAATGTATTTTGGTATGTTATGCAATGTATTCGCCACGTATTGTAAATATCACTGCTCTCGGAAGAAAACCTTGTATCTCCATTTTTGTCGTTTTTCATTTTTTGGCATAATTTGAAAATGTCTGTTGTCCTTTACATTGTGTGTAAATTTCATGATGAATCAACCAAAAGAAACATCCCAAAATGACTTGGAAAAAATTCTGGTTCCACTGACTTACATTAAACGTAAAGTATGTTATTTCCTCCTCCTGTAAAGTTTCCATTTTGGAAATACGAGGTCTTGTTCAGACAGCAGCGATATACAAAAAAATATATCCATATATTTTTTTTCCATACCGGTTGTGCTTCAGACCCCCACAAGTGGATGAATCTGACATTTGTGAGCAGGTTGAAAAAGCATCAAAAGGGAACTCAGCCAAAACCTGGTGGAGAACTTGTATTCTAAGGATGGGATGTCAGTGAATTATTTACTGTCATCATATCTTCATCAGTATAATGCTGATTTTGCAGTTGAGACCTAAGCATCAAACCAGACCTTCTTTTTGAGCTTGCGGATGTGATGTTAGGATGTAAAAATGTGCAACGTGGTCTAAAAAACTCCTGCGCAATCCGACCTGATACCTCTGACTTTCAAGTTTTATAGGGTGCCACGTAGCAGAGGCACCCTGGCTATAGCTTGTTTTTTCCCACATGACTCAGTAATGTTACTTCTTTCAGTTTAAACAAAAAAAATCTTACATAAGGCTACTTTATGGTGCACCCAGTGCTGACACAGGCATTCAGCTGTGCACACACAGCTTTTATAATCTCTATAGAAAAGCGCTGTCAATAGAATGGGTTGCTCTGGAGCAGCCGAACATATTGTCACCTAGAGGGGTTGATTTTGCAATATACTGCAGCAAAGCTGATACCACCATCACTGTCACCACTGGTAGATACAATACATTTGGCTGATTTTGCTTGTTTGTATATGTACAGTACCTGACTTCACCTCTTTCTGCCTTCGCCTCCAGACTTCAAAATGTTCCTGTAAGGCCTTCACTGCCCCCTGTTCCAAGCTCCACCCTTCAGCAACGTGTCAGCCAATCGCTGCACTCCTTCTGCGTCCTCCTCCATCTCGGACCACAGCTGTCTCATTTTCGCTCGCTGGCTGTGCAGAGCTTTCATCCAGTGCTGTAGAGTTAACTCTAAACAGGCACAGCAATGTGGCCACATCTGCTGCTGTTTGCTATGTGCTTCATTTCGCTCAGTTTTAGCCTTGACCCAGTCACGGTCCTGGGCCTGGTTTTGGTCTTGATTCTAGCCATCACGGTTTTGGAAATGCCTGGTGTAGTCAGCTGTGGACATTTATAGTAGAAGAAGGAAAGCTGTTGCTCTTTAGCTTTACTTGGACTATTAATCTTACTCTTCTTTACAACTTAGTGCATAAGGACAGCATGACTCATCTGACCCTTGAAACAATGGTTTGTCAAAACTGAGGTTTACAATTTTACCCCTATCCTAGGTGTAGTGAAAACACCAGTTTAGTATCTGAAGGTTCTTTCTTTAGTTTTGTGATGAAGCTACAAGCCAATCTAACTAACAACTAATGAAAGTTTATAGCTACCATTTAGCATTGTGATGCGAGGATAACAACTGGTGGCTGTTAGCTTTCAATACATTAGCTACATAAAGGTGGTACCTTATGCTATGCTTGATACAAGCTAATGTGCCCTAAATTAGCCCTTTGGTTATTCCTAATAATAAAAAAAGACATTTATGTATTTCCTTCATCTTAGTTTTAAGGTGTTCAAAATGTTTTTAAAGGGGCTGACAGACCAAGAATAAACAAACAAGGAATGCCAAAATAATACAAAATCAATACAGTTAATGTGTGCAAAAATAAATCAATAAAAATAGAGTGAAACATTAGATTTTTTAAATTGAATTTAACTCCTCTTTAACGATATGTCAAAATCAGAAAATGCGATCAGCATTGAAAAGTACAGGTAGGCTAATTTTATAGCCTAAATCTCCTTATCAGAAAACATTACCAGCATTAAAAGAATAATTAGGATATTTTGATCACCTAAATCACCTTTTCAGTAATAATATTAAGTCATCTGTACTGAAATAACATTAAAAACCCAATAAAACGTACACCAGGTCTTAAAGTCTGCTGTTGTTGCCCCTAGAGACATAAGCCACGTTTACATGCAGCCTGATAATTCATTAATAATCCGAATAACAGCTCAACTGGAATAGAATACATGCATGTATTCAGCTCAGTCGGAATAGACTAGTCTGATTGAGACCAATTTCTTTTAAATTGAATGAGGTGGGTATCCTATACTCAGTGAAACAAAACAATAGCCCTGTAAACGCCTGTATATGATTACATTCTTAATGTAAAGTTTAAATACGTTCTGCGCATGTGCGTCGCGTCATAGCAAAGTTTATAACGTTCAACATGGCGGTAGCAGAAACTGGTCTGCAGAGGAGACTAAGTTTATGCTTTGAACTTTAAAAGGCCCTTCTTTAATAAGTACATGTGAAGGACGTTTTCCTGAGTCTGACATCATTTTAAAGTAATTAAAAACACAAGCGCTGCTCACAGCTGCTCGTCTCACTCTGACTGGACTCACATGATGCTCGTTGTCATGGTAACATCTACACTAAGTGGTTCTCTACGCATGCGTGTAATTTTGGATCGGATTACTTGTAGTGTGCATGCAAACAGATTTTCCATCAGATTGTTCAGGAGAGTGTGCATATAAACACCTTTTAATCAATAATTGGAATGTTTTCAATCGGATTGGCAAAAACCTTTGCATGTAAACACAGCCATAGACAGGAACACTCTTCACCTCATTGACTAAGCATGCACCATCTTACTGATCAACCATGTCTAGATATTAGGGGTAAGAGGAAAATTGTGTAAATCTGATTTTTGGTCAGACTTTCAGATGTTTTAAGGTAATACAGGCCTGTCTGAATGCACACCCAATGTACTTTTTCTCTATCAATTGTCCTTTGTGCGCGCCTGCAAACCTTTTGAATTTTCAGTTTCATGCGCTCCACCACGTTGTCCATTTCCTGCTTAGTCCTAAGGTGCTCCTGGGTGGAGCTCCAGGTTTGCCCCGCCCCCTTTTCCTGCTGCTGTTTCAGAAAGTTTACTTCGTTCTCTGCCTGCTCCAATTTACACTGCAGATCTGAAACCTAGAAGCATAAAGAGCACAGATACCCTTGAATGAGGGATTTATTTTGGGTCCACAAAAACACAAAAAGCAAACAGGACGCGTTACACAGTCTACTAACTTAACATGCACACAAACCTGTTTCCTCTCTTTACACAGCTCCTGCTGTATAGCAGGGATGTTATGAAATGTAGAAATGTATATATATATATATATATATATATATATATATTATATATATATATATATATGTGGAATGTATGTGGATATATGTAAATGTGTTCTCATTGACATCACAGAAATCATGGATTCAAAACGGGCTGTTTTTGCAGCAAAGTTTTCATATATGGATTGGACTGGAGAGTGAATAGTGCGCTTTGAAACTTGAACAATGTTTACATATTACTTCAAACTCTATTTAAAAAGGGAAAAAACAGGGAAATTCAGCTTTCCATGATGGTTTTCTGTTCTTTTCCTAGTACAAGGACATGACTGTCTATCGTAACTGACCACAAGATGCAGCATATTATGCAACATATAGAGATTAGGTTGAAAAGCGCTGGAGTATTCCCTTTAAAAACACTCCACAGAACTACTGACTGTTTTTATCATGTTCTGGAAATTCATTCTTGGTGTGGCTGCATGAGAATAAAAAGCCTATTTACTAAAATCAGTTTTGCTTAATAGTCAGTGCAATTAGTCAAACAGCCCACATTCTGCATCAGTAGTTGCTGTTTTTGCTTACCAAAGCTCTGAGTCGTAAGCGGCCATGCTGTGGTCATGTTGTGTTGGGAGGATTTGCTCACACTTGGTTGCCCTGAACTGCTGTCCTCTGACCGTTTTTATCAGATGATCTTCCATGGTGCACTGCTCGCTCAGCATGCTAGTTAGGGAGGCAACTGTAAGCACACACATTAATCTGGATGGGTGGGGTGGCTTTTGCCTGGAGGTGTGTGTGTGATGTTGTTGTGTATTTGTGTGTGGTGTATTTGTGTGTGGTGTTTGTTGTGTATTTGTGTGTGGTGTTTGTGTTTATGGTGCGTGTGCATACCCTTTTTGTGCATGTCCTCCTGCAGCCTCCAGTGAAGCTGAACGCTTGAGATGGTTTTATATAGCTCGTTCTGGCTTTGACGGTAAGCCTGCAGCTCAGCCTCCAGAACACGCACTGCATCCAGCAACTCGTCCTGCTCTGGCCACTGACCTTTACTGGGCAACTGCTGGTCACCCTACAGCACACACTTGCACTCATGTGCAGTGCCTTGCAAAAGTGTTCAGCCCTTTAAAAGTCATCAGATTTGTCTGGATTTCGGATGACACTTCGTGCTGTGTCATGTTTTAGTTTGGCTGACCCTCAAAATGAATTAATTTAAAGTGATATTGGCTTCAATGTAAGAACATTTTCTGTGAGCAACTAAAAATGCTTTTTGCATAAGTATTCAACCCCTGTGCTGTGGATGTTTTTTACAGCTAAAAAATACTTACCTAATGAGGACACAAGTGGCAACTGGCTTCCACCTGTGAATCATTCAAAAAGTTCAGTTTCTGGAGAAAAGACCCCTTATTTCACATGCCACTGGTCAGAATGTAAATGTGAAGGAAAGCTGTGGAAATGAGGAGTAAACAGAGATTAGAGATAAAGTTAGAGACATGCACAAGACAGGAAAAGGCTACACAATGATATCCAAGTGTTTGGACATTCCAGTGAGCACTGTTCGATCAATTGTGAGGAAATGGAAGCTGCATCATTCTGCCCAGGCACTGATCAGACAAGGCTGTCTGAGTAAGAAGGAGTAGGAAGCCACAGAGAGGCCAACAATCCCTTTGATAGAGTTACAAGGAGCTGCAGAGGTCAGTGGCTGAGACTGGAGTAAAGTTGCACCAGTCAGTGATATCAAAGGCTCTGCATACAACTGGTCTATATATGAGAGGGTGGCTAGAAAGAAGCCATTACTGAAGAAAAAACACATCAAAGCACATCTAGAGTTTGACAGAAAGCAGCAGAGTCAACTAGCTAACATGTGGGATAACATTTTATAGTTGAATGAGACAAAATAGAGTTTTTTTGGCCAAAATGCAGAGCGCTATGTATGGCACCAACATGACACAGCCCATTCTTTACCATCCCAACAGAAGTATGGGGGTGGCAGCATCCTGTTGTGAGGATGTACTGCTATTGGCAGTGTATTATTTTGGCATGGTAGTATGTGGTTTTAGAAGTTAATATTCAGCAAAACCAGTATATGTTGTGTTTTGGATGCTGGTATGCTGGTCACCCAGCATGGTCATTCTGGTTGACCAGCTAAACCAATAATAATCCAGTACCAGACTAACATAAACAAGCTTAGACCAGCATATTCAGCTACTTCTGCAGGCTTTTATTACCGGGATCAGTGTTTTTGATTTGGGTTGAAGTTAAGCACCCCTGCGTTTAACACTGCTGTGTGTTATGCTGAAGATTTATTTTGAGAACACAAAAAGCTGAGAACCCTAACCTGCTCCTGCATGACGTTCTGGTTGGTTTGTAGGGGCTGCTGATGCGTGCACACACCCACACAGCGACACAGTGCAGGTTAAAAGTTCACTCACTCTCAAATAAGCCCTCAGAACAGCACCAGATACACCGGTTACTGTAAAGTGAGACCAGAGACCATTATGACAAAATAGTAGTTCTAGAAGTTTCACTAGGGAGTGACCAAAACGTAACATACTGCTACATCAGATAGACCACACCAAACTAAATATCGTAGTATTTCCTCATATCTACAACTATTTCTGAATCGTAGCCGCAGGGTTATCATTTGTTAATATATCTACACAAAGTTTAATCACAAATACACAGCAGAAGTAAGACAGGCCAAAGTTCACATGGCTCTTATCTTTACTGCTGAATTTCCAGTGCTGCTGGGAGAACACCCAAAGAAAACACAGTGTGCTGCCCATGACCTTGTTCTTTGATGCATGAACCTTTTCGCTTATTTTTGATTATTTTCTACACATTTCACATTAAATATGGTCAAATCACTTTGAGCTAGATGAGAACCATCAGTATAAACTCTAGGTATTCTCTGTCGTTTAAGACTTAATTAAATTTAAAGTGTAAACAGGCCTCGTGCACCAGATCTGTCTGGTCATTTCTCTAACCTATAATACTAATATTCAAATCCAACAGCGCAGATTTTTCGTTAAAAACATATAACCTTTATTTAGATTCCCAGATATTAAGTTTAATTGCAGAGTTACAGAGTAAAATGTTAAACCTTCAAATAAATTTCCAATAAATTTCTCCCAAAAGACTGTAGGAAAATACAGCATGATGGCATAAATGATCATCTAAGTTGTGGCACAAAGCGTGATCGATGAGGTATAAAGGAACAGCGGTAAACTGTGCACGCTTGTACTCAGGAAAGAAATCAGCAAATGTACTCATTATTTTGGAGAATTACAGTGATATCCACACAGTAAATCTGTGCTACAGCTCTAACACAAACAGCCCTGCCTTGAGAGAACAAATCATTACAGAAAATCAAATTTACAGAAGAAAAAGATATTCTCACAGAGATGCATATACTCTGTAATCATATAAAGAGCAGCTTAACCCATTTTCACCTAAAGAGTTGGATTTCCATCCCATTTTTAAAGATAAATATTATGTAAATACTGTACATATCAAGCAAGCATTTTCACTACCTTCATCTAGAGTGGGGATCATAATTCAAAGCACTTAAAGAACAGTATTTACTTGAGCGTGGCCTCTTCACCAGTTTTGGCACTGCCAAAGACAGCTCACTTTATCAATACTAGCATTAAATGCATTTAATATGTCATTTCATAAATATGTCTGAATTTACAATTATTAACACGACATCTTAGGTTTGTTCCAATTTATAGCAGAAAGGAAAATAAGCACTTTGAATGCATAATATTTTTATTACGTAATAAATATCATTTCTTAAGTTGGAGTTGATGTTACTTGTAATGGAGTTAATGTGCACACACATTCTGCACATTTCATGCACTAGATTTTACCCCTGCAGTAGGTTTAGACGGACAGATTAACCTTAAAGTGGAGATTTTCTAGTCAGATGTCCAGATAAAGGGGCAAGGAAAAGGTTGCCCTCTAGTGCACTTGTGTAGAGAATGCAGGAATGACTAGAAGGGCAATGAGGTGGATACATTCAAGATACTATATGCGCCATTCATCTTTCAAAAGAAAATATGACTGATATGTTTCAATCTGTTTGAAAAAGGTATTATAGTACCAATCTTCTTTTTTTTTTTAAAGTGCATTTTCTTTAACATCCATGCTAGTCGTGATTATGCATTCACTCACTAGTCAGTATAAATTGATATTCAAGGAAAGCATGCATATCAAAAGCACCTCACTTAGTGCATACATGACAGTAAAGAGTCCTTTGCTACAGAAGATCTCCGTAATCAAGTTCCATCACACATCATTTACTATAATCCAGCCTTATAGTGCCTTGTAAAAGCATGTTCATGTCCTGTATTATACAATACTATGCAAAATTCAGAGACCACCCCTCGTTTATTTGACTTCCAGTGAAAACGGCCATTAACTACAAGTTATTAATTTTTCAGTGGATAATTTTGAGGAGATTGGATATTAGGACAAAATATTTAATAAGACAAAGGACAAAACAAGAAAAAGAAAAAGAAAAGAGAAAATGACCCAGTAGACCTCCAAAAATATCACCATAAGTTAAACAGTGCTTAAAGCTTTCATCTTTGAGAGAGAGGAGATAATCAAGCTCCACTCTTGCTTCAGGTCTTTCTGTATATCCTTCCACTGTGAGAACACAGCTCAGTGGTATGAATCTGAAAGGATGTCCAGCTGTCAAGAAACCGTTATTGAAAAAAGAAAACAGACAAAAATAGAAAATTTGCAAATCAGTAAGAAGGTGCTGATATTCTCAGGAGAATGAGTCTATCCTCGACATCACTGAATAGGTTGGAGATTATTTGGATTGTGAGAAGCAGAAAACAAAACAAACTTCCAAGAATGAACTTTGAAAGTGTGCAAAAATATCCCTGCAGATTTCTATGAAGAATTGAAAAAAGTCTCCTGAAAAGAGTGGAAGCTGTAATAAAGGCAAAGAGTTCAGTTGTTGAAGCTTCAGTGTAAATTTTCTGTTAAATATATGTTTTTCAAAAAGTGAATAACTTGTACTTAATGGCCGTTTTAACAGAAAATTAAATAAAAGGTAAAGGATGGTCTCTGACTTTTGCACAGCACTGCACTTTTTAAAATCAAAACAAACTTTGTATCTCCTAAACCTTAAAACTTTAATTTTAAGTTAGTGTGAGATTTTATTCCAAATAATTCAATAATTCTACACCTTTTCTTCTGTCCTGAAATGTTCATACAATATAAAAAGAAACTGGCCTTTTGAAATGAGGTAAAAAAATTAAAAACAAAAAATGTAGTAAAGAGGTTTTGATACTACAAAACACTCGCACAGCAAAACACTTCAATACTTTTGCAAGGCACTAAATGTATATGTAGTCATCTTAGGCTGTCAAAGGACAGAGACCCAAAAACACCATTCACAATAATTCTCTCAGGAGACATTCATTGAGCTGATCTGTGTTAGTGTGGGGCAAGACAGAAAGAATGGCTTTCCTTCTCCTTCTCCTTCTCCTTCTCTATTACCCCAAGGCTGGCACTTGGTTAGTCTGTGCATCTGCATGCCTGTCCTGCCTAGGCCTTTACTTCTGGATGTAGATGATGACAATGCAGAGAGTTCCCACAAGCCCAAGGGCCTGGATACCGAGGAACCAAAGGAGCACCCAAAAGAGCAGGACCACCACAGGCTCCACAATCTTCTCTCCAAAGTAGAGCTGCGTGAAACCTATGCTTCGTAGGCACTTATTCAGCTCTCCAAACAGAGTGCCCAGCCTCTCACAGTCATCCACCAGCGCTGCATCCGGTGCAGGATCTGGTGCAGCTTGAGTCTCCAGCCTGGTGCTAGAAGGGCCTGGAGGTCGTGCCCTTGCCCTGAGGTCATTCTGAGAAGGAAAGAGAACATTTGGTAATGTTTTTCATGTTCAAAGAATAGTTGGTTTTCTGCAGTATATAGAATCCAACAAAGCTAGAACACATTGTGAATTGCTCATTAAAAAGAAAACAGTGATTAGTAAATTCTGTTTATTTCTGAGTTGGATTAAATTGAAAAACAGAACAAAACATGACATTTATTGATATTTAAGTTTTAACTTAACCAAATTTTATGCCTGCAACAATTATCAAAAGGAGCCCGTTTCACTGTTATTTCACCTTTTCTTTTAACAGCATTTAATAATTGATCCACATTTAAAAGCAGAATTTTTGTCACTCTTACGTCATACAGGTTTTCAGCTGTGCATCCGTACAGGGCCTTCATTGTTGTTTTATATTTTCAAAGAGCAACAGGTTTGGACTTCAGGCAGGCCAGTGTAGCACCTACACTCTCCGATTGTGCAGCCATGCTGCTGTAACGTGTGAAATGTGGCTTGGTGTTGTCATGTTGAAACAAGTATGGACGTAGCTGAAAAAGACGATGTCTAGAAGGTAGTATGTATTGCTCTGGTGCCTTCATAGAAGACCAAATTACCCATGCCAGGGACACTAATACACCCTATTCCATGACAGAATCTGGCTTTTGAACTGTACACTGGTAAGAATCTGCATGGTTCTTCTTTTCTTTTGCCTGGAGAACACAATGTCCATTATTTCCCAAAAACTGTTCAGATCATGATACACGTTTCCATTGTGCATCAGACCATTTCAGACGAACTCTAGCCCAAAGAAGTCGGCTGCGTTTCTGACGTTGTTTACATGTGACTTCCGCTGTGCACAGTACAGTGTTAACTTGCATTTGTGGATCCAGCGACGAACGGAGTTTATCGACAATGGTTTGTCAAAGTATTCCATAGCACGTGTTGATGGCCTTGCCCTTTACGTACAGAGATTTCTCTGGATTCCCTGAATATTTTAATATTATGCACAATCAAAGGAGAAATATCTAAAATCCTTGCAATCGCTTGTTGTAGAACGTTGTTCGTAAACTGTTGCAGGACCAGATTTACTGTGACAGTAAGAGCAAACAAAGTGGTGGTAATGCGTTTGCTTATTCCTAAACAAGAATTACCAGCTTGCGTGATGCAAGGTGTGGCTTTGTGTTTCCTTAATTTAGACATGGCAGTATCAATTCAAAACATAGCACAATACCGCAAAAAAATAACATGTGAAGCACTCCGACGCTAATTTTCGCAGGAAGAAGCCGATGTGGATTACATTGTCTATGTTTGGTCACACATGAAACAAACTGCATGTACACACACTCAGCTGACTGACTGATATATTTAAGACTCATTTAAAGTGTGTGGACTGAATATCATGGCAAACCTTCTAGCTGTTGTAGGAGTAGAGGAGAAAAATGACTTGCTTGAGCAGGACTTCAGATTAAGAGATTTAACTGGCACTGTACTTAAAACGGCCTCCTCTTCCTGTATCAAATTTCATGTTTCACAAATCCCCTTAATGTAGAAAGTGGAAAGTAAGTTTAGCTTGGAATCCAAATCCATGAAGAGTAATTTGCAATTTTGAAATTCTTCTTAGATGCTCAAACTGATTTTACTGCAAGCAGTTTTAATTTTCAACCCTATTTTTCAATTTACAATAGATTTTACAAAGAATTCATAAGCAAAAAAAAAGACATTTTACTAGTAAAAATGCATTTATTACAAGTAACAACTGCATTTTGACAATATTAAATACTTTTTTCACACATGCAAATCAAGTACCTAATATCAAAAAAATAAATATTTACTATATGAAATTTAATTTCACATGTGTAAATTAAATTCCTATGGTGAAGAAAAAATAGAAAATAAAAGCTATAACAGCTTGCCATAATAAATAAAACTTCAGCTTGTCAATTTAACTTTTTATTAATAAAAAATACCAAATGTTTAACTTTATTAGTCAAATTACTGCAATTGTAATGAATTGTAAACACGCTTGAATTATTATTATTATCATTATTATTTTATTATTATTATTATTATTATTATTATTAATTTATCAGCCCTTTTACCTCTGTCTCTGCGAATTTTGGTATTCTTTGTTTCTTTGTTTCTGTTTCTTTTGGCAGCCAACTGGAGCTTTACTTGGCAGGCCTTTAATATGTATGACTATATTTACATGTGGATTTTGATTAGCTCTTGCCTAGGACATAGGGGAAAGTACTGCAACGTGAAAACGACATTTTGAGTGGCTTAGCTCTGTTATCGCTGAGTTGTCATGTTTCACACCATTACATTTTTGGGTTTAATAACTGGAACAATGCACTAGCAAAACAGTGGTGTTGTCATGAAGTAGAATTATGTTTTTATTCAACATCTGATTCTATTGATGTTTTATTCAACAGACCCATCACTATGTTCAATTAAAGAGGACCAGTTATGCTCTCTTGAACTTTCAGCATTGCCAGGATTTTAATTTCCTGACTGGAAGGTGAAACATTAGACAACTATGTCACTTGGGAGCCAAAATTAAATGTCTTTGCTATGAAACTTGCATTTGACCAGGGTTCTTTAAGTACTGACAAGATCCACATAATGCTCAGAAAAGCGGGATCGGGATGTACTTTAATGTCATATGATAGCGTATCATCGTATCACCCACCCCTTTAGTCCTTAATGTGTCTTGGGCTGGGTAAATGCACAGGGTCAGACAAAGCATCAGAGACAGACTGCTATGTGATCGCTCAGGCCAATTCAGGAGGTTGTTGGAGATGCATGTGCATTCAGATGCCTTTTACAGAGTAAGTGGAGACACTTTCTTCTTTCAGGTCTTAGAAAATGCAAAACTGCATAGAACAAAATTTCTGTGGTGCCCAGCATCACCTCAAAGAGGTTCCCTGGATTTGGAAAATCAACAACTGTATTTCTGTCTAAATAACAGAGATGCATTTATGTGACTAGGTGTAAACAGAATGTGAATAAATTTCAACATATGAGAGCAAGTTTGTCTGGTGTATGTTGACTGTGTGTGTTCTTATATGTCCATGTTTTCTATGTCATATCTCTATAACGGATCATAAAAGGCTTAAAGGCTAATGTTGCAGAGTCAACGTATTGTCCTTTGCAATCCTCACATGAGGTTGTGGTTGTGGTCAGCCTATTGGTTAAGATTAGGCTTAGGGATGTATTGTACATTAAATTTAAGATCAAGTCTTTGGAGTAGAGTGAGGTTAGGGTCAGGATTTATTTTAAGTTTAGACAGGATATGTGAGCCATAGTATACAAATACGTGCAACAACATGCATATTTATATGTATATTTGTATGGATCATCTGAGTTTTGTTAATGTGAACAGAATATATGATGAGGAAGGGAGCTGTATTCTGTTGCTAAGCTATAAACTCAAACAAATACAGGAACAGGGTTCAGAGGTGAAAAAAACAAAGCTAATGTAAACAAGTCTCACTCTGCAGCAGTGAAGCAGAGGGGTATTTCACAAACCAGCATCTCGTATTTAGCCAGATTAATTTAATAGCCCATTAATCTCAACAAAAATATTGCTGTGAGTTTGTAAAACTCAAAGAGTTTTTAATGTGGCTTTTACTGAATGGTGAACTATAAATTGCACTATAGGTTCTGCTGATTTCAAATGAAAAGCTGAATTGGATGGTGTAAATGGTCACATGACCAGAGCTATTTGCTTCATGCAAGAGAAGGATGAGCTCAGTTTCAGAACTCTATAACAGGAAGTCAGGAAAATATGATACAGTTACAACTACCATTTTGGTACATGCAAGGTTGGTTTCCCAGAAAGGGATTAAGACCAGGTTCTGGACTACACAGCAAAACAACAGTGATTCTATATCGAAAAAACACCATAAAGATAAATTTTTTTACACAGTACTTGTTTAGTTTGTCTAAGTTTTAAAAAGTTGGAATAGACAGAATGAATCAGTATTGCCACGTTTAAAAAATTCCATCAAAAACTATGAATGCAATGAATTTCATGCTCTCTTTGTAATGAAACATGCAGTTTTTCAATGTTCTTTAAGTTCCTTACGTACTGGCAATATCCATAATATGCTCAAAAAGCACATTATAGCATGTTGTGGTGTAATTTCTCATGATATGATAAAATATTGTCATATTCCTCACCCCTAACTGCCATATTTATACCATGCTTACAGGAGACAGAAGCATTTGAACAGTGATACTTGTGACAGGTGGGATAACACAGTGGCTCATATGTACTGCTGATAACCCTCACTATCATTTTTTTCTATTTATATAGTTTAAGCATGTCTGACATGTTGGATATGCTAAAACATACCATTATAAATGGTTCTTCAAGGGTTTTGTAGTAAAGGCAATGGTTAAAGAACTCAACACTCAACACTCAAAGAACCATTTGAATGCATACATTCTTCTTTGCACGGTTAAAGGATTCCTCTCTATGATGGAAAACTTGTCCAGTATGGTTCTTCCAAGAACCCTTTAAAAAGCTCCCTTATAGCACCACAAATGTTCCACTATTGTTACAAGTCTTTTGGAACCTTTTTTAAGACTGCAGGATAATCCAATACAGACCACATGCTCTAGCCTTTTCCATCAGTATGCTGCCTCAGTTCTTTCTACATGGTTCACTGGTTACTGATTCAATTATTTTTAATTTATTTTGTGTAACTGGGTCTAATTAATCAACTGATGCAACTTTTGACTCTGTAGTTTCCCACCAGTCACAATACACCAAGAAAGAACACTTTTCACTGACTTTCCCAAAACATTTTCTGAAAGGGTATACAGTTTGTCATGGGGCTGTCCATGGAGTAGACTTCATGTCTTACATAGCTGGGGGAAAAAACGTAATTTAGTGGGTTAATCAAAAAAGTTATCTAGAAAAAAGACTATACAAAAGAATATACAGGACACTGTATCATGTGTCGGTGGTTCTGAAAAATGATTAATCAGGTGAACTTTAACATTAGTATAAGCCAAGAATAGACTACAACTCTGGTGTCCAAAGTCCACCCCCAGGACCAAATGTGGCCCACGGACAGATATGAACTGGCCTGTGGCTTCTGTATTAGAGAGTGTTAAAAGTGGCCCGTCAGCCAATAAATTACAGATTTTCCTCTCACCCGGCAGCAGCACCATACAATTAGAGTGTAATACACCACACTGTGGTTACGAAGTTAGCTAAAGTCAAAGACATTGTAAAGGAGAAGACCGGTCAGTGATTGAAATGCGAGTGGGAAAGCTCGTAATGCTTAACATGACATGTGTTTGCAGAGAACGTCCTACACTTCAAGAAAAAGAGCCAGCTGGAGATCTGTGCAAGCGCAGTAGCCAAAACAACCCCCAAAAACATATTTTTGTGCGGTGCTACATGAGTTTTTTTGTCAGATTTTATCAGTGATTTCAAATATGTTGTTAAAACATTAGGCCTAATCTGACCTTCAGGATTTTGAATGACATAAAGCCAGCCTAAAGCACAAACTTAACATTGAGAACCAGTGATTTTTATGAGATGGAAGTTTGCATAGTTTTCATCGAGAGCCACAGCATATGCATGTGCCTTAAATGTCAAAAGACTGTAACGAATTAATATCAATAGACATGAAACAGGGCATGGTCTTTACAATAAATATCCAGGAGAAAAGAGGACAGAGAAACTTAAGCAACTGCAAGCTACCCAGATCTCACAGCGCCAACTTCTTATCAGAGCAAATTCAGTAGTTATTCAGTAAATATTAACCATTTAAGGTTAAATAAAACATGGCTGTTTAATCTGCTCTTCTCGTTTAATAAAGTGATTTCTGAATTCGGTTGCTGCATTAAGCCTATTTGATTTGTAAAAAAAAATCTAACAAAACCAAAAATATATAGATTTTTGTTTAGTTTGTCCTACATACAAATTATATTTGTCAAGTCAAGTCATTTTTTATATAGCGCTTTTTACAACAAAGCAGCTTTACAGAAAAATCTGGGTCCGGGCCCCCATGAGCAAGCCAATGACAACAGTGGCAAGGAGAAACCCCCCCTGAGTAAGAGGAATAAAACTTGAGAGAAACAAGGACTCAAAAGGGGAACCCATCCTCCTCTGGTCGACACTGCAAAACAGTAGCAAACAATAAAAAAGAGAAACATGAACAGAGACTAAGGGTCTAACATTAGTATAAAATATTAAAATACAGAAAAGGGGAAAAGCAGGTGAAGTAAGGGCTATGATTAAATAGTTCAAGTCTGTGCAGCAGCATCATCATCAGGAGGGTCAGTTCATGCAGGTAAGCTTTGCACAGCGTTGTACAGCGGAAAAATCCAGAGTGGTCAAACTGGCCCAGGAGACGGGCGAGCAGTGGGCACCCGATTGAAGCAGGTGAAGCAACAGCGTCAGGCCGCACAGGATGTTTGTATTATATTTGTGATTTACATTGCTATTGTCTTCTGTAACGTGCGCTGCAGGCCTGTTGTTTTGGCCTAGAAGACCAGAACATGCATTTTCTTCTTGCTTGGGGCTTGAACGTTGAATACAGTGTGCCAGACTGGCAGTTAGTTGTGGTTGTGACGTCACAGCACATGGGTGTTTGGCTGCTTCTGATTGGTCTAACTCATCCACAAGCAGTTAACAGGTTACTGAGTCAAATATGACACCACTCAGTACAAGTGTTGTTGGAAACGTAGGATGAATTTACAGTCTTTCAAATTGCTATTTCTATATAAAAACGATTAATCTTTCAGCCCTACTTTGGACTACGACAACACATGAAAAACACGCCATCTGTGACTGGACTGCCAAAGTCCTGAGGTGTGTATTCAGGCAGCAGATACACAGAGACACACAGAGACACACTGACAGCCACGTTAAGCCATGTTTACATGACAAACTGACAGAAACAGTTCCGGGTAGGTGGGTAAATCTAGTAAAAACGCGTTCAGTTCGACACATAAGTATTTTTTAAATGGTAAACTTGCAGTCGTCTGTGTTTGGACAGACATTATGAGGAGAGGCGGCGTTTCTAACTAACTGCTGTCTAATCAGCACTGAGCTGCTCACCTGCTCGGCTGCACAGCGGTACGGGTACCTGCTCGGACCTCCCGCCTCGAGCAAACTGCGGCGATGGATCACCGTTGCATCATTCACAGTCGGAGGTTCACTGGACATTTTATGTTGTCCACCCAAGTCTAAAACTCTCTGATTAACTCTGATTCCGACACTGAAACCGGGCCGATGGGTTGAGCTGAGTGCCGTTTGAGTCGCTTCCGGTCTTTTCTGTCAAACGCGGCACTCCGTGACGTCACCGGAGTTGTAGCCGAAAGCGAAGTGGCACATTCAACACATTCAGCAAGCCGAAACAGCTTAAAAACAGTAACGTACAGTGTATGGAGCACACAAACAGTGCACATGCTTCATAAACCTTAAATTATGAATTACTCTGCTTCGTGTATTTTTACATTCCGCGTTTAGGTTAAAGCTCTGTGTCCTCCCCCTCTCCTGTTTAGGCGGACGTATCGACAAGTTGCACTACAAATTCAACACTCCTAATCTCTCTGGCTGTTTAAGCACACAGCATCACTTCAGAGGCTGATAGTTGCTATGACATTGAGTTAAGTCGATGTAGGAGGAGTATGTGTAATATTCTGAGTAAAGAGCAGTCACTGTGAGCTGAGGTTTGCCCTACATGTCGTTTAGATATTTCACTCAGTCCATCTGTCTGCTCCATATGAGGCCTGTGTTGTGAATCAGCCAGAATGTAAAATGGCGACTGCGGAGCCGGTGAGTCGAGCTGTTACTCTTAACGCTGTTTTTTTCTGGCTTTTCTAACTACTGTTCAGTGAACACAAGTCCGTCTCGCAGCAGTAATACGTGTATTGCTGGGTTTGGTTCAGAATAACTTTGCAATATCACCTACACGCACACTTTAGTAAAGTTAATCGGATTGTTTGAATGGGATAGCAGCAAGTCTCCCAGTGTTAACTTCACTTATAGCTCTCTAACAAGTTAGGCTGAGTAGTTTGGAGAATAGCCGTAGCTCGTTTGAGTAGCTAGCTAACGCTAACGTTACTTACTATTTCAGATATTTGCCAATACATTCAGCCACCTGTAAATAAATATTAAGTTTTCTAAACATTTCACGTATTATTGCATGCTATTCCAGATAGCGATGTCAACACCTAGCATAAGAGTATTATCCTGCTATAACGTTAGCTAACTTAGCTGGCTGCTCCCTTCTTTTTTCATAGATAAGCAATGTTAACGGTACATGCGCTCTCGGACTCTGCGTTAACTTAAACATATCATCTAGGAAGACCTCGTATTCACTGGGAAAAAGCAGGCTGACAGCTGCCGCCCACACTCGAGTAACCTCGACCGCCACGACATCTGTAGGTTAGTTAGGTTAGCTGACTATCCAGAGGTTCGTCTGTATAGATTCCTGTCATTAACATGTATTTACTGTACTACTACAGGCACAAAACAAGCTCGTGCTAAATTGCAAATAACTCTACTTTCGAATAGGGTGTCAGTTCACAGAGTATGGTGTTGTTAAAGTACCGTTAGTCCTTCATCTCCTTTTGTTTTTGTTCCAGACTTGGTATTGAGTTGAGCGGCCTGTTTAATACAGTGATTCATTTCAACACAAATGTGTCCCAACATATTTTGACATAGCCTTCAGACCACTTTATGCTAGATGCTCGCCTCAAGATGAATGCACAGCTTAATGATGTGTGTGGCTGTATGAACCAGGCAGTTCTGTACACTTCTAATTGCCCTTAACTGTTCGTTTGTTGGTGTTCCTGTTCTGAAGGAAGTCATCTCGAATCCATCTAAGAGTGAGGAGGAGAACTCTGAGGAGCCAAGCCAGGAGATTGTCAGCCCTGAGTGCTATATTAAACATCCTCTACAAAACAGGTGAACCAGAAGTAATATTGCACTCCTCTGGGTTCCATATTAGCATACTTTGAATTTTACACACTGTTAAAATTTTATCTGAGAGTTTGTGGTCTGAAATACTGAGCCCAATTGTTCTCTCTTTGTCTCTGTCTCTGCCATATGTGTGTGTGTGTGTGTGTGTGTGTGTATATATATATATATATATATATATATATATATATATATATATATATATATATATATATATATATATATATATATATACACACACATACACAAAACACCTTGTATCTCCAAAATGGTAACTTTACAGGAGTTGGGAAAAAACATTAAGTAATTTCAGGTCATTTCTTTGGTCTGTTCATTCTGATATGTATGTACAATGTAAAGAACAATAGGCATTTTCGAATTATGCCAAAAGCTAAAAAACGACAAAAATGGAGACACAAGGTTTTGTTCTGACAGCAGCGATGTGTGTGTGTGTGTGTGTGTGTGTGTATGTATGTTGAGTATTGGGTGTATTGAGTAGTTTATCTTACTGTGTGTTTTTCACAGATGGTCTTTATGGTTCTTCAAAAATGACAAGAGCAAAACATGGCAAGCAAACCTGCGGCTGATTTCCAAGTTTGACACTGTAGAGGATTTCTGGGCGTAAGAATTATGCATAATTTTATCATTAAATAACAGTGTCTGTTATATATAACTGTAAATTACAGTGGGTCTTTCTGCAGTGAAGGGATTGCACCCATGAGCCTAGTGCTGTTAGAGGCGTTTTAACTGTTGCTGTTTATTTATACTCTGTGAGAAAGAATATAATCTGTTGTTAAATATTTCATTGTGCCTTATCAAAAAAATCTGAAAAGACATATTTGACTGTTTGGGAGTGATGGCTCTTACTTGTTTTCTTAGGCTTTATAACCACATTCAGCTGTCCAGTAATTTGATGTCAGGTTGTGACTACTCACTGTTCAAGGTGAGCTTAAGTTTGAAATCCTTTACTATCTGTCTCTTTAGAATAAAAGTGGCTTTAGTGTGATATGTGTGAAAGGAATGTACTATTGTTACAGCCTAATGCCTACATTGCTGTGAGTGCGGTCTGAGCTTTTATGTAGACATTGTCAAAATGACTCTTGCTCCCCCCTCCTCCCTCCTCCTCATGTGCTACAGGATGGTATTGAGCCCATGTGGGAGGACGAGAGGAATAAGAAAGGAGGCCGCTGGCTAATCACCCTCAACAAGCAGCAGAGGAAACATGACCTGGACCGTTTTTGGCTGGAAACGGTGAGTGTCCTTGTGGAACTGCTCCTTCAGCCTGCATTTTGCAGGAAGCCATTTGCAACTTTCATGTCACTCTGATATTTTCTTCTTTGTGCTCGCAGCTGCTTTGCCTCATAGGAGAGGCTTTTGATGACTACAGTGATGATGTATGCGGTGCTGTGGTCAATGTCCGAACAAAAGGAGACAAAATAGCTGTCTGGACAACTGACTATGAGAACAGAGAAGCCATAACACACATAGGGTGAGATGAACACAAATGAATAGCAATAACACAGTTTTATGTGGATTTAAAAAAAAAGAAATCACTTAACATGGAGGTATAGTGAAAGAAACAACATATACATACACATTTTCATATACATGCATATGTTTGTATGTGTTTATGAATGTGTGTGTGTGTGGTTGTTTTCACAGGAGGGTGTATAAGGAGCGGTTAGGCATCCCTATGAAAATGACTATTGGCTATCAGTCTCATGCTGACACAGCCACTAAGAGTGGCTCAACTACCAAGAACAAGTTTGTGGTCTGACATCCTGAGCCGGATTGTTTTTTCTCTCTCTCTCTTTCTCTCTCTCTCTCTCTCTCTCTCTCTCTCTCTCTCTCTCTCTCTCTCTCTCTCTCTCTCTTACCTCTCCAACATCTATCTATCTGTCTATCTGTCTATCTATCTATCTGTCTATCTATCTGTCTATCTATCTATCTATCTGTCTATCTGTCTGTCTCTTGTGCTCTTTCTCACTGTCAGATGCTCTTTGACTCTCTCTGTTATTGGGTTTGTGTATCAAATCCTACCCTGAACCAAAGCTACACATTAACAGAGTTGAGCTCAAAATATTATGAACAATTATTACTTGTTCAGAACCCCAATAGGAATCCCTTCACACATAAGGCCACACAAACCTAGAAGGAATTCAGCTTCCAAAGTATTTCCATGGGAACCACCTCAGCGTCTGATACACTACGAATATTAACCCAAGCAAAGCAACAGACGTTCAATGTAATGCCATAGGATGAAACGTTCAAACATAATGATATGTTCAAAGTTAATGACATATTCATAAAAATGACTCAAACCCACTCACATGTGCATTGTTAAACAGGACTTGGAGATTGTAAGATATTTGATGTGTTATTTTTAAAAGAAAACTGTGTTGAATTATTTAACGGCTGAGGAAAGGAAATGCCTGCGTGCTCTTATTCAGCAGCCTTGCTGCAGTAGTGCCTAATGAACATAAACATTTTAATTTATTCAGATTTATCTTAACATTTCATTTAGGTGGTTTAAGGCCACTAAATTGCATGTAAGCAAGCAAATCTTCATAAGGCTGCCTTATTTCTGTCAGTGTTTAACATTAAATTTGGGGTTTTGCAATTCAATATGTGTTTTTTTTTATATTTTGAGTTTTTTGATGCAACTGTGTTTTACATTCCTTGTCAGAATGGAAAAATATGGGACTTGATGATACTGTAATGGAGAAGTTGTTATTTGTCTGAATGTAATTGGCTTTGATTTGATTCTATCTAGGCACAGCAGGATCACTAGTTCCTTAAATAAAATAGTTTTATGTGGATTGAATTTATTTCTCCAAAAAAAAGTGCAAAAACGGTTGTTAAATGTTTTCACTCTGCTGTATTGCATGAACACAAATGAGTTCTGTGACCTGCATATCTAAAAGACATTGGAGTGTTTTATAAGGTATTAGTCATTTGTAGTTGAGTAATGGTGGTAGTTTATTGCAGGAAGAATATGATTATATGAGAGCACCTTATAAAGTCAGGATACAGAACAATCTGCGATTTCAAAACAGTCCAGTTCTAACCCCCTGAGAGGTATTTCACGAAGCAGCCTTTCTCAGTTAGCTAGATAACTTAAGCCTAAAGATGAGGATTGTCCGATAAGAATGTCCCTCAGCTCTTTTCCTATTGGATGGGCTTGACTTTGGGCTTAAGTTATCTGGCTAAACTGAGAAATCCTGCTTTGTGAAATACCCCACAGTACTGAGTGCACAAACACATAGGGATCTTGTTGAGGAGATTTTCTTTACAGGCTAAACTAATAATAAGTGACTTAAAAATAGGCTTTCATTGATTTGTCTGTACTTCAGTGAGGGCAGACTGACATTGGCTCACATTGAGCTTTAGCTACTGCATTCTCC